CAGTATACTCTGTACTACTCATTGCAACCAGTCGCCATGGTCTTTGACTAGACAACTACCCCCTGATTATCACGGCGGTTTATCACGGTCAAACCTCTGCCGCTCCGAGCTCGCTCAGTGATAACCAACCCCCGACGGCTTTCTGTACCTCTGCTCGTCCCTGAGAATCAATCAAATAGTGTCTACAAGCTTTGCTTAAGACACGACTTCAACACAGGGCTACGCGTCCCGATGGATACCCAAGACAGACTACGTCTTTGTACACCGCTGTGCGATGTGTCCGATACTCGAACGGCAGCCACAGCAAGCGCTGCGTGCTGTGCAACACCCACTGCTCCTTTACTGCAAGCTGCGAAGATTGCTCTCGCAACAATCCTCGTTGGGTTAGACTATCCAGCGTCGGGCAGGTGCAGTGCTTGCACCCGAGATCCCATCGCTTACGCGAAGATGATGATATTAACCGTAAACGCTGACATTGCTGACGGCGAGTATGCGCTAGTCGCAGCTAACGGTGACCATCAAAATGATACGACGGGGGGTGGAGCAGGCAGCAGCCCGCGGTACGGACCGTTTGACTTGCGCGCAGTGGCAAGCTCATCTCCGATTGGAAACCCACGAAGGAAGACAACACGAACCCGTCCCCACTTCGAGATTCCTCTGTGATCCTCCTGCGCGTGGAATGCCACGACAGTGGAATTTTCAATCAGACTACGAGAATCTTAAAAACTGTCGGTTTAGAAAGGACCTTGGCGAGCGCTATGTATAAATTACTATAAAATAGTCAATCTGGCAAGTATCACCCACTAATGCTAAGAAAAGCTGTGTTGCAATTTGTATTGCAGATTAAACATTGACTGTTCACCTCTTTTAGCAGAAGAGTTCATGCCGCAAAATCATTCTGTTGGCCTCTTGAACACGCAAGTTTACGAGCCCTGCGACTATTTAGAGGTATTTCCGCCCTCTTATCAGGAACGGTATCTCTATTTGTGGCTCCTTTCTGGAAATAGTCTCTGGCTTGAGGACATACCGGATACGTTCCGTAGGATCATTCAGCCCTGACGTCGAGTGCAATGACGAAGTGGACTGAGGAGTCACTGTAAGTCGCACTGGCTCCCTGAGTCTACCAGACAGCCCTGCACCACTTAGAAGCGCGACGCTGAGCGAATCAAGACCGGAAAGGATGGACACGATGCCGAAATTCCTGCCAATGGGGACTTTGTGCAGCCATATAGCGACGGCGAAGCCGAGGATGGTAAGTGCAGGCTGAATGGCTAGGACAAGATAGAGGGCCGCTTCGGCGCGCAGTATGTTGCGAGTGATTGTCAGCGTCTCGTCCATGGGTGCGTATGTGATTAGGGATCCATTCTCGGAGAGCATTTGCAGGCCTCTAGCCCAGTACATAGTAGCTAAACTGGTCGCATATATCGGCCGCAGCCAAGGCGAATCCGGATTCTGGGTGAGGTTTCTGCTCAGGAGCTGGAAGACAGGCAGAGCAGTATATTTGTACGGTAACATGTTAGGCTGGTGTAAGACTTCCGAATCAACTGTGGAAGCATCGCAGCTGCCTTCAACGAGTGATATACTTGTAGTTGTTACGCTCCAATATCCACGACATCGAGCTCGTTTCAGGCTGAATATCTGGGCTTGCTTTCGGAATTGCGCGAGTTCTGCATTGTCCTCAATTGAGAAGGACATCACACCACCTTCAGAGGTTGAGTTGGGGTATGCTGCAAACAAGACTTGCGAATCGTTGCCGAAAGGCATCATACCTAATCGGGATCGGGGAGGGCCTCTAAACAACTCTATCGTACTCAATCCCTCTTGAATGGAACCCGATTGTACGATGTTGGACCATAACTCGTCGTTAGTCTGAAGATCTGTTGTCGATGCGTTGTAGGTCGCTTGATACGCATAGATCGTTGCGTTGATATTAAGCGTCTCGTTGGCAAGTAGCTGAGCTTGTAGACTTGTGAGGTACTCCATGGTAGGCATATCAAGAACCGACGAAGCATCGTTGTTAAGCAATAAAACGTTGTATCCGTATGCAACAGGAAAGTCCCCCGTCCGCGGATAGGTACTTTGTGCCGATAAGGCAGCACGGCGGAAGGCTGCAATTGATGTTACCGCTGAGAACAAGAACTCGTTCTGCCAATTTTCGCTTCCGAGTGCTGGAAAGCCGATCCCATATGAATCCCCGGAGAAACTACTTGTGAAGTGGCCGCTCGCCGTGCCTCCAAGAAGCCTTTTGTATGCGATCGATAATCCTAGAGGAAGCACAAGCAAGCCGAGCAGTGCGATGCGCCAAAGTGTAGAGACGCGTGATGCTATAAATCTTCCCAACAGGATTGCTTCGAAGTTTTGGAGGCGAGAATTACCGAAGCGTGCTTCCAGTAAGAGGAAAGTAAAGGTCGTGATAGTCTGTAGGCAGATGTTCATGATGCTGAGCAGAAAGCCAAGGACAACGATCTGGCCGGAGAATCGCAGGCGCCATGCAAGGCCCACGGAAGGAGCTACTGTGACGATGCCGAGAACTAAACAGGATAGTGATACCAGGACGGCTGTCAAATGAGTGTAAGAGATGTAGTTCCTCTTTTCAGGCAGTCCAAGCTCCAAGGGCGCTTCTTCTGATGTCGAATGATCATAACGTTGTATCAACGATGTCGTGGACGTGGTTCGAGACTTGCTCTGATTGCGAGGAAGACTTTCCATTTCCATCTTGCGTATTGGTGCATTGCGCCAGGAACATTGGCTGAGGCGTGCCTTTTAAGCTGGACGCGGGGCTGTGCGACACGCCAAGTGATGGCCTTGCAACATGGGCTGACTCCTTGTGCATACAGCCTAATGCTGACCCTCGTGACGACCCATACAGGGATGTGGTATATCTGGACGACACCCTGAAGCGCAGGGCCGAATCTCACACCAGCTCCCGGTCAGGCTTGCTTGCCTATAAAGAACGCTTGCAAGGTACCGGCGTTATGAGCCAGACTTCTGTACGATGCTGAGAGACCAGTACAGTCAGCCTGACCAGTCACCCATGTATCCTTGGCATACGTGGTGAGTGACAGAAGGCCTGAATGCGCGGCTGAACTTCCTAACAGTCAAATCGCCCGGCTGCACGCACCTTGGAGCAGGACATGATAGCAGGTAACAAACAGTAGGGATGTGTTAGAGAGAGCAGAGATAGCAATAGGCCGCGCATAATGCTCTAGGTTTACGACATACAGTACGGTATGCGCAGTTGCAGCAAACATATTACGAGCGGTAATATATCAGCCACAAAACGAGTGTTAACAATAAACATGTAGTCATTCCTGCTATACAAAGCTTATGAATAGATGCCAGCAGGCAAGAGATACGTTCCTGTAGGCCGGACAAGTTTGCGTGCAGCGAGAAGGGTTGGTAGGTTGCGGCGTCAATCAAGCAGCAAACGACATCGAAGACCTGTTTGGCCTGGTGAGTGCGTCAGCCCGGACATTGACAGGCGGTCGAACACAGGAAGGAGCATGTCAGCAAGCACGCTACGCTACCCATGCCCAAGGTGGCGAGGAAGACAGGCCTGAGCGCCAGATGAACACAAAGGAACAAAGACACAAGGAATAGAAGAGAAGGTATACCGCAAGACTCACCACACAATCGCCATGAATTGCCAAAGCAGATAGCGAGGGCCCTTCGAGTGCGACCTCGAGATCGGTGGCGATGCGAATCGGGCACAAGCATGATGTAGAGCCATCAGTTATACTGACCATGAGCCCTCGCGAAGTACACAGCTGCCAGAACATCGCTTGCAGCCAGTGCTGGGTGAGTCGGATCTCGACGGCCTGACCTTCAGTGTACAGGACACACCCGGGTATTGCCTGAAGCAGGTCCGCTTGCATCCTGTATAGCCACGAGGGACCCGCATGACGCTGGACGTCAAGCTGTCAAGAAGAAGCGGGGCGCTAAGTAGACCCCTCAAGCAGGGCTCGACAACACCCTCGATCGTCTCCCGCGCGCCGAAGATGCGCCCTTCAACGCGTTCGCGGAGCAGCACAAGCCTGCCTGCCTGCCTGACACGCGCGTCGACCTCCTCGACGAGATATACAACTGGGCGGATGGCCAAGATGAGCGGTGCGTCTTCTGGCTGAGCGGGCTGGCGGGCACTGGCAAGTCGACCATCGCGCGGACAGTGGCGCGCAGGTACGACGACAGGCAGCGACTGGCAGCGAGCTTCTTCTTCTCGCGCGGCGGCGGCGACGTTGGACATGCTAGCAAGTTTGTGACGAGCATTGCGGTGCAGCTCGCGTACAGCGTGCCAGCAGCGCGGCAGCACATCAGCGACGCTGTTGCAGAGCGGAGCGACGTTGCCAGCCAGTCGCTGCTGCGCGACCAGTGGCAGCACCTTGTCCTCTGCCCGCTGTCGAAGCTGCACGAGTCAGGACGAGAGCCACAGACATACATCATAGTCGTCGATGCTCTCGACGAGTGCGACAGCGACAACGACATCCGCCTCATTGTGCAGCTGCTGGCTGAGGTGCGGTTGTTGTTGACGGGTGTCCGGCTGCGCGTGTTCCTGACAAGCAGGCCAGAAGTGCCGATCCGGCACGGGTTCGGGCAGATCGGAGACACGGAGCACAAAGACGTGGTGCTGCACGGCATAACACCGTCGATCGTCGACCACGACATAGCCACCTACCTCGAGCACAGCCTCAGAATCATCGCCAAGGAGTGCTATCAGGCAGACGACTGGCCAGGCGCAGAAGTGATCAGGCGATTGGTGCAGAGCGCAAGCGGTCTGTTCATCTGGGCCGCTACTGCCTGTCGCTTCATCCAAGAAGGCGGACAATTCGTTGCCGATCGACTGCGCGCTGTTCTCAAGGACACATTCTCTGCAGACAGCAGCTCGTCAAAGGACAGCTCATCTAGTGAGGACTCTGGCACAGACGAGCGCTTTGAGATCCTGCCTGAACAGCGGTTGGACAGCATATATGTCACCGTGCTCAAGGGCCCCGTTCGGAAATACAGGAAGCAGGAAAGGAAGAGATGGTACACGCTGATAAGAGAAACACTCGGGGCCATCGTGCTTCTGCAATCGCCGCTTTCTGCGTCTTCGCTGGTTCGGCTACTCCGCGTTCCTGCAGAGGATGTGCATCGAACGCTGTACGAGTTGCACTCTATCGTAGATGTCCTGCAAGATCCGGATCGGCCAGTGCGCTTGCACCACCCTTCGTTCCGCGACTTCTTAGTTAATAGAAAGAGATGCGGCGACGACAGCTTCTGGGTAGACGAGAGCAGTACACATGAGACGCTGGCGTCTCGCTGCCTCGAGGTTATGTCTGCGCCTGACGGCCTTCGACAGGACATATGTGGTCTCTCGAAGCCTGGGACGCTGTGAAGCGAGGTGAAAGAAGAGACAGTAGCTAGCAGTGTTTCTCTAGAACTGCGCTATGCGTGCCGCTACTGGGTCGAGCATGTTGAGCGCAGCCAGCAGAGCATTACGGATGGAGACGTAGTGCACGTCTTTCTTCAGACGCACCTTCTGCACTGGCTCGAAGCGATGAGCCTGATGGAGGAGACAGAGCAATGCGTGCGCCTGCTGGCGAGACTGCAGGCGTTGGTAGCGGTAGGAGTCGGTACGTGGCCAACATAACAAGACAGACACTAACTTGCAACACAGTTACCTACGAGCGCGTGTGCAGACTTCCTCCACGATGCGCACCGATTTGTGCTGCGCTTCTGTTCCATTCTAGCAGAAGCGCCTCTGCAGGTGTACCTGTCAGCGCTTGTCTTTGCACCGGAGGCAAGCATTGTCAGGAAGACGTTCTTTGTTCAGGTTCCACAGGAAGTGGAGATGCTATCAGATAAAGATACAGACTGGTACGCGTGTCGCAGCGTGCTGGAGGGCCACTGGAGCTCGGTCGCGGCAGTGGCGTTCTCGCCAGACGGACAGCTGCTCGCCTCAGCATCTGAAGACAGGACAGTGCGAGTGTGGGAGACGGCGACGGGCACGTGTCGCAGCGTGCTAGAGGGCCACTCAGACGCTGTCAATGCGGTGGCGTTCTCGTCAGACGGACAGCTGGTCGCCTCAGCATCCGACGACGAGACAGTGCGACTGTGGGAGACGGCGACGGGCACGTGTCGTAGTGAGCTGCAAGGTCCGTCTCCGTACGTCGACCAACTCGGTTTCTGGTTGGATAGTCAGGTTCTGCACACCAACGAAGGAGACATGCCGCTGCCTTCAGATCTCTTCTCGACGCCACCTCTTGAGCAGGAAGAGCATCATTCGCAGCTTTTGGTAGAGGACCAGTGGGTGTTGCGCGATACGCAGCGCTTGCTGTGGCTGCCGTTTGAGTATCGGACAGACAACACAGCCGTGTACAAAGATATGGTCTGTCTCGGATGTCCATCAGGACGCGTAGCTCTACTAGCCTGCGACAGACGCGTGCGCAGATAGCATAGATAGCTGCTAACGTATAACTTAGCATAGATGTGCTATCAGTATTGCAGCCAAATTGCAAGCCTAATTACATGCAGGTTCACTGTCTCTTACGTTTTGCTAGCGTCGGCGCTCCAAGACTATACACAGCTACAGCTTCACGTGGTGCCATATTACAAAAGTCGGCCATCTGACGTTGCAAGCAGTCTGTGTGGCATGCAAAGCTGTCTTGCGTTAGACAGTATTAGCAGCGGCTCGCTTCGGGCATGGTAAACTGCACAATGCGGCTTAACTGCCGGACTGACTTTGGTATAGCATTGAATCCGGGATCCAAGGCATCGCTGGAGCAGATCTGAGCACGCTACGGCTTCCTGCTGCATGCCAAGAGCAACTAACAGCGCATGGCCACTCAGACCCGTCTCAACGATCTTGCCATTCAAGCGGAGAAACTACCGGGACGCACACTCCCTACTTTAAGTTAACCCTTTGAGTCCGCAGTTTTGACCTCTCACACCTTGGCTTACTTTCTAGCCCACCGAGCACTCTACAGATGTATGCTGTTACAAACAAACAAGGGGGTACCAGAGGCCAGTTGAAAGACAGCACTGCCAGAACGAGCGACAGCGTGGTCAGCGACCCGCTTTTCGACGCCGGAGGCCTAGGTGCTAGAAGAGCGTGAGCTGCAGAATGGTTGTGCACTGCGTATGTTCAATTACAATCGCGTTGAGCACGATCCGAGCCTCCAGAAGAAAATGTGTCCCTTTACACCGGGCGTCCCGGCTCGCTTGGATTGACATTACCTGTTCTTTGAGGCTGTGCGTCCGTTTACTCGTACAGAACAAGTTGGCCTTGTGAAGGTGCGCATGTTTCTTTGCTGGCATATGTATCCTTGGACACCTTGTTGAGCTATCGAATAAGTTAGCACCTTGGTTTTTCCGACTTCTGCATCCAACACCGGACTTGTTGTATCGACGCGAAAGTGGGGACTCTCGAGCTGCGATGTCGGTCCGGTAGGTCGGCAACTGGAGTACATCGGGCAAGAGAAAACGGAACGGTACAGAATTTATCTCTCGACACCGTCTTCACAACAGGCTGCTGAGACAGGTCTCAACATAAGGCAAGGGTGCTTCGATGACACTTGATCAGGAGACCAGGGTTATCGCTGTTGTTTGAACTGAACTCCAGTGCTTCGCATACTAAGCTACAATTTCCGAACCGCTATCTAGCATTGGTAAAATCAAAACAAGTAAAGAAACTGAGGACCAGATCCAGCCGCCTCCCTCGCAAGCCCCTGCAGCCAGCTCGGAGCCCTCTCCCTACTGGCTGCGCTGCTGCGAGCCACACCTCGCAAGGCAGCTGCCGACGTCCTGCGCTAGGTTTGCCGGAATCGCTTTCCTGAACGTCTCGTAGTTGCGGCCGTCAACAGTCTTGGGATAGCCTAGGGTAGCGTTCAAGACCCCTGCGTCGAGGCTGAACAGGTTCTGCGCTATGGAGCTCGTCCCAGGGTCGTCGGAGTCCAGCGCTGCGACAAAGACTGCCTTCTCACAAGCATCGTTGAACTGGTAGTGTATGCTGCCTTGCGGGAAGATGGTACCCTCGAACTGACTCAAAACACCAGCAATCTCCTGGTCCTGCTCAGGCCCCACGAGTCCGTTCTCCAGCACGCTGCCGAATCGCAGACTGGATTCCTGCACAAGGACGAGGAACTCGGCGGCGCGTGGATGCACATGGGGCGTGTTGATCCCGCAGGGCTCAAGGAAGCCAACCGTCAGGCTGATGCCGAGTCCGGCGGAAAACGGATAGCTCTCGATAGACTGAACACATCGAGCGCGCATCAGTATCACTGTGCTGGTCGGTAAGGCCAGACGTCGTACTTACAGCAGCTTTGGTGGCTCCGCCCAACGCGCCACTGACCGGCTGAGCTCCGTTGAAGTCGAAGACGATCAGCCGTCTCAGAGCATCACCAGTCAGTAGACTGCCACCCTGTACGAGCAGTCGCTGGAAGCGCTTGATGGCGGTAGGGGCGGAGAAGACGTCTTGAAACAGCTGTGCGCTTGCGTTTGTGGTGGAGGTGGAGGTGGATGGAGAGGCGGAGGGGGAGGGGGAGGTGAAGGTAAGGGCGGGCTGAGCACTCGCGCTTGTGCTGCAGCTCACGCTGTGATGGTGGGCGAAAGCGGTTCCGATCGCTGCGAGCCCGAGAGAGATTGCAGAGGCGCGCATGACGACGGACGGGAGCGATGAGTTTGAGCTTCGAGGTGGAAGCGTTGCAGAGATGGGTGAAGGCGCTATGGAGTTACTACGAGCAACGGAGAGCCAGCTTTCTCCCACATGATATACATGGGCTGTCCACTGCTTCCGCCTGGGATCCCACTCTTGGTCCCTCTCGTGACCCACTTCCGCGAGCACCAGCGTAGCAGATGTCTAGATGCTATTCTTAGCAGTCCGAACTATTCCAGGGTCACAGATTGTCACATACCGTGCAATGCTGTGCAGCATGCCATCGGCAGGTGCCTACCGCCGTCGGACTCGATGATCCTTCTTTTGGGCTTTGAAGCAAAGGGACAGAAGTCTCTCACGTTTGCTACAGCATTGTCTATGGATACAGTACAATCCGGTACTGTACGTACCGATGCACGTTCTTCGTTTCCAAGTACGATGCTATACTGCACTGTACTGTGCTGTACGTAGGTAACCGTCACACTGATCTACGGTGACGGACGTGCACCCGAGGTACACTTGGCGTGGGGCCCACTATGGCGACGACTTGTTGTGAACAGAAACGCACGGGTAAACCTACTTCGAACGGAAACCACTTGGGTAGATATGAGCAGACCACTTGGGTGGGTGGCATAGATTTTGATTTCTGATTCCAAATCAAATCAAATCTGATTTGATTTGATTGATTTGACTCAGATTCATGACCTTTTGATTTGACTCTAAATCAATTGAATCAGCCAGCTTAACCTTGGCTATACCCAATCCTCAAGAACTCAGTCTCTCAGCTGTATACACACCCTTGTAACGACTCTGCACACAGCAAGGCTATGGGGCAGACTAGCTTACAGCAGCTAGAGGCAAAGCTAGCTGGCTGGCACTATATATATTATACTACACAAAGAATACTTGCTTAAGTATTCTTGTGCTTACCTTTTGGTATACCTTGGAGATGTCACGTAGTATTGATATCAAGGGCAGGGCGCTCATCCATTACAACCCTTGTCTAACCTACTAATCCATGTCAGCTGGAGCTCCGGTATGGAGCCGGGAAGCTTCTGGTCTGTACAGCTGATTGTTGTTTGCCTCATTGTCCTATCCTATCTTTGTTCTATCTAATCTTTGTCTATCTGTTTGCTCTTAGCCAGCAAGCCTCATATAGGCTGCCGCTTACTATAGATAGACCAATTGACATGATTCATCCCAAGCTATTCTGCTTGACAACCCACTTTCCACTATGGCCAATCGTCCTAGAAGAAGCCACCTGACCCAGACATTTGTTGTCCCTGATGAAGATGATATATATGATGATGCGTCAATTGCACCGCTGGACGAGACAAGGACTGCAGAGGACACTGACAATACCAGCCTGATTGATATCAACAAGACAATTGCCACCTTCCTCACCAATGCTGACAGCCAGTCCCAATCAACTGCACCTTTGACGCCTTTGCCAGTTACTCCTGCAACAGAGGCTGGGGCACAGTTTCTTAAGAGGAAGAGAGGCAGCAGTACACCTCACAGGGGCCTTGGGCAGAAGGACAAGTCAGTTTGGAAGCACGCAAGAGCACGGCTACCCTACGAGGCAGAGAGGGATGATCATGGCCATCAAATCTTCTACTGTGCAGAGGACAATTGTAACTGGAAGGGCCCATCAAGCAATGCGGCTCGTCACCTTTGAAAACATGCCATCTTTGTGGGCAGATTCTCAACTACACCCTCAACAATTGCACAAGCCAACAGTCTACAACAAGGCCTTCAAAATATGGCTATGAAGCATGCTGAATCCAGTCACAATCAAACTGTCACAGTCCTCCGCAATGCTGCTCAAAAGCAGTTGTTCCGCAATGCCCTTGCCCGCTTTGTGACAGCGTGCAGTATATCACACAAATCAGTGGTCTCTAATGAATTCAAAGCATTGATTATGGCTGTCAACCCTGAGGCTGAGCATGTGTTGCTTTGCTCTAGTAGCTCACTGTCCTTACGTATTGTCCAGAACTTCCGTGCTCAACAAGAGGAGGTTATTCGGTACCTCTGCGATGATACAATCAGCTGCTTCCACATCAGCACTGACACATGGAAGACAATGCATGGGCACAAGCACTTCCAGGCAGTAAATGTCCAGTTTGTTGACCAAAACGGAGAGCTAGTTCAACTCCTTCTTGACCTTGTTGACATTGACAACGAAGAGTCTTAAACTGGGGCATACTTGGCTACACTTCTTATACAGACTATCAAGGAGTACAACCTTACTACACGTTTAGGGTGGATAACATCTGACAATGTAGGAGTGAATGACACGCTTGTTCGTGCAATTGAGGCCTTTATGCGTGCTGAAGGCATTAACTACTGGACTGAGAAGACACGAAGACTACGTTGCATTGGCCATATTATCAACCTCGCCACCCAGGCCTTTATGTTTGCAACCAACAAAGAAGCAGCTGAACTGGCATATGAAACAGCAAGGTTGTCACAACTAGAGTCTGACAGGGATGGGACAGAGAGTTACAGTGAGAGTAACTACGACATTGCGGACACAGCCCTTGTACGGCACCCTGCACTCGCAAAACTCCGCAGTTTTGCAGTTATTCTGCGAGATGACAAGTTTAATCAAGCCTTTAAGAGACTGGCAAAAGGGTTTCCAGAGTGCCCAGCAACTATCCCCAAGATCCCAGGCGAGACACGGTGGAATTGTTGGCTTCTTATGATTGAAGAGGCCTTCAGAAGAAGGCCTATCCTCAGCGCATTGTATGCAAGGTATCCTGATGCTCTGGAGTTAGTTGTGCTTACAGACAACGACTGGACACTCTTAAAACATGTCCACAATTTCCTTCTTCCTTTTAAGGAGGTAACTCTTAAGGCAGAGGGACATCAGGCAACCCTTGACTGTTTCCAACCATCCATGGAATTCCTGATTAACCACTTCAAAGACCAACAGAGGCACCATTCCAAGCACAAGACCCTGCTTGCCCCACTAAACATGGCCTGGTTTCTCTTTAGCAAGTACTACACGCTTATTGATGAGAGTGGTGCCTACATTACAGCTGCCCTCCTGCACCCAGAGCGTCGTTACAAATGGCTACAGAACCAATGGAATACAACAGAGAAGAAGAAGTGGTTGAAATTAGGTCTGCAACGGGCAGAGGCCTTGTGGCATATATACCGTGATTGGCTAGAGCCTACCCTGTCCAGCAGCCCAAGGGATCAAGATACCTCTGCAGCTGAGTTGTCAGCCTTTGATTGGTGGCAACAACAATCAGCTGTTGTTGCAGACAGTGAGGACAACTTCAAAGCCTTCATCTTTGCTCCTCCAAGTCGACTGCCGAGACAAATGACAGTTATTAAGTGGTGGGCCCAGCCAGCACAACGACAAACCTTCCCTGCCCTGTCACAACTTGCCATTGATGTGCTCTCTGCCTTTGCAATGAGTGCTGAGTCGGAGCAAACATTCAGTAAGGCAAGAAGGACAACGTCGTGGGAGAGATCTCAGTTGAGTGCCAACACAATTAGATGCTCGGAGTTGTTGAAGGACTGGTCACACCGTGGTGTTGCTTATAGACTGCCAAATGACTACATTGACAGTAATCATGGGAGCAACAGTGAGGCTCCAAGGACCCTATTTGTAGTATAACTATACAAAAATACCAACAACACCTGACTCTGATTTGACTCTGATTTGACTCTGATTTGTGCTGACTTGGCCTGATTTGACTCTGATTCCGGGTGTTTGATTTGAATAATTCAGGAATCAAAATCTATGGTGGGTGGAGAAGAACGACTGCGTTGAGGATTCTGTACAGTACAGTATTGTGTCTCCACTGGATGAGTCCTCCCGCCGCCGAACTTATAACTGTTGATCATAAACGGAGGCCCAAGCTGTTTTCTTGATACGCTGGCCCAAAGACTACCTGCGTACGCTGGGTCCTGACTTCGAGTTGCAGCAGCACCTGACACCGTTTCCATCAGCCGGACCACCAAAGGTCAGATCACAGACATCTTGCAACCACCCGCGCTACTCTGTACATAACGACTTGCGACGCAAAGACATCACGGTCATGAGTGTAGAGAGAAGCACTTTGCAGCTGAGCCGACGGCGGCTCCGCACATCCTCCTATAAAATATGTATCGTCTCCCTCGCGGGCCTTCATACCGAAACCCTCAACATCTGGACACATCTACTCGGTGCGGTTTGGTTCGTCTGTAGCACAATCCGCTTTGCGGCCGCCTGCGCCAATCCACTTGCCCGAGACGCTGCGGCAGTGTTGGTGTACCTCGGGGCCACTGCTCTGTGCTTCACGAGCTCGACGCTCTACCACGTCTTCGCCGATCACGTTCATGCAGACGCCTGGCTACGCATCGACCACTTTGGCATAGCCTGCGTGATATGGGCCTCCTCGGTCTCTTTCGTGCTCTTCTCCTTCGATTGCCGGCGAGGCGAAGGGTGGACGTATATAGCTCTTGTCACTGCAGCTGCGGCGCTGTGCCTGGCTCGTCTCTGGGACATGCAAGGGTACAGCACGAAGGGTCGGTTGAAACGTCTCAGCACACATATCGCCTTTGGAGGGCTCGCAGCCGTGCCTGGGCTTCGCTGCTGGCACTTGCACAAGCAAGGGCAGCACGTTCAACTGCTGAAGGAGTTCTGGAGTCTTGTCGCTATCAACAGCACGGGAGGCGGCATCTACGCAACCCATCTTCTCGACAAAGCTATCGGGATGGAGCTAGGCCTACCAGATGCCAGTCACCACGTCATGCATGTCATGGTGTTTGCCGGGGCGTGGATCTACGGACGAGGTCTTCTCGCCTTGTTCCGAGCTCGGGAAGCGGGTATTACGGGAGTATGCATGTGAAGGGAAAGGTGTATGTATGTCAGGGCATCGACTGCTTCGAGATGGCGCGAACAGATGGATGGACATGGGTGACAGGGTCGATTCAACCAGCACGTAACGCGGAGCCATTCGCTAACTGCAGATAGATCGTGAGCTAGGCTAGAATGCTTAACACAATCCAAACCTCGCGTTTGCTCCGTTCCAGTATGATGGACAAGCTGCGGGAGCAGGTAATCATGGTCATGTGTCTCAGCGGATGACGTTCCTCCGGCGTAAGTTCAGCTTTGCTGTTGGACAATCATTTGTATTGACATACTGCGCTGAATACGTACATTACCCCTCCCGTAGCCTTTCAACGTTAGCTCAGTGACGAAGATCAAACGCTAAAGGACGTATAAGGTCTGTTCTTGTGCACCTTTCTCACATGAATGCTATTCGTTCAGTGCGTTGGTCAGTAGTTTCGGCGCTGTGGTGGCGCATAAATTGAGTGTGGTGAATGAGTAATTATGCTTTTGTGTCTATGCATGTACGAGCGCGTGATCTATGCTCGAAAGTGGTCGGACGCGTTGGTCGTGTCTGCAGAGCAGTCATATGATGTAATGCTATTTGGACGTACGCGAGCTCTACCATCAAGAGTCAAAGACCAAGGGATTTCGAAAACAAGGGAACTAGTCGTTCACTTCACAAGATCAGGCAGCGACGATGGTTGCGAAGTTGCTGATGGGTATGATGCTGAAGAATCTCAATCCTCGGGTGTAGGTCGTACGATGACCTGCTCTCGATGGCTTTCACACAGCAAGTCTTTCTAACAGCAAGTTTTTCTATTTTCGTGCTAGTTTTACCGAACCATGTGTCCTAGTGCTAAGCATCATGCGCACTTTAGACGGCTTGTTGAACCAGTAGTTGTGCGTCTCCCATTCCTTCTCGGGCTCCGAAGGCGTTATGTGAAAGGAGCGCAGAAGCTGGGGGATCAGCTTGTACATTTCGCACAGCGAGATCTGAGATGTTAGTCCGCCCTAGCAGCGAGTTGTGTGGAACTCACGTTCTTCCCAATACACGTTCTTGAGCCACCACCAAACTATCGATCGTGTTAGCAGGCCTTCGGTAAGGTTACCTGTGCAGTGGCTGCAAGCACACACCTGGAACATCACCCTCTTGATCCTTGCTGCGCCTTTGCGGAACCATCGTTCAGGTACAAACTCATCCGCATCCTCTCCGAAGATTTTTCTGTCCCGTTGCACGACCGCTGCGTTGACACCCACCCGCGTGCCTTCAGGAAAGCATTCACCCGCGATGATGCACCCACCTGCGGGCACATGGCGCGGAAGTGTCAAGCCTACGCTAGGGTGCAGTCGCATGCCCTCCTTACAGCAAGCGACGAGGTACGGAAGCCCAACGGCTTCGTGATACTGGACAGTAGGGAGGCTCAGGAGCCCAGAGGCAGTCGCTTCGTCAATCTCGGCGGTGAGTTTAGCGTAGGCTGAGGGTGTTCGCACGAGGTGATACAGTATGGCTGTTATCGCAGCTGCAGTTGTGTCGGAGCCGGCAATGCTGGCGCTTGTCAGTTGTGGCCTGGAGCGTTGCTGTTTTCGGTGAACTTACAATGTGCCGTAGACCTCCATCTTCACTTCCATCAAGGTAAAGTCTTTTGCCTCTCCCTTCTTGTGCCAAATGTCAAAGAAACCATCGAGCATGTCTTTGCGGCCTCGATCGCACTTGAAGCCAAGTCTTCCCTCAGCGACACACGCATCAGACGCGCTCTCGATGTGCTTGAGAGCGTTGAGCGCCCTGAACACACGAGGTACCATGGCTCCGCTCGCAAGGAAGAAGGGTCGCATGTACGCCGGCATAACGCACGCCACAGCTAAGAACGGAGTGACCAGGTCCAAGGCGTGGATGTAGCGTTGGTGATCGTGCGCGTTCTCCATGAAGCCGAACTTGCGGCTGAAGAATAGCTCTCCAATGACATCGAAAGCGTACCTATGTGGCCAGATCAGCTTCTACAGTCGAGGGCTTGGTTGTCTACGACTTTACCATTGCACCCACTCCGCCATATCAACGGCCCTATTCGTCGCGGCGCGCTCTTTAAGCCTGCCCACGAGCATTTCGATACAGGCGTCAATGCCCTCTTCCAGTTGTAGGATGTTTGACAGAGAGTAGAGACTGCTGACGATCCTTCGGCGCTCGGCGTGCTGACGCTCATCTAAGTTCGTAAAAGCGTCTGGATATCTGCCCCATGTTGCTCGGAAGGGGAGATAGAAGTCGGTCTGTTACTGGTCAGCATGATATCCAGACATTGCAGGCTTCGGGGATTGACTTTGGTAAAACCAGAGTGAGCTCCGTAGATGGTTTTGATAGCGTCAGGATCTGCTATAGCCACCTCGTCTGGCGCTATACGAACAATAGGGCCAAGTAACTATCAGCGTTTTCTACGTCCTCTATACTTTGATCGTCACGTGGGCTCTTACCGTACTTCTCGTGGAGTCGTCTCTGCGATTTCTCGGCATTACCACTCGCGACATCAAAGATAAGCCAAAGTCGAGTGACCGATGCTAGAAGCGGCCCGGGAAACTTTGCTAGTGGATGAATGCACCTGGCATAGAGGATCCATCCAACCCAGCCAGCAGGAACTGAAACTAGGAGGAGGACGTGTAGAAGAGGGGAGAATTCGAGGAAAGATATGCTCCAAGCCATCTAGAGAGCTACATCGAGCGGCTTCGAGCGACTTCGAGCGATGCAAGGACACGGATGTCTCTGTGTTCTTTCGACCTTGGAGGGCCGACCATATGAAGATGATTGGGGCCGGCACACGTGGCGAACAGCTCTCCTCCAGTACAGTAACTAGACCGTACGTACTCGGGTGACCGAGGTGGGATCCCGCATTCCATGGACCGTTTGGATTTGGAGTGCACAGCAGACTACTTGGGGTCGCAGCATGCTCTTCAGCACAGCACGCAGCGAACCACTTGAGATGACCGAGAACCAAGCATGGTCCCTGCAGATGTTACAACTGCAATGTACATGACCTGGCGTCATTGGCCTAGCCTCAGTACTGTGCTGTTGTACGACTCCAGAAATGAAGGACTTGCTCGAGCCCGACACCTGCGGAGGTCATAGCACAGGAACGCCCTGTTATGGCCTCATTCACAAGTAAGTATTTTGGCCCGGAGTGGACGTACCGCGTAGGCGGGTGGCGGTATGTTCACGAGTAGTCCAGTGCTGACTATGTCCTTCTAGCGCAAGTCCACCAGAGGCTGGTGTCCCAAGTGGTTCGTATGGTAACTGCCAAATTACTGGGCATACGTAACGAGATAGGTTGTCCACGAGTGGTTTGACGTCCAGGCGGTGAGAGCTTCTGTTTGCGCGCGTCTAGCCAGATTAAGCACGTTAGTAGTGTATGGTGCTGTATGGTGCTGTACTGGACGGCATTGTGCGCCAACATGCACTTGCGTTTTCCGGTGCTTGAACGTAAGCCGCAAATCCCCTCGCTTCGCAGCTCTTGCTAAGCTCCTCTGATAGCTCTCATCGATTTTAGTCCGAGCGGCCAGTAGCGAACCGACTGCAATACTAGGCAAGCGCACGCCGATCCGGCCTTACCCAGCGCCCGTGCGTACGAAGACTGCCTCAAACACACACATCCGTTGTAATACTTTGTCTCACATATACCTCGATTGTGATGCTTGGTCCCACTGTCATGTAGCAGAAATTACAGCTTCCATTCTATCCCATCCGCTTACCGTTTACTTGCCGCGGCGCAAGTTTTCCAAAAATTACGCTCTCTCCAAGCCAAAACCACCCTTCATGCGCTATTCTGACCAGGTGTCGTTCGCCAGGTCTCGGCAGTCTGAAAGATACCACATAGGATCAGTAAGGAGTGAGTTGAGGAATGAATTGAAAGGTGAATTGAATTGAGTTGCAAGCATGAGTGAGAACTATCTAGAGGTGGGAAGAAGGGGGTTCATATACCTAGATGGGTGGCAAGCTGACAAATGGGAGCTGACAAATGGGTGCTGACACAAGTATAAAGACTGGTAGGGTTGTTGGCTGCAAGCCATGTCAGGATGACACCTTATCCCCAAGAACTAACAGAACCCGTATACTTGGGACTCTGTCCTGTGTACAACTTCAACAGATTATTACTTACACATATATTTGAATTGCAGAGTACGTCTCTATATATATAGAGTTTTAGCTTATAGTTACAAGTAACAGTGTGTTATGTACAGTGTGTAACGACGCAGGCCAGCAGGGAAGATATCCGGAATAAGTGTGAGTCCGCTACGAGGCATATGGGAGTGCTGGGACGTTGAGAACACTAGGATTGAATTCCCTACACCTATAGGTCTTGTACGAAAGGATACAGAAAAACTACTCTATCTAACAACTGTGTTGAACTGCTTAAGTATACCGTTAGGAGGACAATCGGACCCGGAGCGGTAGACTAGCTTATCGTGCATGCAGGTGCCAACAGGGGCTCAGATAGTACAGCAGCGCGATGCCTGCCGACATGTATGCAGATAAGGAACGACTCGGAACCGTACCGGTGGTCATTCGGTTGCAGTTGTTACACAGTGCCTTTAAATATTTAGCAATTAATTTGTTTTAGGCTAAGTATATGCTAGTCCTCTGCTGCAACACTACCCTGCATTATTGCAACAACTACAACTTAAATTACTACTTAAACAAGTGCATTTAAATCGTAGAGTTCTTGCAGTTACAGGCAACAGGATGCTTAGACTAGTAGAGGGTAAGAATAATATGTTTTAGGCTTAGCGCACGCTAGTCCTGTACTGCTGCACTACCCCTCCTTTAAATGCAATGTCTTAACAACTATTACTTAGATTAAAATTTAGAAGAGTATATTCAAATTCTACAACTGCATTGCAAGTTTGGCATCCTTAAAGAGAAAACTTAATTTTTAAAGGTTGGTCTTACCCTTGCCCCATCTGCCCTCTTCCAATCGCATATCTGCTAATCATGATGCCTGCGGCGTAGCATCTCGGCTGTGCAAAAGTCGTTCAGCTTCCTTGCGTTCACCTACAGTCACCTGCTCCTTCAACTGCTCAATGTGCTTCTTCTTCTCAGCATCCTTCATGACCTTGTTCAACTCTATCTCGCGTATCTCAAGCTTCAGCGATAGCATGTCCCTCTCATGAGTCTTCTGAGTCTTCTCCTCCTCATATCTCTGACGATCCTCAGAGAGTGTTGCAATTCTTAGGTTTCTCTCAAGATTGATCAAACGTCTGTCAACAACGCCACGCTTGTGTGAGAGGTCAATGTGTTGAGAGTCTGTTTCAAATTAGTTACAGTCTCATAAAAGCTTCAAGTGACTAGGTATTGCAGACTCACCTTCCGAGGGAGGTTTGTGGTATTGTTTGGTAGGCTCATCGAGGCTCATGAAGAACATCTAGATAGTTAGCTTGGTCCGATCGTCCTTGTCATTATCACAAACCTCCTCATCAGGCATCTTAGTGTAGGCCGGCTTGACGGAGCTCTTGAGAGAGTGCTTTTCGTTCCACGCATCAACCTCTGCTTTGGCGAGATCCTCTTGTCTGCGCGCGTTGTGCATATCCCCAGCCTTTGCGAACTTCGCGGCATCGAGCCTATGCTTCAGTACCTTGAGAACATGCCTCTCTCGAGGAAGCCTTGCCTCAATACGTTTGATTCTCGTAGCATCTCTCTGATTTTCAGGCTTTTTCATCTCTTTCTTGAGAGCATGCTCGTCATTCTCGACCTTTGAAAGCCACTCAGCGTGCTTCACGGTGGGATCCAGCACATCTTGTTTGAATGAGCCATCTGCTTCGAAGCTGTGGGATTTGGTCGATACCTTTCGAATCATGACAGCAAGTCGTACAAGGTCGTTCAAGAGCGTATCAGCGGCTTGAATGACTTCGACCAGTGATAGAGACAGCGAGCTTGTGGTTTCATGGCTCTTGTTTGAGTATGCAAAATCTGTTGTACGTTAGGATTTGCTGAACAGTAATTATTGGAACCAACCTTCAAGTCGAGCAGCCTGTGGCGTGTAAGACTCATATCGGCTCACTGTTTGATCACTTCTGCGGCCTCCCCCATGTTAGCACCGCTTACCTAAGAAGCTTGGTCTGAGATCTTCAGGACTCACCGAATTCTCTGCACTCGTCTATGGTAACCTTGAACACATTCAGAAGGCTCAGTATGACCTTTTTGATATGCGGTGTTGAGATTAGCCGGTCTTCCAGGGAGGAACCGCTCTGGGAAGAAGCACCAATGCTGGCATCCCAGAGCCGGAAATCTGCCAGTCTATTCTCTGCCCATTCATCCCAGAGGTAGCTGATGGTATTGCATGAAGTAAGGCTGTTTCGACAAGCGATGGCTGCATCTGCGATGTTCGAACACCCAAAGGGTGGGTCAGCGGATGAGACAGGGTGCTGTGTGAGGTTGGAGCTCGACATGCTTCCTCACTCTGGCATGCGCCTCAAGATCGCGCGCACGAAACGAGAGGGAGGTAGTGTGAATGTTGAGCGTTGCGGTCGGGACTGCCGACGTAAGCGCCGTGGCGCAAGTAGTCGCTACCGTGACTAATCAATCAACGGGCCGGCTCAATGAACGGGTCACCCCACCAACTTTCACACTTACTTTGACCCCCCCCCCCCACCAACCCACCACCACAATGACTCTGAAAGCTGCCCTTGCAGAGATAAGGTCTTTGAAACAAGGAGAATCTTTTTCGTACCAATTTCTTGCCAAAAAACATGGTGTTTCCCGCACTACTTTGACAAAACACCACCAGGGTTGGAGAACAACCTGTACAGGGGCTCATGATCAACGCCAACTACTATCACAACGCGATGAGGCAGAGCTTGTACAATACATCAGAAGCCTCACTGAGAAACACTGTCCACCTACACAGCAAATGATTATCAATTTCGCAACTCCCTTGTGCAAATGGGAGCCTTCTGAGGCATGGGTTACAAGGCTTATTCACCGTCATAACGACACCCTTATCACTGCCTGGACCACCCCCATGGAAAGCAATTGTCATAAGGCTGATAACGGTGAAAGATACCGTCTATACTTTGGTCTTCTGTCTGAGAAAGTTGCGGAGTTTGAGGTGGAGCCTGAGAACACTTACAATATGGACAAGAAGGGATTTATGATTGGGGTAATTGGCAAGACTAAGAGGGTATTTGATAAGATACTCTACAAGGAGAGGTGCTTCAAACAACCTACTCACAATGCCAATTGGGAGTGGGTAACCATTATAGGGTGTATAAGTGCTGACGGTACTACCCTCCCCCCCGTGGTGATCTTCTCTGCAGCCGGAGACAAGGTGCAAGCCAATTGGGTACATGATATTGACCCAGAGACTCACTCTATATACTTCTCAGTATCACTGAGTGGCTGGACAAATGACAATCTTAGTGTTGCCTGGCTTAAGCAAGTGTTTGAGCCTGCCACCAAGAGGAAAGCTTGGAGAAAGTTTAGATTACTCATTCTAGATGGCCACAGCAGCCACGTGACAAAGGCCTTCCTTGATTACTGCAATGACCATTGAATTCTGGTGCTGGTATACCCACCTCACGCTACTCATACGCTGCAACCCTTAGATGTGGCGTGCTTCAAGCCCCTGAGTCAAAACTACTGAAAAGAGCTTGTATATCACGATCATACAACGGAGGGATGGCTCCCAGTGAAAAAGGCAGACTTTATAAGTCTATTCTGGCCTGCCTGGATCAATACCTTTATGGAAACGTTGGTGTTGAGTGCCTTTGAGAACACGGGTATATACCCACTCAAACCTGATATCATACTTGATCGCTTCAAAAAGTCAACACCACCACCACCTATGATGCCTCAAGAGCAAACTAAGCCTCAGCCTGCTTCCTCCTCCCAATTGGCAACATTGTAGGTCGAATTTTGACCAAGCAGTGAAGTATGGTGATCAAACGGCTGCTAATGAAGCCTTACAGGCTATACATCAGCTTCATGTACAGGTTGAGCTCCAGAATCACAGGATAACAGACCTTGAACAGGCTATACAGGCTAAGAAGAAGCGGAGTAAGAAAAAGAAGGTGTTACCACTGTCACCGCGCGACCCTAATGTACAAGGTGGAGCAATATTCTATGATCCTCTATCCAAGGCACGTGCTGTAACAGGGTTATGGTGCTGTAGTGAAGTAGGCTGTCACGTGTCGGGACGATGGCGCTAACCCATCAGGACGTTAGCGTGGTACGGATGAGAGCGCATAGATAATCGTGCACACAATGGCCAGGAGACGGTAGCAATTAATCTTATGAGACCGCCCCCCATTGTTACTAAGCTCACTGTCACAGATACCCTTACACGTGCTGATCAACGTATGAAGGATGCAGAGAAGAAGGAGTTGGAAGAAGAGGCAGCAAGGGCAGATAAGAAGCAACTACAGTACAACAACAAGCTTCTAAGAGAGAAGACTAAGGCAGAAAACGCGGAGAAGGCTGCGCAGAAGCATGAAGAGACTGCTCAAAAGAGGGCCCAAGAAGAGCGTGAACAGCAAGCTCGGAAGGCTGAGAAGGAACGCGTGAGAGAGCTCAAGAATGCGCAAAAAGCATCTAAATTGCCTAAACAGGCAAGGAAGAAAGCCTCAAAGAAATTGCAGTCAAAAATATCCAAAGGTGGTGGTGGTGCAGCAAGGCGTCGTCCACAGGTGGCTCATGAGCCCAGCTCAGCACCCCAAGGAGTTGAGACCCGTAGTGACTGTGTCACACGTCCTACAGAAAAACTGAGATAGCCAAAAGTTTTGCGGTAGTCAACACTATATTCTGACAGCTTCTTGTATAATAATAATTACTCTACGTGGTGGTGTAGCCTTACTGTTGTGGAGGTGACAAAGTTGGTGGGGTGGCCCGTTCGTTGAGCCGGCCCGTCGATTGATTATCCACGGTATCGGGCAGCATCCCACTTTACCCTCATACGCTCAGCCGCACAAGTGCAGCGCGCAAGATGCCAACGCCATGTGTCAGGCTTCGCCAGCATCAGCGGTACCTCATCTCTCCCTCGCTTTTTATCGTCCCTCTGATTATACTTGCTCAGATCAGACTTTGTTGAGTAAGATGCAATGCGAACAAGGTCTGAAGGAGACCTTAACCGGCTTGCGTGACATCGTTATAGGTCTGATTGCGGGGCTCCACCTTAATGACCTGCCGAAACTATGGGTCCTCACGCACATTTGCGCTGTTCTTACAGAAGCCGAGCAACAGCCGAACAACCTGCCGAAGGACTTCCTCCACGAACTGCAGATATTGTGTCGGGCAAGTATCCCTGGAATGTCGATATGGACTGTACTCATTGTAGCAGTGGCAGCAGGCACCTACGGGACACCCTCATGAACATTGCGATATTGACACGGAGGCCTGGCTCTGTTGTGCAGCACAAGAGCATGCTAATGACGGATTCTGGAAATACGCATCGGCTTCCATGGATGAAAGAGAAGGCCTGCAGTACTTCCGAACGAGAGCCCCTCTCAAGCTGTTCATGGATTTTCAAGAGCATGACTTACTTCATATCTTGGAGACTTCCGAGGGCAAAGATGCGCTGGAGGACTTGCCACGTTCAATTGCGAATAGTCTCCACACAGCTCTATCAAAATACGCAAAGTGTGCTTGTCCGGGATCTGAAGCCTCCTCCAGAAAGTCACGACAGCATGAAGCCAGGCTATGTCTGGTAGGGCGCCCAAACTGGACCGATAGCTTTGCAAACAACGATCTGCATGTCTTCAGTTCATCGACTGTCCAGGTAGACTCGTCGATTTGCCAATGGCAACAATTGCGGATCCAGATTGCCCAGTAAGTAGTCCTTCTATTTGGCAGACTTCCACTCACATGGTTTGTGCCGCTGTAGTACAAGACCTCTACGGGATCAAACAGGCGAGCTCACCCTAACTGGCACCAGTCCCGAGGAAAGAGAGACGGTGGACTTTCATCGACGCCAAGCCATGACCAGAGAAGTCGAATCCGCAATTCAGCCTGGGGGAGGCTTTTGCGAGCTGCTACGCAAAAGCTCTGGATCTGTCAGGATGATTCTTCGTCTCAAAGATCAGTCCCTCGCCTATTTCGATGGAGAAACACCGCAACAGAGGTTGAGAAACGAGCCGAGTATATCCTTGGCGGAAGTGATGTCGCGCTACGCCCTGACAAGGAAGATGAAGCTGGCACTTGCCTTTACATTAGCGCGCTCAATGTGGCAGTACTATGACTCTGAATGGACAAAGCGCGAATGGTCAGCCGAGTCAATACACTTCATGACGGAGCTAAAAGCGCCCAACTGGCAAACAACGGTCATCACTTGTCGGCCCTCGCTTATGACTTCTTTCACCAACGTTGAGACACACAAGCTTGTGGAAGAGTATGCCGATTTACGACCCGTTTGTCACAATTACCCACGAATCCTTGCTCTGGGATTGTTGCTGGTCAGGATTGGTTGGGATGACCACATTCCATTTACCAATCATTCCACAAGTCCTGCAATGTCACAGCGCAAACTGAACGATGAATGTTCTGAGGGCCATGACATGTGCGAAGAGTCAAGCTGGCCGCGCCTTGGTCCTTGCGATCCGGCTGGAGACAACATCAGAAAGAGATACAAGGCTGCCACCGAGGCATGCTTTGACAACAAGGCTCTGAGGACTGCTTGTTCAAGGTACGCATGCTGACACTTTCTACTCATGCTACTGCCATTGACCGTTCGCGTAGCCACTGCCAACGGAACGCAATCAACTCTACCGGAAAACGAGAGCCGTGCTCAAGCTGTATCACATCGCGACGCAGATATCTGTTTGAGAAGGTTGTCAAACCTCTACACAATCTGATATTCTCCCTCAAATTTCAAGACATACTAGACAAGCCTTGTGTTCTGCCTTTGAAGTCGTTACCGAGCAGGTTGGGTCAGATTGGATACCAAGGATCGGGATCTTACCAATCAGATGTTAGCCTGGAGGATAGGTAAGTCCTTAGATGTCCTAGCGAGACATTCGGGTCTCTGACTCAAGAAGGTCGAAGCAATATACGAAATGGAAAGAGGCATTCCGACGCACTGCGGATGCATTTGAGACGGATCCACCTTTGGAGGCCTCCAAACGCATCAAGATAGCCATCCTTGACAGCGGCCTTGACAAAGAGCACAATGACATCAGGAGTGCACGAGAAAGGATCAGAGTCTTCGATAGGTCGGAAAAGGACCCTCATAAGCCCAGGTTCAAGAAGCTGAACCATGCCGCTATAAGCGACAGTGTGGGACATGGTACACACGTTGTTGGACTGATCCTTGAGTACACTTCCGATGCTGAACTGTACGTTGCCGATGTCAACGTGGACAAGCAACCAGATCGTGAACGTGTTGCGGAGGTACTCATCATTGCGACCATTTACCGTAGCTCATGCTTACTGTGATCAGGCTATTACGTGTGCCGTTGACGCTGGAGCCGACGTAATCTCAATATCAGTCGGTTTCGAAGAACGGGAATTGCCAGATCCTCTAGAACAGGCGATCAAGTATGCAAAAGACAAGGAGGTTCACGTGTTCGCAGCTGCATCTAACCAAGGTGCAAATCGTCGTCGAACATACCCAGCACGCTACGACGGTGTCTTCTGCATACATTCGACCAATGCTTTTGGGGACTTTTGTGACTTCAATCCCACGAAGCTCGGGGACTGCAACTTTGCTACCATGGGGGTTGCGGTTACATCCTCGTGGCCGAAGAACCTAGCTCAGTCACCTGAGAGCTACGAAGGAGGTAGCGTCACGAAGGCCATGACCGGAACATCGGTTTCGACACCCATTGCGGCAAGTCTTGCAGCTTTCCTGTTGCGATATGCTAGAACTCATCTCGATCACGAACACATAGTTCAACTTAAGAAGCATTCTGTGCTGCGCTCAGTTCTGAAAAGTATGGCGCAAGAACGAGACAGGGTGTTCTACTTGAGCCTACAATCGGCTCCTGGACACATGTTCGGATGGCATGAAGCGGACATTCAAAGGGAGATGAAAAAAGTCATTCACGACTCTGATTGAAAGGAAATGCAAGGAAACGCCGCGCATAGTCACTCGGGTAGCTCAATCCTCATCGTCGGAGTCCTCCACAATGCCCAAAGTAACCAAGTTCTCGCCCTCTGTTTCCGCCACAGTGAAGGTACTACACTTCACGTCAGGACGAGGTTTGTCCACGGGAGTAACAGCCAGCTCAAAAGACTCCGCGTCTGCAGTCGTAAGCTCGAGATAGGCGCCCTTGAGATACTCTCTCTCTTTCTTCGCTTTCCCTAGTTTGTCAACCTTGATTTTGCTAACCTTGTATGCCAGCACAAAGTCGGTGCTTCCGTTCCAGGACACATTGAACTTCGACTTCCGACCAGCGCAAACTTCAGGGCCACCGCCTACCGGAACTGCGCCCCCACTGATTGCTGTTCCATCGGCCTGAACACCGAGCGCCACGTCTGTAGTACTCGACTGCGTTGTAGAGATTCCCCCTCCTCGAACAACCTTTATGCCCGTGACGACCCAAACGTGTTTGCGGAACCATGTTCGATCAAGGTAGCGTATGACACCGTCAGCCCGGACGCAGCGGTCGATGTACGCTTGGTATTTCGTCTGATCGCCCTTATCAGTGTCTCCCCCGGCAGTGTTGATGTAGGTAGTATCAAGGCTATTGAACGTAAAATACTTTCCTGACCTAACCGAGAGTCAATTGAGTGTACTGGTGGCTGCGTGGTTGAACTGACGATCTTTCACCGTTGATCCCTACGTCGCCAGACAGAGGTAGCAATCCACCCAAAAACGTAGTCATGAACGACAGCCCGCCAGACCTCCCCTTCTCTTCTCTGAGCGACGTGCCAGTCTTTGTCGAAGTGATCAGAGATCCAATATCGGGCTTCACTGTTGCAAGGGGGCGGTGCGGCTCTTTGAGCGAGGATATGACATTGCCGATCTGAATCGGGCCGTCCGGCGTGGGAGGATAGTCCCAATTGCGAGAAAGGTAGTATTCAGGTACTTGAGCTGCCATGTAGACTGCTACGGGGAGGGAGGGACTTGCGTAAGGGACTAAGGATAGCAACAGCGAATCAGCCAGATCATATAGGATGCAGCCTGGTACCTGGCCAGAGTTACGATCGTGCAGTGGCTGCCGTTAGTATCCCTTATGTGGTGTGGTCGATCAGTGACAGGAGAAGGCTACAGCGAGGTGGCATGGAGCTGCATCAGCCCCGCCTCACTGACTGCGCGACGCCTACTCCAATCAAGTCCCTTAGAACCATGCTCATGCAAGATCAAGTACTTGCGCAAGCGCTTCGTCCTTGCAGACGCGTAATACGCCATGCCTGCGTTGCAGATGCAAAGGTCACAAAGAAGGACACAAGACGCGTGCGGATCGTGTTTGTTGGCAAGGACGCGAGATGAGGGGCAGCACCAGCTACGTTAGCTCTGCACCTCGACCTCAACAGCCCGCTCAGCCGCTGTAGACATTGTGACCCTGCATATGCAAGACCATCCCCAGCCCCCATTCCGAGCTTCTGCAACTTTCTATTGACGGAAGGCCAGAGTGACTGGTCTTCTTTCGCCGCGACAGCCTACACTGGTAATGCTCTAATTAATTGTACCGTGTCCATGCGCATAACAGCTGTATGCGGAGTTCGCAAGGCCTACCCGTTCTACTAAGGGGCTATTCTAAGCCTGAATAGGGTATAAGAGGTGAATTCAGGTTAAGACCTAAAGCGGAAACGGCCCGCGTCGGTGTTGCTGAGTCAACCAAAGCGCCCAAGTTCTGAACGTCTCGTTGCGTGAGAACGATTCACCATCGAACAACTCCATGATGCAGCACAGCATACGGCAATGTCGAACTCGCAAACTGATGTAGCGCAGCATCATCGCGTCACGCCGCCGCCTAGTTGTACGCACCAGCTTTTGACGCCTCCGTCGACCAACAGGAAATCGACTGCAGGACCGCTTCGCGTCATAGCGCTTTTCAGACAGATCCAAGCAGGAACACACACAAATTGCGGTCCGTGGATAGAGTTTCAACTTGCACAAAGCGATTTTGATCGGATTCAGGATACACTCCGTCAAGACAAGGTGCTCTGGGGTTTCGTGGACGACAAAATACGGTCAGTAAACCTTGGAGTTGTTCGGGAGATCATGGCTGATAGTAATTTCTGGCAGGCATGACTACGACGAAGACAAGCGCAGACTAGTCGTTCGCATGCCTACTGCGATACATGAGCTATTCATCGACAAGCTGGAGGATGACATTCGCTCCCAGTTGAAAGGAATCCGTGGTGGATCTGACAGAAACGCTCGATTCGCGCAGAAGGTGCAACCAGCCCGGTTGACTGAATTACGTTTCTCTGCTAGCGCCTCCTCTAGCAAATCAAAGTACGAGCCGGACGCGTCGTTCATACATGACGATGCAGAATATCCGGGCGTCATTATCGAGGTCGCATACTCACAAAAGAAGAAGCGTCTAGGCCGGTTGGCCGAGAATTATCTTTTGGACTCGGATGCTAGCGTACGGGTCGTCGTTGGTCTGGATATCGACTATGGCAAGGAGTCACGCAAGGCGGCTTTGTCAGTTTGGCGACCCAGACTGTTTGAAACTGCTGACGGGCTCGAATTGCGAGCTGTCGAAGAGGTCGCGCATGAGGTAAACAGTATTTCCAAAAATTCAAGGCATTTCTTGTCCTAACTCTCCTACCTACTAGGTTTTCCGTGACGATGAAGGAAACCCCACCGAATCCCTTGGCCTACGGCTCTGCCTCAGCGATTTCACCTGTGAAGAACTTGTGCAAGAGGAATTGGGAAGCGACAATACAGAGATACAGATCACCGGAAAACAGCTTTGCCAATACCTTGATGTCGCAGAGAGCAAAGCCCGACGAGCACTGCGCAAGCATTCATTTGCTAAAGTGGTCGTCAAAAGGAAACGGTCGGAAAAACCTCCTGAAGAGATGAAATCAGGCGATGAGGCAAAGTACGCGGAGCAAGAGGAGAGAGCAGCGAAACGCGTTGCGGATGATGACGTTGATTATGAGGAATCACCATCGTTCAACAGTCTTTCAGAGTAATCAGATGAGAGAGTCAGAGGAAGGCAATGGACTCTGAGCTGGGTTAGTTGTTCAAATTGTCCGTCCGGTGGATCCTCATACCAGCGTATCTCTGGATATTGAGAGCGTTGAGCAGTCCAAACTTGTACAACTCCGTACCAGAGGCCTTTGATGTTAAGTAGCTGTTATGAACACGCTGATGTTGAGTAGCTATTATAAACACGCAGAGACAGAGTATTCTCTACATAAACTCTATAACAGGTCGTCTTTGAGGAGAGCGCGAAGGTGCTTTTGAGAGGGGGGCTTTCTACGGGATAGTTTGAAATTGCAGAGGGTCAATTTGTTGGCATTGCAAGGCGTTTAGACCATATAGAGCTGTCCTTTCTTAGATGGTTACTAGTACAGGTACAAGACATGATAGAAACGAGTGTAGCTGCTGCTGCTGTATTGCCCGGAGTATGCGCTTTGATGCGGCTGCGCTAAGCCTAGATAGGCTATAATAATGAGCTGTTTCGTGACTAGCTCGAATCGGGGGCGACTCACCCCCCAATTCGTGGACTATTCCAAATTAGGGACGAGCGGAGCGCTGTTCGTGAGGGTCGCGTGGAGGTAGGGCCCACCACCCACCCTTCCAACTTAAGTACTCGAGTTGTTTAGACTACCTTAGTTGCTAAGACTACCCTAATAATCCTTTTCTTGCTGCTCTCTACCTGTCTCTCTTCCTATCTTACACCATCTTCTTTCTCCCTCTTACTTTTCTTCGTTTCTCCCCGCCGGCAGCTGTGACTCCCCCCACGGTCCCACACGCCCCATCGAAACGCATCCAGCTCTCTCCCCGTCAGCCTGGCGTGCGCAGTGCAATCCCTTGCCGTGTGTCTCTGCCACTCTCCTGCCTCTAGCTCGGCCCCGATCAACCAGTACACCGCGCACCCTTCCCGCACCTCGTCCAGCACCTCCTGCACCTGCTGCCACTCCGTGCTTGCCTCCCTCTGCTCGTCCTCCCACCCCCGAGCCCCCTCTCCGTACCGGTTGCACCTAGCCGTCTCCAGGTCGTTGCACTCCACCCGCTTGCCGTCCAAGTAGCCGCTCATCAGCCCTCGTCGACACCCGCTGCCGATGATGAACACGCCCATCGCCTGCATGTCCAAGTCGCCGCTCTTCTGCTTCATCGTCTGCTCCACCTCGCCCTTTTCCACCAGCACCACCGAGTCCACCCTCTCGCCGGCTCGTCCGCCTCGCCGGCTCTCCTGCGCGTAGTCGATCATGCTCCACGGCATCCCCACGTGCACTATGTACATGACCCTAAGTAGCACAAGATCCTTTTTATGTATTCTTTCCACTAGTTAGAGACGGAGGCTGGTGTGTAGAGCTTATCTGTGTCCTTATCTTACTCGCTGCTGCTGCTATCGTTGCTCGCGGCTTTGTTACTGCGTACTGCTCTTCTTGCTTGTTCAGCAGCTTCTCGTGCCCCTCTGTTGCGGCCAGAGCGGCGTGCCTGGACAACCAAGGACGTGTGGCTACAGTCTCTGATGTTGCGCCCACTCTGCTTACTCCGGTAGCAAGCGCTTTTACACAGCCTCCGTTTCTTGTATTCCTGCTCAAGCTTGAGCAGGTCTGCGCGCAAGGCATCAATCTTCCTTTGAGTCGGACTAATGCTTTCTTGCCTGTGTTTTCGCTTACTTCGTTGTTTGCCTTCTTTGACAGATGAAGTTTGCCGGATTGTATCATCGGCAGAGGACACTTCCACTTCGTCGATCACCTCCGGTGATAACATCCCAGCATCATCCGGATGGTAGCCAGGTGCGCTGAGAGCAGGTTTGGATGACGAGTTTCCTACGTCGGAGTCAACGTCTACAGTAATTGGATCTTCTTCAGTAACAGCGAGGAATCGGTGCCACACACGGCTGTTCTGGAAGTACCGCTCTACAAGCTCAGGTTGCAGCTTAGCCGGGTACGCACGGTCGAGAGCATATGCGCCAGCATGGGTTGATGGATTGTGACCTGTCTGGAAGGAGAGAAGTCGTAGGAAGCCATCGTAGTCTTTTGGAGCGTTGGGGTCGAAAGGCTGCACAAGGCTAGGAAGATGCTTTTTGCTGACAGCTACCGCCACCTGCCGATAGATCTTGAAGGAGAGCTGTATCGGGCACTCTGTAGTAGACTGCTGCAGGGTCTTTGAGCAAGATGCAGGACTAAAGCATGCCGACGGACTATCGTAAACAGTGAACAGATGTGGGTTGGTTGGAGCAGTCGCGTTGACGAGCTTCAGTTGACGGCTGAGAAAGTCGCTGAATGGCCTGATGTAGGCTAGGTAGAGAAACAAGCATCTCTCGATAGCCGAGCAAGGAACCCGAACAATGAAAAACGAATTGTTTGAGTTCTGACTAGCCTTGTTGTACGAAAAGACTAGCATGATTTGGCTTTGGCAAATGAAGACGTTGCGCTGCACAGCCGCTGTGTCTGCCCATCTCAAAACGCGAAGCTCTTCGCCTCTTGCGGGCATGCCACTAGTTGTATGCAAACCGCTAAACAACAGTTTGGCCAGACGATTACACTGCTTGAGGTACAGACCTGCTTGCTCTCGGCCTTTGCCCTTTAAAGCAAACTTACCACAGTCTTTGGAGAAGGCCAGTCAACTAAGGTTTCTGAAGCTAGATTGTAGCTGGTTTGCAGGATCTTGTAGGAACGAATTGTTGCGATTCGTGCCTTAAGCAAAGCTCGTAGACACTATTTGATTGGTTCTCAGGGATGAGCGGAGGTACAGGGAGTCCGTAGGGGTTTGACAGTCACCTAAGCAAGGCTTGGGTGGTCAGGGGTAGACTATCCGGGCGAGGCGGTAGTAGCCTTTGTAATAGTCGAGGTAATAGCCATCTAGCCGGAGGCCGTGACGACTGGGGGGCAATGAGTAGTACAGAGTATACTGTCTGGCTCGAGAGCAAGTGAGATTCCAATAACAAAGTTGATTGATGAGGTTGAACACGATGCCATAAGGGCAGCGTGTCTACTTGCTATATACATGAGCAGAGGATTGCTCAGATCGCTCGGTACTGAGTATACTGATTGTACCAAGTATACTGCTCGTACCGAGTATACTGATCGTACTGAGTATACTGACCGTGTCGATTGCGTAGTCCTGTTTGTTCAGTGTTGTTGCGGGTTGCCCTTTGATTGTAACAGTTGCTCCCATAAGCGCCGTGAGCTGTTCTTATCAACCTTCACCGACCTCACCGATGAGGACCCTACATGGAAGTTTGTCAAACTTCAACTACTCCAAGACGGCGGAGTATGCTGGCAATAAGTTTATATCATGCTTCTCCGTTGCCAGGAGCTACGTAAGCCAATTGTAGTGTTTCAACGCAAGTACAAGCAACAAGCCAAGACCAATAAGGAGTTTGCTAGTGGTGACGATGCAGGTCAACACGACGACCCTGTGCTTGACGCGTTATCGGACAACGATTGGCTCAAAGTTGATGAACTTATCAAGTTTCTCAAAGTGCCGTACGACCTTTGCAAAGCGTTGGAGGGTAACAACAGCGTGTCAGGCTTTGGCTCGTTGTGGCATACTATCGTCAATCTTCAAGCACTTTGGCAGCACTACGAGGCATGCATCAGTAAGTTTGACCACGACGACGTTAGCTACTTTGCAACAGCTGTCGAACTCGGCCTCTAGATGCTCAACACATACTGGGAAAAGTTGATACTTGACCCCAAGTACAGCTACTACACCGTTGCCACAGCTCTCCACCCCATGTTATGCCTTAATTGGTTCAAATCCACATGACGTGAGTTTGACAATTGGCACAAGAAAGCCGAATGTTCTCTCAACAAGATGTTTGAACAGTACGCTGCCGCCTCGGATAGCCACCAAGTGTCACAAAGATGTTACAAGTAGGCCCTTTAGGACTTGCGAAGGAGTCTAAATCAATTACTATGTACGGTATCTAAGCAGGTACAAGACGTTGTGTACATAACAGGAGCCAGGAAGCTTGAGTAGAGGATAAATACGTGGGGTGTCATCTGTGCTCAGAGCGATCGCTAATCGGGTTGGTATCGGAGGCGAGTCAGGCTGGAATCAGAGAGTCATTGGGACTCTGATGAATCGGTGCGTACACAGTACGGAATGTATCAGGGGTGTATTGGAGTCGATTCGGGTCAGTATCGGAGTCGAGTCAGGTCAGTATCGGAGTCGAGTCGGGCCGGAATCAGAGAGTCATCAAGACTCTAAGGAATCAGTGCGTACACAGTACGGAACGTATCAGGGGTGTATCGGAGTTGTGTCAGATCAGTATCGAAGGCGTGTAAGGACGCTGGGGATTTGGTGCGTATGGTCAGGGACAGTACGGAGCGGATCCGGATATTGTCAGGGGATCTGTGGATGGCCAATTACATCGACGATCTCAACAAGGACCTCAATCGATGTAACTGCATGAGCAGTGTCGGTCAGAGGCTGTAGTCAATGATTGAGTTACTATCTGTGTTGTCCGATGGTGTTTGTGCACAGGAGCTCTCGGCTCAGAGGTAAGTTGTGACGGTTTATGGAGTAAAGCGGTCATGTCTGCCACGTGTGCTGGTGCAGTGCTCTTGCCTGTTCCAATAGCACTTTCTGTCTGCACGACAGATACGTCATGTAAACAGACCCTGATGGCCCGGTGAGAGAGACAGAACACTAAACAACAACACAACACAATATACTGATTTTACTGCTTCGCGCGGTTACCCCTGACTTACTGCCCTGCGCGGTTACACCTTCACTTATTGCATTTACTGCAACATAAGTGCACTTGCCTTTGGGCAGTGCCTTCCTCAATAGAATATCATGTGACTTAGGCCATGTAGTTAACATTGACAACTTCCTCATCAAATCGTCTCGCGATCTCGGCCAACTTTGCTTCTGTAAAGTAGATGGCGCGTCGATGATCGAGCAGAAGCAATATCACATCTTTGCCAAATGACCTTGCAATTTGGGCTGCTCCCGCTTCTGTAATCAGCACCTGTCCCTTTCTTTGTAAAAGAACCATCATCAATTCCTTCCCACGGCTCATATTCGATGCTACTGCCTTGACCACTCTCTCTGTAACCGAGACAGAATGGTTCCTTTGCTCGAGCCGGAGTTTCATAACGTCTCTGTCGAATCGTCTTGCAAGTTCAGTACCTACTGCTTCTGTAGTTGGAATGTCGTTTTGTCTGCGCTTAAGAAGAAACATCCGTCGCGCTCTGCCGCACCAAGCACCCATTGACCCAGGAGATCAAGATCCCCAACAGGAAGCTTAGCTATACTAGCGAAAATATCAGCGCGCCTCCATTTGCCCTCACCTGCACAACCATCTATCGCAGGTACGTAGCAAGCTTGATGCGAAGTTGGGACCGCGACAGGTATTCTGTCGGCAGCTGGAATCACACAGCATATGTGACTTATAGATCTTTTACTTTGTGATCGAAGCGCTAGACAGCTATGAGAAACGGAATTTATGTGAATGATAATGTAAAGGAGACAATGAAGGAGTCATAGCCTTCGCGCACCCCGAAACGTCGAGAAAGAGCATTGTTTATCCTCTTAGCTAGGCACTTGGGCTTTGTGCGGAATAAAGAAAAATGGATCAAAGTGTTTATCGAAACCAGAGTTACATCTACGAAAAGAGGGTCAACGTACACAACATATCTATATACACAATACACATAGCGCCTGGTACAAATGAAATTCTAAACCAGTTTCGACACAGCTTCCTGGAGCTTAGCTGGGACCAATTTCGACTTACCCGCAATCAAGCGGATAAGCTCCTCAATACTCCTAGACTCGCGAATCAGGAGAAGAGAAACATCAGCGGCGAGCATCACTACGATCCAATTGCGCAGTTCGACCGCCACCAACGAATCAACGCCGTACGAGTCGAGCGTACGGTGAGGCAGGATGCGGTCCACTGGAGTGACTGTTAGTTTGCTCAACTCGCCCAGCAGTGCGTGTCTGACGGCTTCGACTGCTTCTTCTGCAGTCTTAGCATGTTTAATCTGGTCAAAGTGCTCTGCGCCGTTGCCACTACCGTCGGCTAAACCTCCACCTCCAAGATCAGAGTCTTGGACCAGATGTGCGATGCGCCGTTGGCCCAACCAGTCAGCCATGTTCACGCCAGTTTCAGGGATTAAGCCAACAGTGACTTGACACTCGGATCCGCTGCCAGTCAGCACATGATCGAGCGCTGCAAGAAGCTCGACAACCGAGATGGGTGAGAAGCCTTGGCGCTGCATAGTGGAGAATACAGTCGGAGCCTCACTGACAAAGCCAGCGTCGCCAACAACTCCAACATCAATCGCAAACCCGGACTGACCCTGGTTTCGTCGGTAGTGCATGAAGGCGTCCTGGAAAGTACAGGCAGCAGTATAATTGGCTTGAGCCGTGTGGCCGCTGATGCCGGCAATCGAAGATAAGACAACAAAGAAGTCCATGTCAGATGGCAGGATCTCGTGCAGGTTTCGCGTACCAGCAACCTTAGGGGCCAAGGCTCCCTCCCATTGCTGATGTGTCATCTGATCAAACAATGAGTCCTGTTTATCAAAACGCGTCAGTAAACTGGCAAGTGGCCTCTTTTGGGTCTGAATATAGGTGGCATCACGTACCTCGAGCGCCATTGCCGCATTAATGACACCTCGAATCGGGCCTACGCCGTCAATGGCCTGTAGGTCTCTTACAACAGCTCCCACGGCCTCTTCGGAAGCAATGTCACAACTCTTGGCAAGAACTCTTATGCCTAAACTGTGCATTTCCTTAATACAGGCCTTCGCAGCCGGTGATTTGTCTCCCGAGCGCGACAGCGTGACAATAGTCCGCGCGCCTCTCGTACCGAGCCATCGGATAAGACGAATGCCTAAGCCACCGAAACCACCGGCCAAGACGTAGGTGGCCTCGGGCAAAAGCTTTGGAAGAACGGGGCTTTCTGGAAGTGCCTGTAAATATCGTCACGTTAGTATGCATATCGTTGGATCGCACGCTTAAAAGCTAATGATGAAGCATTATACGCACCTGGACCATTTCGCCTGGATCCACCGTCAGGATCACTTTTCCCATGTGCTTGCCGGCCGAGATGAGGCGGAAGGCAGCCTCAATCTCGCCAAGCTTGTACGGCTGGAGAGTCACTTGATGCTTCAATTTCTCGCTAGCAATCAGTTCAACCACGTCGTTGAGCAAACGGTGCACAAATGGTTTGTCTTCGTTCAACATCTGCACCAAATCGACGCAGGCGAAAGTGATGTTGCGAAGCAGGAACTTCGTCGGCATCAGCGCGTTGTCCAGGAAATCCTTTTTGCCAATCTCGATGAAGCGACCAAAGGACGCAAGACAGTTCAGAGACTCTCGGAACAATTCACCAGCCAGTGAATTCAAAATGACATTGACGCCTTTGTTCTTGGTCGCGGCGCGAAGCGCAGGTCCGAACGTGGTAGATCGGCTGCTGAAGATGTGACTCTGAGGGACGCCAATACTCTCAAGATACGTGCGTTTCTCCTGCGATCCACAAGTGGCATAAACCACAGCGCCCAGATGTTGGGCCAGGATGACAGCAGCCTGACCGACTGCTCCGGCAGCGGCATGGATCAATATAGATTCTCCGGCTTTGAGCTTGGCCACATTGATGAGCGAGTGGTATGTGGTTGCCCACACAATGGGAAGAGAGGCGCCAAGCGCGAAAGAGACATTGTCCGGGATCCGAGCACAATAGTCTCCGCCAACAATAGGATAATTGTTGTACGACTGAGCAAAGTAGCTGCAAACTCGATCGCCAACTGCATAGCGCGATGTCATGTCGCTGCCAACCTCCACCACTGTGCCGGCACAATCGTTCATCATGGTTGCAGAGCCGCCGAGCTCGCCGGTGGCAATGAGAACGTCGCGGAAATTGATGCTGGCCGCGCGACACTCGATACGAATCTCATCCGGCGCCAGACTGTGCGCGTATTCTTGGTCGTCAACCCATCGGAAGGTTTCGAGCAGTCCAGCTACGCCGAGCTCAACCTTGAGCGGTCGTGAGCGGTTCAAGAATGGCGTCTGATGGGGCCTGGCTCTTGCCGTGGAGCGTACAATACTCTGTTCGAGTTTCTCGTTGTGAAACAGTCGATTGACGTACAGCTGTCCATTGCGTTCTGCGAACTCGTAATCGGCATCAGCAATGGTGCGGTCGAAGTCGAAAGTGTCAGAGGTCAGAAGCTGGGTAATCAAGTGACTCAATCGCTCATCATCGGCACCGAGACGAATGCTTGGATCTAGATCGAGTGTGATGTAACGAGCGCCGGGTTGCTCCAGCCTTAAGGACCGAGCAAAGCCTAAGGTTAGTGCTCCGTCAGGCACAGGCGTATTGCCGGTAGCGCCACGCGTGATCAAGAGCAGAGCTTTGCATGAGAGGGCGCATTTCTTGAACTCCTCGAACAGCGAAGCATTCATCCCGCCCGAGAGCGCTTCGCACGTCTCTGGATCAACCACCAGCACTGAATTAGCAATGTCTGGGATATTTTCAAGACGCCCGGTCGTGATCTGGCGCACGCCGAGTCCGGAGCTCTGGCTGATTTGTCCAGCGACATTGCCGAGACTACCGCCTGACGGTTTGGCAGGCACGCTGCTCGCAAAGTGAAGGGATATCTCGCTCAAATCCCGTTGAGATTCATCGTGAGTCTTAGCAAAAATGACGCTGATTGTTCCTCCTTCAGAATCGGCGTAATCGGACACGACGACTGGATCTGATTGGAAGCCCTGTTTCTCTAGTGTCTGTTTCCAGTCACCTTCCGAGAGAATAGCCGACGAAACTCGTCCTTCCTCGACACCAGACCACCACCCGGAAAGAGAGCCAAAGACAAGTTGGTAATAATGCTCTGGCTTGGTGATCTCCATAAGGATTAGCGTTCCGCCGGGACGAAGGAGCTGACGGATATGCTCCAGAGAAGAGGCGATATTGGGGGTAGCGTGTACGACATTACAGGCGATGACAACATCGTAGCTACCAGGTTCGAGCCCTTGGAGATCGGGAGGATTTGCAAGATCAAATGCCTCATAATTGACGATGTGGCCATACTGAGCCAAACGCTCGCGAGCGGCTGGGAAGAAGGCTGTCGACAGATCCGTAAAGTCGTACTGTGCCACTAACGGCTGACCTTGATGAGACAGTGCTTGCAGCAAAGGCAGTGTGGCTGAAGCTGTACCGCCACCAACCTCGAGAATTCGCAGCGAAGGGTTGTAGAGGCCAAGAACCTTGCAGTACGCGTTGATCTGATGATAGCAACGAGCGTTTCGTTCCTCGGAATACATCCTGCCCAACAAATCATTCGGAGTGAGGAGGGAGATGGAATCCGCAGTGCCGGTTAGAAGGTCGACAAGATTCTCGCCAACAAGTTTCACCGCTTGGAAAGCAACGCTGGGATCCGCCGTTGTTGCCTCTCTGGCCTCCGCTACTGACTCGGGAGATTCGGACTCCTCGGCCACCAAAGTCTGCATCCACTTGTACCATGACTGCTGATAGCCGGGAGCAATCTCGTCCGCTCGGATGCGTTCAAGGGCCCGCTCCACGTGAGCGCGCACATCGGCGTTAAGCGCAATGTTACGCTGACGAGAAGAACCAGCAGGGAGCGAGTTGGTGCAATGAGCAATGATTTGCGCTCGTGTCATACTGGGATAATGACCCACCCACTCTGGACTGTGTGCCAATTGCCGGGACCTGGCAACCTCGATGTTTCCGGGTAGCTGGGCGATCCTCATTCCATGAGCACTTATCACAGGTCTTTCATTCAGCTCCACCTGAGCGCTCCAGCTAGACCCTTCGTCTTGGGCCAGAGCATAGGTGCACAATTCGGTTCCCTCTGAGACTTCGAAAGCAGTCGAGATGTTGAGTTGTTCAAGGAAAACAGGCACGACTGGCGCCTTAATCTCCCGCTCTACCAGGAGACTAGCGCATATGCCGTGAAAGAGTGTAGAGTCGAGCATTCCAGGATGCAAGATGTACGTCGACGCTCCGAAGGGGTGCGCCGCGGTCTGCAAACTTGGCATCTTGTTCGTACTCACACATGAGTCAGTCCGTCCTTGCAGATCTACGACGTTATCAAATGGCGCGTACCACTCCATCCCAACCTGGCGTGCGGAGGAGTAGAATCGATTCGGCGTAATGTGATGCGGGATAGAGGCGATACTGCGCTCCTTGACTTCGATCGCGTCATGTAGACGATCTGCGAGCATTGTATCGTCTGTGATGGCACGAATGCTACCTCGACAAAGCTCACTCCATTCTTTTCCCGCTGATGTTGAGAAGACTCGGAACTCTTTTGAATCCTGCCACGAACTCTTTGCACTCTGGGTCTCGGGTCGCAGCGACAGGCAGATCTCGGTGTCTGTATCGCCCTCCCTGAGCACCAGCGCTTTGGCAAAGCTACAATTACTGAGCGAATAGCCGACAACGGGTTTCGATTGATTTTCATTCCTGGGTGTCGTGAAGCGGCGCATGGCCTCAATAGCCATGGCCAAGTATCCGGCTGCTGGGAAAATGACTTGACCTTGCACGATATGGTGTTGCAACCAAGGCAGCTCCTTGAGTCGCAAAAATCGTCGCCATTTGGGCTCCGTATGATTCACGTCTGAAGAAAGGTTGCCCAGTAGCTCATGCGGCAAAAATTGGCGATGAGTGAACTCGCGTGAAATGCGCCCTTCGTGCCAATGACGCTGCTCATGATTGAAAGCATACGGCGGAACATCATTCAAAATGAATGGTAAACGTTTCATGAAGCCGGCATTGGCCCGATGAAAGTCGATGGGCGCACCCAGGGCGAAAAGATCACCCAGAGCGCGGAGCATATTCTCGGACGCATTGGCCTTCCTCTTAAGACAAGACACATATTGAATACGAGTCGAAGATCCTAGACCTTTCAAAGTTTCTTTAACTGCGCCCTGCATCTGCGCGTGAGGGCCCACTTCCAGAAGGATACCGATCTCAGGAGCATGTTGAAGTTCGGCATGGTCATCGCCGAGTAGCATCCCTTTTAGAGCTCCGGCAAAGAGGACGGGGGATATGAGATTGCGAGCCCAGTAATCCCCGTCCAGCAAAGACCCAGGCGGCAGCTTCTTGCCTTTCAACGAAGACATCATGTGCCCGGTCAGTGGACGTGGCTGAATATGAGCAATAGCAAGTCGGTACTCCTCTTCGATTGCCTGCATCATTTGAGAGTGATATGCAGCTCCCTGCGTCTTCAGCTTGCGATGGAAAACATCAGCATCCTGCAGCAGGCGAGCAATGACTGCAATACCATCGTTTCCGCCAGAGAGAGTCACACTCGTTGGACTGTTGTAGCAGGCAATCTTGACCTCGGCCGTGTCGATCTGCTCAATGTAAGTCTGTGCGACTTCAGCTGACGCCCCCACGGCAATCATGCCTCCGGAAACGCCAGTGGAGATCAACTTGGATGTCAAGCGGCCGCGATGGTATGCCACAGCCAATGCGTCTTCGAACGAGAGGGCACCTACGGCGTAGGCCGCAGCAATTTCTCCACTGGAGTGGCCCACAACAGAGGTTGGATGCAGTTTGATAGCGGATAGCGTGTCGACCAATGCCAACTGTATGGCGGTCGAAAGTGTCTGTCCATACTCTGGCTCATCTACACGCGAGTCCTGAGCTTTTTCATGACTCAGTTCGGTCAAGAGGTCCCACTGACATCCAAGCGTCTGAAGATGGGTATTAGCCCGGTCTAGAGATTGGCGGAATGCTGGCCAATCATGAATCATCTCTCGGCCCATGTTGTAATACTGGGCTCCCTGTCCTCCGAACACGTAACTGACTAGGGCGCCTCTCTTGAACGGTGGTCTGACCGCGATAGGCGTTTGCTGCAATACTTCGAGTTGTTCCAGCAAATCATCTTCGTCATAAGCGACAACGGAAGCGCTATAGTCGTGAACAGTACGCTTGTTGACTGTCACAGCCAAGCGATCTAGAAATTCATTGGTGTCGTCCAACGAACCAGCCAGAACTGTTTTCAAATACTGCACTAGACGCTCCGCGTTCTTGTGGCAGCTCTTCTCCTCAGCACCACTTAGAATAAAAACACGAGGCCGCTCTGCGAGGATGTGGGAGGCATTGGTGATACTTCTGGTACCTTCGACTTCATTGATGCTGGAAGTACCGTGGACACCACTGACGCCGGAAGTTTCGTTGATGCTTGAGGTACCATCAACGCCAACAATACCATCAACGCCATTGACGTCGTTGACGCCATGAACGTCTTTAAGGCTGGAGGTGTCGTTGAGATTAGAAGGCTCTTTGGCACCGTTGATACTGGAAGTGCCGTTCAGTTTAGAGATGCCGTTGACGCCATTGATACCGTTGACACCGTTAACATCGTTGACACCGTTGACATGACTGACGCTCTTGACAACATTGATGCCGTTGGAACCATGGGCACCATTGACACCATCAATACCATCGACACCGTTAACACTATTGACGCCATTAGGGATTCTGGTGTCGTTGAAGCTGTCGTCGAGCTGATCGTGCTCGTCCGCACGATCGACAATGACATGAGCATTGGTGCCGCCATATCCAAAGCTATCATAATCAATACTAGCCAAGGTTTTCTAGAGTACAATTTGGCTCACCTATTAACAGAGATGCGGCGAAGAGGTCTCTTCTCGAACTTGGTAGGTATCTGGAATGAGTCAGCTAAATCGCCCGCCATCTGCTTGTATCTGCCACCCTTACCTCCAAATTCCATCTGTCCAACGGGATCTTAGAATTGGGCTTTTCATAATTGACCTGAGGGGCCACGGCCTGGTTCTCGAGCATCAAGACGGACTTGATGAGCCCTGCAATACCAGCCGCGCTCTCCGTATGGCCGATATTTCCCTTGACAGATCCCATGACCAATGGCCCTTGACTTGAGTCTCGGGGACGGGCAAGTACGTTGGCAATAGCCTGAGCCTCGATCGGATCGCCGACTGCCGTGCCTGTTCCGTGGGCCTCTACATAGTCCGTTTCAGTTGGAACAAGCCCGACCTCGGCATATGCCCGGCGGATCAATTCTTCCTGCGCCTCTCCACTTGGCACACTGATGCCCTGTGGTGTTCGACCGTCCTGATTCAGTGCTGAATTGCGGATCACAGCTCGGATTCGGTCGCCATCTTTGATGGCCAACGAGAGTGGTTTGAGGACAACGCAACCGCAGCCCTCACCTCTACCATAGCCATTAGCACGCTCGTCAAATGAGAATGAGCGACCGTCGGGCGAGAACATCTTCAGCTTACTCTGGTAAGTAAAGCGCTGGGGATCCAGTAAGATATTGACGCCGCCGACTAGGCTCATTGTGCTTTCGCCACTTCGTAAGCTCTGAACAGCGTTGTGTAATGCGACAAGACTGGCAGAGCAGCCTGTGTCGACGGTAAAACTTGGACCCCGGAGGTTAAAAAAATAAGAGACTCGGTTGGAGGTGATGGCAGCACCAATACCGATAGTTTGGTAGAGTTCCTGATATTCAGGGTCTCGCGCAAGAATTTCGCTATAGTCGGAACTCCACTGACCAACATAAACGCCAGTAGGGGAATCCCAGAGTTGAGGCAGCGTTAAGCCAGCATTCTCGAATGCTTCGTAGGCAAGCTCTAACGTGAGACGTTGTTGAGGATCCATGGCTCGGGCTTCAGTAGGTTTGATTTCAAAGAAGCTGCAATCAAACGCAGCCACGTCGGTGTCCAGGAAATGTCCTCCCGCGGTGTTGGTTGTGCTAGGATGAGGATCTCCTCTGTGATGGAATGCCTTCATATTGAACCGATCTGCAGGCACCTCACTCCATGCCGATTTTCCGCTTGACAGGAGGTCCCACAGGCGTGATGGCTCGGAAGCACCGCCTGGGAAGCGACAACTCATGCCGATGATAGCAATAGGCTCTGATGTCATGTTGGAAGCCATGTTGTTGAGGACGTTGTGGCACGCAGTGATTAGAGTTTAGTAGGGATGTTGCGGCACAGTACACAACATGTATCCGGCGTCCTGGTCCGAGATGAAGCCCTTTTTCAGAGACTCGACACAGTCGGCATCCTTAGGTTCTCCGACATTAATCCACCTTACACAGCCGTGTTACCAAATAACAGTATAGGGTAGAAAGAATAGAATAATCCTCATAGTAAAGTTATTCATATTACAAAATCAACCATTGGGTCTAGTACGGCCCACGAATTATGCAAACCGCCCCCAACGTGGGAGTTCTAACCTTAGTCAGCCTAGTATGTACCCCATGTAACAAGTGCGAATAACGGTTCACAGGGCTCGCCTGCAGCTTCAGATTATCCGTTGCTTGCTACACGAGAGTTAGTGGGATGTCGCCGACACGCAGTCAAGAGGAAGACGTAGTGAATTTTCTAGGTAGCAAAATTTGACGGTTCGTGTACATTCGCCCCCTTCGTAGACGCATAGGACATTAGTAAGCCAGTCCATCGTACAAACAGTGAGTAATTCCATGAAATCGTTTCCGTAAGATCGTGTAATACCGTCAAGTGTTTAGATTTGAATAGACCTTCCATTCGGAATGCTACCATACTGGTGGTGCAAGCTCCCTTGCGTATTCTGCCTGCGATCCCTGGCGATAGCCCGGCGTGCATAGAAAATCCTATTCCCCACATGTTCTCCAAGGATTTGCCATGCCATTTCTGTTTTAGAAGCACGTTCATATTCACATTCGGGTACCTTTGCGTTCTAAGCGAGAGTTTGGCCAAAAGGGGGAGATGTCTTGACGATCCCTGCGCCTCCAACAGGCCGCCAGTCGACCTTGACTTCACAATGACCACTGCAGCAGCATGCTCTTCTAGATCCGCAGATGACTAGGTTTGCTTCTGTCACGGCTCCCCACTAGTCTAGTCTTAGCCCTTCCCCATTACTGCTCTTTGCTCGCCTTCACATTCCTGAGGCATGTAATAACACCCAACCTCTTTATCCTTGCGCCAGTCAGCGCTTATATGCTTTCTGTCGCCCGACATATTTTTGTATTCTTGTTACGCTACCAGAAGCGTCTAGATCATATGCGACTGATACTCCGAGCATGCAGGCGAAGTTGCCCACCAAACACAATGATTAGAGCCGGTAACCGTAGAAATCTTTAGTAGTCAAGTACACGCATCCAGATGAAAATTATTTATGTCGCAAGCCCAAGGGTCTCCGAAGCTGACAAGCTTGGAAGACACGACCTCGTTTCTCAGCATGATAATCAGTACTTTACCGGCTCCACAGGGTATAGCCACATTGATTGACACCCCTGCAAGTGTAGAAGCCTATCGAGTGTGACTGCTCAGAGGTCCTTTGTGGCTTTGCTTCCAAAATACGGGCCGTGGGGGATGATTTTGGAGGCTCTTGGCGTGGTGATTTGGCTCCTTTCTTGCGTGACTGCCCGCTGTTCACGAGTGCAACCCGTAATCACTAGCGCAAGTGCCAGTTCATGTGGCCTGTTCCCTGTAGCGCACTAGTGAGATTTCGGTTATTGACAGGTCGTTAACGAAAATGCAGGTACCGGGCGCTTTGACAAGGGTATGGCAGGTGGGGCTCTTACGCTCATTAACTCCACTTCAGCCCTACTGTTACCTTAATGATGCCGGGATCATTCTCAGTAACTCTCAGGCACATATGGTGCTTTTCGAGGATTATGCAGGTAACCGGGTGGTTTGTCCACAACATGCAGCTCGTGCAGGGCTATTGAACATTGGCAATCGATGATAGGTAGTCAGCCCTGAGTTAGGTCGCTCTCTTAGTTTGACCCAGATGAGAGACCGCCGTTAGGAGATCCCAAACTCACTTTTTTTTTCGAAGCATCTCTTCTACCGCTATTTCTTGCTATATTGCGAGACTACAACGGTCAACAGGATATTCTCGCGCTCACCGGATTCGACGATAATATCATCAACTCGAATAGACATCAGAAATGGCCTATCTCGACAGTGTCGAAGCACGACCCGAGCCATCGAAGAAGCTCATGTTTGGCAAGATTATAGCTGGCCTGCTTGACATCAATGCCGACGAACTAGAATGGGACAAATCCTTTATATTGCTAGGAGGTGATTCCATTTTAGCAATCGACTTCATTGTCAAATGTCGTGACGCAGGCATTCATGTGGACATGAAAGAGCTCTTGACGGCCGAGAGCTTGACCGCACTCGCCGAAACGATCGATCGAAGCAACGCTGGAGCTGCGAATGAAGTCGAAGCAAATGGAATTAATGGACATGCAAAAGGAGTCAACGGGCATGCAAACGGAGTCAATGGACATGCAAACGGAGCCAATGGGCATGCGAACGGAGTCAATGGACATGCAAACCCAGTCAATGGACATGCAAACCCAGTCAATGGACGCACAAATGGAACCAACGGACACGCAGAAGCTACAAGTCAAGACGGTGCCAATGACTCGACTGCAAGGACGGCTGCGGTTGGTCGTCGATTGCGCTTCGCTTCCATGGAAATTCCTCAGGACAAGGAGACAACTGTCATTCTGACCGCGCTAGGGCACATCGTCGCCCGATACTCAGCCTTGCGTTCAACCTGGTCCGTTTCGCCGAGAGGCCACTGGACGCTCAAAGCGATGCCTGAATCAGCCACGAAGGAGAGCCGACCATTTTATTTTGCAGAGTACTCAGAGGCAGGGCCATGGGCTGAGATATTTGCATCATTGAGCGAAGCTTTGCTTACTGCTGGGGCGCCATCGTTCGGATGTTTGGTCATGCCCAACGATACGCCGGAGTCTAGTCAGACCATCATACTTGCTGCGGATGCTAATCTCGTCGATGGCCTGTCTATGCACCTTGTCTTGCGTGAGTTGGACGCGTCGATCGAAGGGCGCTACCCCTCACCTAGCTTTGATTTCCAGTTTAGCGATTGGGCGGCTCAGCACCTTACGAGTCCTCAAAGCTCGGTGAAGAGTCGAAGGGACGGAACCAATATGACCAGTTCGGAGTCGACTACCGATACCAGTGCACTCGAAATGAATGGTCATGCTAAGAGGGTGGTCACTTTCCGACTGTCTCATTCGACAACTCAAAAACTTTTCGCGTCGCAAACGCATGCTTCGTTGAAGACGAGCCCTGTCGACATTGTGAACGCCGCTCTCTCGAACACCCTCCGGGCACACTCTCCGAGCACGGAGGACGTTCTAATCATCAAAACTGCTTACAGTACTCGCGAAGAGCATAATATACCCTTGGGCTCCATAGGCTGTTACGAAGCTGAAATGGAGTTGGAAGCGGTAGCACAAGAATTGCGAGAGAGTCTGACGCATGTAGTTCGTCGAGTACGTGATGCTCGTGCCGGCTTCTCGGATCGAACACGCGAGGAGCGACGCGACGAGTCGGCCATGGTATTCTACGTCGACTGCACGCGTCTGCAAAACATTGAACACGACTCATCACCTCGTGCTTGGTGGGTGTCGAATCCCGTTCTTGGCCACGGTCCGCATGTTTCTGTTGAGATGATGGCAGACCAAGCACAGGTTTCATTACACCTCGACGGCACGACCATGGACCATGAGCGGACTGCCGCCGACTTTCAGCGCTGTCTCGGAGAGATGGTGGAGGAGCTGGTCAGAGCTCCGCAAATGGCGACTCTCCACGATTTTCCTCTTATTCATTGGCAATACCACGAGTTGGATGACCTGGTGACGGAGCTGCAGACGCACGGCATGGCGCTCGACGACATTGAATCCATCGCGCCCTGTTCCGCAGTGCAGGAAAGCTTTTTTGTCAGCCAAGCGATCAATCCTGTTTCCTATGTTAGCAATGTCTCGATTAGACTGCTGTCCACGTCTGTCAACGATGGTCGCCGACCCGCAACAGAGAGGATTGTCGATGCTTGGAAAGACACTGTCAAGCGTCACCCCATGCTCAGGACAGCATTTGTAGAAAGCCACGACCGACCTGGCAAGTCTGACCAACTCGTGCTCAAGCCTTTGGCCATGTCGCCGCGTGTCGTGGTGTGCCGTTCGCCCAGCGATGCTAGCGCCATCCCCGCATTCACAACGGGCAAGTTTCAGAGTCCGCAGCGTCTCTGTGTGTATGAGATCAGCGGCGAGGAGCTTCGACTTGATCTGGAAATCTCGCACGCCCTCGTCGATGGACACTCGGCGAAGATCCTGCTGCACGACTTTCGTGCTGGCTATCTGCGAGCAGCGCACTTTTCAGAGCAACCGCCGCTTCCGTACACGATTTTTGCATCTCGCCAGCAGGCCGCCGCCTCGAGCACCGAGCAGGTGTCGGCGGGTGCTGCCTACTGGACGTCGTACCTGAACCGCGCGGGCGAATCACATTTGCCTCTCGTCACCAGCAATCCTCGCCTGCACTGTCTGGAGACGGCGCGTTGCTCCGTGCCACTACCAAGCGGGGATCTCCGCGCTGTCTGTGGTCGATTCGCCATTACTCCGGCGAACCTGTTCCACATCGCGTGGGCGCTTGCCATTCGCCGCATCGCGCTTTCAGACGCTGTCACTTTTTCCTACATAGTCTCTGGCCGCAACAGCTATGGCGAGGGCGCTGAGGCGACTGTGGGGCCTTTGCTCAATACCCTGCCATGTGCCTTGACATTGACCGCAGAGACGAGCGTGGCCGATGCGCTTTCTTTGGCCAAACTGGACTGGCAACAAGGCTTACCGTATCAGAACATAGCTATTGCTGACCTGCCTGTGGCTAAGACTCGATCGTTGAAGCGGCTCGGAAACACGCTGCTCTCGATCGAGAGAGAAGCGACAAACAGCCATGCATTCATACCAGGAACCTCCATGACCATTGACGCGAGAACAAGCGCGACAGACGTAAGACGCTGTTCCTTGCTGTTCGGCTTCTGTACTGACAAGACTGCAGTTTGATCTATCAGCCAATGTGAGATTCAGCGAAGAACGCATCGACTTGAGTCTCGAGTACTGGGCTTCCAGAGTCGCCTGGCCGGTTGCAAAGGCACAGATGACGGCCTTTGAAGATGCAGTGACATTTCTATTGCAAAAACCGGGATTGCACCTCGGCGACTTTGCCAGCCATGGTCTCCAAGACCGAAATGCATTTTCCAGGTGGAACTCGACCATGCCACCACACGTCGAGCGCTGCGTCCACGACCTGGTGCTTGACAAGATGGCATCCCAGCGGACGGCGCTAGCCATCAGCGCGTGGGACGGTGAGATGACGTACGGCGAGCTGGACGATGCCAGCCGCCGTCTAGCCCACCACCTGGTCGAGCGCGGAGTCGGCCCAGAAATCAAGGTCGGCCTGTGCATGGACAAGTCGAAGTGGGGGGTGGTGGCCATGCTGGCCATCCTCCGCGCCGGCGGAGCTGTAGTCCCTCTTGGCGTGGAGCATCCGCTGGCTCGCATTGAGGGCATCGTCAAAGACACAGCCGCACCACTTGTACTGGTCGATCGCGGCCAAGTCCAACGACTGGCGGCGCTGACAGACAGTACGCAGCTGCTAGCCGTCGATTCTTTCTTTGATGCCCTATCAACAACAGAGACAACACCGACGAATGCCAAGCCCAGCACATTCGTGCGGCCTGAGAACGTGGCGTGGGTCATCTACACCTCTGGTAGCACTGGTACGCCCAAGGGTGTCGTACTCGAGCATGGCGCCCTCGCCACAAGCATCCTTGCCCACGGACCTGTGATTGGTATGCAGCCGAACGACCGCGTCTCCCAGTTCGCAGCGTATACCTTCGATGTCTCTATCGCAGAGATCATGACAACACTCTCATTCGGCGCATCTATCTGTGTTCCTTCAGAGGATGATCGTGTAAACCGACTGGCAGCGTTTCTGTCAGAGGCCAAGGCCACTATAGCGACACTAACATCAACTGTAGCAGCGCTGGTCCGTCCGGAAGATGCGACGACAGTACGGACGTTGATTCTAACAGGCGAGGCCGTACAAGCGAAGGTCGTTGATCAGTGGATAGGGTACGCGACCGTCATCAACGCTTACGGACCCTCAGAATCGTCCATCTGGACGACAGGTAAGGAAATACAGGATAATTCAGATTCTACTAACATAGGAGAGCCGCTTGCTGGTGGGGTTTGGGTGGTTAATCCTGATAACGTAGGCCAATTAGTTCCTCTGGGCGCCCCAGGCGAGCTGCTCATCGAAGGACCACTACTTTCACGCGGTTACTTGAACGACCCCGTCAAGACTGCCGCCGCCTTTGTGACAGACCCCGCCTTTGTGCAGGAGCTGGGGCTCAGCGCGGGCCGACGCATGTACCGTACCGGAGACATGGTACAGCAAAACGCGGACGGCACGCTAACCTACCTCGGCCGTCGAGATACACAGGTCAAGATCCGCGGCCAGCGCGTGGAGATTGGTGAGATCGAGAGTCAGATTGTCCGCCTGCTGCCAGACGCACGGGAGGTCGTCGTTGACGTCGTGCGTCCGGCAGGCGAGGCGCAGGACGGCCCGCTGATACTAGTGGCTGTTATCGAGTATGCTGCGGACGGGCCCACCCTTAGCAGCAACAGCAGCAAAACCGGAGAGCTAGAGCCCTACGAGCCTTCGCAGATCACCTCTGCCACTCGTACAGCGTTAGAGAAGCTGGATGCCCAGCTCGAGCAGGTACTTCCGTCGTACATGGTCCCCACGACCTTTCTCCTGGTTCCCAGGCTTCCAGTCAACGCGTCCGGAAAGCTGGATCGCCGTGCAGTCCGAGATCAATTGAGTGCGATGCCCCATGACGTGCTGAGCAGCTCTGGCTCGCCAGACGGCAGGCAAGCACCGACTACTGCCATGGAACTCAAGCTACAGAGTCTGTGGGCCGCAGCACTAACGCTTGCACCAGATGCAGTGGGGACTAACGACTCCTTCCTCCGACTCGGTGGAGATTCAGTTGCTGCAATGAAGCTGACGGCAGCTGCTCGAGCGCAACGAATCCCCTTGTCAGTAGCCGACATCTTCCGGTGGCCCCGTCTTACAGATGTGGCGAAGGCGATGGAAGAGAAATGCCAGCACGAGAATGGTCCCGCGAACGACGTGGACGAGGATCCGGCGCCGCTGAGTTTGTGGCCGGAGGTTACCCAGACCGACGACGTCGAGCGCGCACGAATGTTAGCCGACGTCGCCGCGCAGTGTGGCGTCTCTGTAGATCAGATTGAGGATGTCTACCCATGCAGTCCGTTACAGGCTGGACTGATGGCTATCACCGCTCAGAGTTCTGAGGCCTACGTCGTCCGTCGTGCTTTCCGGCTGGACGCCAGCCTCTCCACTCAGCAGCTGAAGGACGCTTGGACGCGGCTGGTCGAGATTTTGCCTATCTTGCGGACGCGCATTGTTCCTTCCGTACAGTCTGATGCGCTACAGGTCGTGGTGCGGGAACAGCCGATATGGCACGAGCCGACGTCGCTGGAGGACTACCTCGCTGCCGATCGAGCAGCTCCTATAGCTTACGGTGGCTCGCTGAGTCGAACCGCAATCGTGGAGAACGGAGCTACTCGGCACTTTGTATGGACCACACATCACAGCGTCTATGACGGCTGGAGCTTAGCCGAAATGTCGCAACTGCTCGTGCGGCTTCTAAGGGGAGAAGCGCCTTCTGCCCCAGTTCCGGTCTCGCGCTTTATTGCTTATTTGGCGCAACAGGACAAGAAGCAGACGGCATCCTTCTGGCAGAAGCACCTTGAAGGCGCCAACTGGACTCGCTATCCAGCCCTGCCGTCACCGCAGCATCAGATCAACCCGCATGATGTTCTTCGGCGCGAGCTTCACATTACGCCTACCGCCGGTGCCGTGACAACGTCTACATTGCTGCGAGCAGCCTGGGCACTCTTGGTAGCTACCAATACCGGCTCCGACGAAGCAGTCATTAGCGTCGTGCTTTCTGGCCGTATGGCCGCCATCAATGGCATTACCGACCTTGCGGCCCCGACAGTTACCTCTGTGCCCTTCCGCGTTTCTGCCTTGCCGGATCAGTCTGTCCGGGAATTCCTTGCAGCCATACACGCACGAGCGACAGAGATGATCCCGTACGAGCACACCGGCCTCCAAAACATTCGGCGTATGGTTGCTAGTCTTGGGCCAGAATTCGACCCGGGTCATAGCTTTATAGTTCAGCCAGCCGAAAAGAGCGAGACGGCCGTACCCATCGCAAGCATGCAGATCGAGCATGGTGCAACCTCTACAGATGCCTTTGCCGCATACCCACTGACAGTCGAATGCACACTGGGCCAAGAGACGAATGACGTCGGGGTTGAACTACGCTATGATGCCGCGGTAGTTCCAGTGGACGATGCGCAACGCCTGCTTGCCCAGTTCTCTCATATTGTGCAGCAGCTTGCGCACAACGCAGAAGCGTCGCAGCCGCTCGGAAAGCTTAGGTTACTCTCAACGGAAGATAAGGAGCAGTTGTTCAGATGGAATTCGGCCGTACCACCACGCGTGGAGCGCTGCATCCATGACCTGGTGCATGACCAGATGGCATCCCAGCCGACAGCACTGGCCATCAGCGCATGGGACGGCGAGATGACGTACGGCGAGCTGGACGACGCCAGCCGTCGACTGGCCTACTACCTTGCCAAGGGTGGTGTAGGACCAGAAGTGATGGTTGGCCTGTGTATGGAAAAGTCCAAGTGGGCGGTTGTAGCCATGCTAGCCATCCTCCGCGCCGGCGGAGCTGTAGTCCCTCTTGGAGTCCAACATCCACTGGCTCGCATCAATCGCATTGTTAAAGACACCGCCATGGACGTGCTCCTGGTTGATTCATCACAGAAAGCTCGACTAGGCTCTGCAGTGTCTGTGGTAACCATTACTGTTGACGCTACCCTACACGAATCGCTTTCAGCGACAGCAGACACAGGTGCCACGGTCACGGCTGATAATACCGCCTGGGTACTTTATACTTCAGGAAGTACTGGCGAGCCAAAAGGCGTTGTCCTCGAACACGGTGCGCTCGCCACCTGCGTAGTCGCTAAGGCTCGATTTCTGTCCTTTTCAGCGGAAACTAGGACCCTCCAGTTTGCCGCGTTTACATTTGACGTTAGCATCACAGACATTTTCTGCACTATGGCCAGTGGTGGCTGCGTGTGTCTAATGTCCGAAGAGGAGCGTATGAATAACTTGGCCGGATGTTTCCAGAGAGCGAACGCCAATTACGCTCACTTAACGCCAACAACCCTCAAATTGCTTACACCTGATCAAATTCCAACTTTGACAGACCTTTCTGTCGGTGGCGAGGCAATGGACTCACAGATCATTAACGAGTGGAGTGGTAGAGTCCACCTCACAAACTCATACGGTCCTTCCGAATGTACTGTCACATGTGCGGCCGCGAAAGATATGAAGGGTGCTCAGAACATTGGAAAGCCATGGGCGGGAGTCTTTTGGGTGGTCTCCCCTGGGAACTACCACAGTCTCTGCCCTATCGGCGCGCCCGGCGAGCTGCTTGTTGAAGGCCCCCAAGTTGCGCGCGAGTACCTGAATGACCCTAAAAAGACAGCTCGCGCTTTTGTCACCGACCCTGCATTCGTGCAAGAGCTAGGTCTCAGCCCGGGTCGGCGCATGTACCGTACCGGAGATATAGTCCAGCAGAACAAAGACGGCTCACTGAACTTTCTGGGCCGTCGCGATACACAGCTTAAAATCCGTGGCCAGAGGGTGGAGATCGGAGAGATTGAGAGTCAGATTGTCCGCCTACTGCCAGACGCGCGCGAGGTCGTTGTTGATGTGGTGCGTCCAGCAGGCGAGGCGCGCGATGGCTTGCTGATACTGGTGGCTGTCATTGAGTATGCTGCGGATGGGCCGATCCCCAGCAGAAATAATAACAGCAGCCGTGGAGTGCTGCAGCCTTATGAGCCTTCACAGATCACCGACGCGCTGCGAAAAGCCTTAGAAATGTTGGACATGGAGCTTGGGCAGGTACTCCCGTCTTACATGGTTCCCACAGCATTTCTACTGGTCTCCAGGCTTCCAGTCAACGCCTCTGGCAAGTTAGACCGACGCGCGGTCCGAGATCAATTGAGCCTTATGCCCCGCGGCACGCTGAGCAGCTTCTCTGGCACACTTGACACTAAACAAGCACCGACCACTGCAATAGAAAAGAAGCTACAGAGTCTGTGGGCTGCAGTATTCTCGCTTGAACCAGATGCAGTTGGGATCAATGACTCCTTCTTCCGGCTTGGCGGAGATTCAGTGACAGCTATGAAGCTGGCGGCAGCTGCTCGAGCCCAGCAGATTCCTCTAGCTGTAGCTGATGTCTTCCGATGGCCCCGTCTCGCAGATATAGCAGCTGCTGTAGAGGAGAAATACCAGCACGCAGACGACACAAACGAAGACCCAGCGCCGCTAAGTCTTTGGCCAGAGCTTAATCAATCTGGTACCCAGGTCGATATGCGGGAGCAACTCTTAGCTCATGTTGCCGCGCAGTGCGGGGTCTCTGTCGACCAGATTGAAGACGTGTACCCGTGCAGCCCATTGCAGGCTGGGCTGATGGCTATCACCGCTCAGCGTCCGGAGGCCTACGTTTTCCAGCGGGTCTTCCGACTGCATGCCGATCTCTCTACTTATCAGCTGAAAACCGCCTGGACACAGCTGGTTGAAACTTTGCCTATCTTACGGACGCGTATCATTCCATCAGTGCAGGCTATCGCGTTGCAAATTGTTGTAAAGGAGCCGACAGTGTGGCACGCATCAACGTCATTAGAAGACTACCTCGCCACGGATCGAGCGAACCCTGTCGTATACGGTGGCGCACTCAGCCGTACGGCGATTGTGGAGGACAGCGAGAGTCGGTATCTTGTATGGACGATACACCACAGTGTGTACGACGGATGGAGCACAATGAAAATGATGGAGCTGCTCGGGCAGCTATTGAGTGGAGAACCAACTTTTGTTCCAGCGCCAGTCTCGCGCTTCGCTGCCTACTTAGCAAAGCAAGACAAGAAGCAAACGGCATCATTTTGGCAAAAGCACTTCGAAGGCGCCAATTGGACTCGATTCCCAGCCCTGCCGTCCCCTCAGTACCAGGTCAACCCCCGCGACGTGCTCCGGCGTCAGCTGCGTATCTCGCTGGCAACAGGTGCGGCGACGACTTCTACGGTGCTTAGAGCCGCCTGGGCTCTGCTGGTCGCCGCCTACACTGGAGCCGACGAAGCCGCCATCAACGTGGTGCTGTCCGGCCGCATGGCGGCCGTCGAAGGTATCACCGACCTGGTGGCGCCAACGGTCACGACAGTACCCTTCCACGTCTCTGCCTCGCGCGGTCAGTCTGTACGAAGCTTGCTTGCCGACATACACAACCGTGCGACAGAGATGATCCCACATGAACATACTGGCCTTCAGAATATCCGACGTATGGTACCCAGTTTAGGATCAGATTTTGACCCAGGCCATATTTTCGTCGTTCAGCCCGTTGGTGAGAGTGAGTCTGCGACAGCGATGTCCAACATGACTCTCCAGCGTGAGGCAACCACCATAGAGGCATTTGACGCCTACGCCCTGACAGTGGAATGTTCGGTCACCCAGGGAACAGGCGAGGTTGAAGTTGAGCTGCGTTACGACCGCGCAGTCCTCCCAGTTGATGAAGCACAGCGTCTCCTTGCTCAGTTCTGTCATATCTCTCAGCAGCTGGCGCAAAATGCTCAGGCAGAGCTGGCACTTGCACAGCTCCAACTACTGGCCCCAGAGGATAGTGCACAATTGTGCAAGTGGAACTCGACCGTACCGCCGCGCCTCGAACGCTGTATTCATGACCTGGTGCTCGAAACAATTGCCTCACAGCCGACGATGCCAGCGATCAACGCATGGGATGGTGAGATGACGTATAGCGAGCTGGAAGATGCGAGCCGTCGACTTGCTCATCACCTTGCCAATCGTGGTGTAGGACCGGAGGTGATGGTCGGTCTATGCATGGACAAGTCAAGATGGGCGGTGGTGGCCATGCTAGCCATTCTCCGCGCCGGTGGAGCCGTAGTTCCTCTTGGAGTTCAGCACCCAGTGGCTCGCATTGAAGGACTTGTCAAAGATACCGCGGCACCCTTCGTACTGGTCGATCGCAGAAACGAGGAGCGGCTGGCGGCGCTTGTGGCACATACGCAGTTGCTCGTCGTTGATTCTCTCTTTGAAATGGATCCGGTAACGCCACAGGCGGTGAAGTCCGCCGAAATCTGCTCATCCGTACAGTCTAAGCACATTGCTTGGGTCATCTTTACCTCCGGCAGCACCGGCACACCTAAAGGTGTCGTGCTCGAGCATGGCGCTCTAGTCACGAGCGTTGCCACTCACGCCCGTTTCCTTTCAATGGGACCAAAGACCCGCAGCTTCCAGTTCGCAAACTACACGTTCGATGTCAGCATCTCCGACATCCTTGCCACTCTGTTCTCTGGTGGCTGCATATGCATCCCGTCAGAGCATGCCCGGATGAATCATCTGGCGTTGACCATGCAGCAATTCGATGCTAACTACGCAAATCTCACACCAACAGTGGTGAATCTCCTGGTTCCCTCAGAGCACCCAGGGCTGTCCACCCTGGTAGTAGGTGGAGAGCCGCTGGATCCTCGAATTATTGAGCTGTGGTCTGACACTGCTCGTGTGATCAATTCATATGGGCCGTCAGAATGTTCCATCTTCATCGCGGCCAGTCACGATCTCCGGCGAAAAGACGAGGCCGCAATTGTGGGAAAGCCAGTAGCCAGCCGGTTCTGGGTGGTCGATCCAGCTGACGTTGGCCAACTGGTTCCTCTGGGCGCGCCAGGTGAGCTACTCATCGAAGGACCACTGCTTTCGCGTGGTTACCTGAACGACCCCACAAAGACGGCGGCGTCGTTCATAATGGATCCTGCGTTCCTGAAAGACTTGGGCCTCAGCCATGGCCGGCGCATGTATCGTTCTGGAGATATAGTACGACATAACGTGGACGGCTCGCTCACAATGATGGGCCGCCGCGACACACAGGTCAAGATCCGCGGCCAGCGGGTGGAGATTGGCGAAATCGAGAGTCAGATTGTCCGCCTGCTGCCAGATGCACGCGAGGCCATTGTCGATGTCGTGCGTCCGGCAGGCGAGGCGCACGACGGCCCGCTGATTCTGGTGGCCGTTGTCGAGTATACCGCAGACGGGTCAGCCCGTAGCAGCAGCAATACAAACGGAGAGCTAGAGCCTTACGAGCCTTCGCAGATCACCGATGCCTCTCGTACAGCACTAGAGCAGTTGGTCGTCCAGCTCGAGCAGGTATTGCCGCCTTACATGGTCCCCACAGCCTTTCTCCTGGCCCCAAAGATTCCAGTGAACGCCTCTGGAAAGTTAGACCGCCGCGCTGTCCGAAGCCGGGTGGCTTTGATGCCCCGCGACGCGTTGAGCAGCTTTTCCGGCTCGCTAGAAGGCAAGCAAGCACCGACTACCGCAATGGAACAGAAGTTGCAGCATATCTGGGCTACGGCACTAGCGCTCGCACCAGACGAGGTGGGAACGAACGACTCCTTCTTCCGGCTTGGTGGAGACTCGGTGGCAGCAATGAAACTGACAGCAGCCGCTCGAGCGCAACATATTCCCCTAGCTGTAGCTGATGTCTTCCGCTGGCCCCGTCTCATAGATGTAGCAGCGGCTGTAGAAAAGAGACAGCTTGAAAACAATGGCCTTGGAAAAGAAGACGCAGAGCCGCTAAGTTTGTGGCCGGAAGCTGCGCAGACTGACGCCCACACCAACAACACCAAGCGAGCGCGATTGTTAGCTGATGTTGCCGCGCAGTGCGACGTCGGTGCTGACCAGATTGAGGATGTCTACCCGTGCAGCCCGTTGCAGGCCGGGCTCATGGCTATTACTGCTCAGCGACCCGAGGCCTACGTTTTCCAGCGGGTTTTCCGACTACATGCTGATCTGTCTACTCAGCACTTGAAGGACGCCTGGGCAAGGGTAGTTGAATTGCTGCCCATCTTGCGGACTCGCATCATCCCCTCAACACATGCTATTGCATTGCAAGTAGTTGTACAAGAGCAGCCAATATGGCACGCGTCGACGTCGCTGAACGACTACCTTGCCCAGGATCGAGGAGCTCCCATAGCCTACGGCGGCCAACTAAGTCGTACGGCAATTGTGGAGAGCGACGGTCGTCGGTACTTTGTGTGGACGACACATCACAGTGTATATGACGGATGGAGCTTTATGAAGATCATGGAGATACTCGCACAGTTGTTAAGAGGTGAGACGCCTGCCGTTTTGGTGCCTGTGTCGCGCTTCATCGCCTACTTGGCGAAGCAAGACAAGGAACAGACAGCAGCATTCTGGCAGAAGCATTTCGAAGGCGCCAACTGGACCCGCTTCCCAGCCCTGCCGTCCCCTCAGTACCAGGTCAACCCCCGCGACGTGCTCCGGCGTCAGCTGCGTATCTCGCTGGCAACAGGTGCGGCGACGACTTCTACGGTGCTTAAAGCCGCCTGGGCTCTGCTGGTTGCTGCCTACACTGGAGCCGACGAAGCCGCCATCAACGTGGTGCTGTCCGGCCGCATGGCGGCCGTCGAAGGTATCACAGATCTTGTAGCGCCAACGGTCACGACAGTACCCTTCCACGTCTCTGCTTCACGCGATCAATCTGTGCGCGACTTCCTTGCTGCCATACAAGAACGAGCCACAGAGATGATTCCGTACGAGCACACTGGTCTTCAGAACATTCGACGCATGGTACCTAGCCTTGGGTCAGAGTTCGACCCAGGCCACATCTTTGTAGTTCAGCCAGTGGGAGAGAGTGAATCAGCAACGCCGATCATCAACATGACACTCGAACGCGAGGCCGCTTCCAACAATGCCTTCAATGCTCACGCGTTGACAGTCGAGTGCTCGGTGGACCAGGGGACAGGCGAGGTTGAGGTCGAACTACACTACGACCGCGCAGTACTCCCAGTTGATACTGCGCAGCGTCTCCTTGCGCAATTTGGCCATATCTCGCAGCAGCTGGCGCAAAATGCTGAGATGGAGCTAGGACTATTTCGACTCCAAGTATTGCCACCTGAAGACAGTGGAAAATTGTGCAAGTGGAACTCGACCGTACCGCCACGCGTCGAGCGCTGCATCCACGATCTTGTCCAGTATAGAATGGTCACCCAGCCGACGGCGCCAGCGATCAGCGCGTGGGATGGTGAGATGTCGTATAGTGAACTGAACGATGCCAGCCGCCGCCTAGCTCACCACCTGGTCCACCAGGGAGTAGGGCCGGAGGTGATGGTTGGTCTATGCATGGACAAGTCAAAGTGGGCGGTGGTAGCCATGCTAGCCATCCTCCGCGCTGGCGGTGCCGTGGTACCTCTCGGCGTACAGCATCCGTTGGCTCGCATCGAGAATATTGTCAAAGACACGGCCGCATCACTCGTACTGGTAGATCACAACCACAAGCAACGACTGTCAGCGCTTTCGACCGGAACGCAGCTGCTTGTAGTTGACTCTTTCTTCGACAACCCATTAATTCCGGCGACAACGGCAACTATTGAGCCCTGTACATTCGTACGGCCGGAGAATGTCGCTTGGGTTATTTATACTTCTGGCAGTACCGGCACACCTAAGGGCGTCGTACTCGAGCATGGCGCTATTGCGACAAGTATCCTAGCCCATGGACCTGCGTTCGGTATACAGGCTCACGACAGGCTGTCGCAATTTGCAGCATACACCTTTGATGTTGCCATTCAAGAAGTCATGACGACGCTTTCTTTTGGGGCCTGTATCTGTGTGCCCTCCGAAGAGGATCGCGTCAACCACCTCACACGCTTCCTATCAGAAGCGAGTATTACTATAGCTACATTGACATCAACCGTAGCCTCACTGATCCAGCCACAGGATACACCAACAATACGCACGCTTGTTTTGATGGGAGAAGCTGTACAGCTAAAGGTTGTTGATCAGTGGCTAGGTCATGCTGACATTGTCAACGCCTACGGTCCTTCAGAATGTTGTATACACTCAACAGGTAATAGAATCACCAGAAGGTCTGACGCAGCCAATGTGGGAAAGCCGCTGGCAGGCGTATTTTGGGTCGTCAATCCTGCCAAATTCGATCAACTGGTTCTTCTGGGCGCGCCGGGCGAACTGCTTATTGAAGGCCCACAAGTAGCCCGCGAGTACTTGAACGACCCGGAAAAGACGGCTGCGGCCTTTTTGACGGACCCTGCATTTGTGCAGGAGCTAGGTCTTAGCCCTAGCCGGCGCATGTACCGCACCGGCGATCTGGTACGCCAGAACCCTGACGGCACACTAACCTACCTCGGCCGTCGAGATACACAGGTCAAGATCCGCGGTCAGCGCGTGGAGATTGGTGAGATTGAGAGTCAGATTGTCCGCCTGCTGCCAGACGCACGGGAGGTCGTTGTTGACGTCGTGCGTCCGGCAGGCGAGGCGCACGACGGCCCGCTGATACTAGTGGCCGTTGTCGAGTATGCTGCGTCATCGACTCGGCCAACCCGAAGCACAAGCAGCAGCGGAGAATTGGAACTCTACGAGCCTTCACAGATCACGAATGCCGCTCGTACAGCGCTAGAGAAGCTGGACGCCCAGCTCGAGCAGGTACTTCCGTCGTACATGGTTCCAACAGCGTTTCTACTAGTCGCAAAGCTTCCGATCAACGCGTCTGGAAAACTAGACCGCCACACTATTCGCAGTCAGCTGGGTTTGATGCGTCGTGACGCGCTGAGCAGCTTCTCTGACTCGCTTGACGTCAAACAAGCACCGACTACTGTGATAGAACGGAAGCTTCAGAACTTGTGGGCTACAGCACTGGCGCTTGCACCAGACGCAATAGGAATGAACAACTCCTTCTTTCGGTTAGGTGGAGACTCAGTGACAGCTATGAAGCTGACGGCAGCGGCGCGAAGCCAGCAGATCTCCCTGTCAGTGGCTGACATATTCCGCTGGCCTCGTCTTATGGATCTCGCAGCGGCCATAGAACGAAAACAACAAGAAGGTAATGGCCCTGTGGACGAAGACCCGGCACCACTGAGCTTGTGGCCGGAGCTTACCCAAAGCGACCACGCCGAGCGAGCACAACTTCTGGCCGACCTTGCTGCGCAGTGCGGGGTCTCTGTCGACCAGATTGAAGACGTGTACCCGTGCAGCCCATTGCAGGCTGGGCTGATGGCTATCACCGCTCAGCGTCCGGAGGCCTACGTTTTCCAGCGGGTCTTCCGACTGCATGCCGATCTCTCTACTTATCAGCTGAAAACCGCCTGGACACAGCTGGTTGAAACTTTGCCTATCTTACGGACACGTATCGTTCCATCAGTGCAGGCCATTGCCCTTCAAGTAGTCGTCCAGGAGCAGACAGTATGGCACGAAGCGACGTCGCTCGACGACTACCTCGACACGGATCGAGCAAATCCTGTCGTATACGGTGGCGCACTCAGCCGTACGGCGATTGTGGAGGACAGCGAGAGTCGGTACTTTGTATGGACGATACATCACAGCGTGTACGATGGATGGAGCATTATCAAAATAATAGAATTGCTAGAGCGACTACTACATGGGGAGCCGCCTTCCGTCCCAGTACCGGTCTCACGCTTCATAGCCTACCTGGCGCGGCAGGACAAGGAACAGACAGCAGCATTCTGGCAGAAGCATTTCGAAGGCGCCAACTGGACCCGCTTTCCAGCCCTGCCGTCCCCTCAGTACCAGGTCAACCCCCGCGACGTGCTCCAGCACCAGCTGCGTATCTCGCTGGCAACAGGTTCGGCGACGACTTCTACAGTGCTTAAAGCCGCCTGGGCTCTGCTGGTTGCTGCCTACACTGGAGCCGACGAAGCCGCCATCAACGTGGTGCTGTCCGGCCGCATGGCGGCCGTCGAAGGTATCACCGATCTTGTAGCGCCAACGGTCACGACAGTACCCTTCCACGTCTCTGCCTCGCGCGATCAGTCTATTCACAGCTTTCTTGCTGACGTCCATGATCGTGCAACAGAGATGATTCCATACGAGCACACTGGTCTTCAGAACATTCGACGTCTAGTCCCTAGCCTTGGATCAGAGTTCGACCCAGGTCACATCTTTGTAGTTCAGCCTGCTGCAGAGAGCGAGTCAGCAACACCAATGTTCAACATGGAACTTGAGCCTAATGCAACCCCCATAGAGGCATTTGACGCCTATGCTCTGACAATAGAATGCTTGGTCAGCCAGGGGACAGGCGAGGTTGGAGTTGAAATTCGCTTCGACCGTTCCGTACTTCCAGTCGACAACGCTGAACGCCTGCTCGCCCAGTTCAGCCATATTGCACAACAGCTAGCGCACAACGCAGAATCATCGCAGCCACTCGGTCAGCTTCAATTACTGTCCCCAGCGGACGGTGCGCAATTGCGCAAGTGGAACTCGACTATGCCACCACGCGTGGAGCGCTGCATCCATGACCTGGTGCTTGACCAGATGGCATCCCAGCCGACAGCACCGGCCATCAGCGCATGGGACGGCGAGATGACGTACGGCGAGCTGAACGATGCCAGTAATCAGCTTGCTTATTATCTGGTCGGACACGGAGTAGGTCCAGAAGTGATGGTCGGTTTGTGCATGGACAAGTCCAAGTGGGCGGTCGTAGCCATGCTAGCCATCCTCCGCGCCGGCGGTGCCGTGGTACCTCTCGGCGTACAGCATCCGCTGGTTCGCGTCGAGCGCATCATTGAAGACACTGCGGCACCTCTCTTGCTGGTAGACAGCGCCCACGAGCAGCGGCTGGTAGCACTGACAGCACACACGCAGCTGCTTGCCGTCGACTCTTTCTTCGAGAAAGCTCAGACGGTACCAAAAGTGCCGACCTATGCTGAACCTTGCACCTCTGTACGACCAGAGCACGTGGCATGGGTCATCTATACCTCTGGGAGCACTGGTACGCCCAAGGGTGTCGTACTCCAGCACGGCGCCTTGGCGACGAGCATCCTTGCCCATGGACCTGCCTTTGGTATACAGTCTGAAGACCGATTGTCACAGTTTGCAGCATACACGTTTGATGTTGCTATTCAGGAAATAATGACTACTCTGTCTTTTGGGGCCTGTATCTGTGTGCCCTCTGAAGCAGATCGCGTCAACAACCTCACACGCTTCTTGTCAGACACGAATGTCACCATAGCTACCCTTACTTCAACTGTAGCCTCGCTGGTTCAGCCGCAAGAAACCCCAACGGTACGGAGGCTGGTTCTAATGGGCGAAGCAGTTCAAGCGAAGGTTGTCGATCAGTGGCTAGAGCATGCTAGCATTATCAACGCCTACGGTCCCTCAGAATGTTGTATACACTCAACAGGTAACAACATTACAAATAGGTCAGAGGCTACTAACGTGGGAAAGCCACTGGCAGGTATGTTCTGGGTTGTAAATCCTGCCGACATTCACCAATTAGTCCCACTTGGCGCTCCTGGGGAGCTGCTCATCGAAGGCCCCCAACTTGCGCGGGGATACCTGAATGACACTGCCAAGACCACCGCCGCCTTTATCACAGACCCTGCCTTTGCGCTAGAGTTGGGTTTTGGGTCGGGCCGGCGGATGTACCGCACTGGCGATCTGGTACGCCAGAACCCTGACGGCACACTAACCTACCTCGGCCGTCGAGATACACAGGTCAAGATCCGCGGTCAGCGCGTGGAAATTGGTGAGATTGAGAGTCAGATTGTCCGCCTGCTGCCAGACGCACGGGAGGTCGTTGTTGACGTCGTGCGTCCGGCAGGCGAGGCACACGACGGCCCGCTGATACTAGTGGCCGTGGTTGAGTATGCTACAGACGTTAAAAGTAGCAGCAGCAGCAGCCATGGTGAACTTCAGTCCTTCAAGCCTTCACAGATCACCGACCCATTACGAAAAGCCCTGGCAATACTAGACGTCGAGCTCGGGCAGGTACTACCGTCCTACATGGTTCCTACGGCATTTTTACTGGTTTCTGAGCTTCCGATCAACGCGTCTGGCAAGCTAGACCGACGCGCCGTCCGGGACCAATTGAGCCTCATGCCCCGCGATGCTCTGAGTAGCTTCTCTGGCTCGTTAGACGGCAAGCAGGCACCATCTACTGCGATGGAACTCAAGCTACAAAGTCTGTGGGCTACGACACTCGCGCTTGCACCAGACGCAGTAGGGACTAACGACTCATTCGTCCGGCTTGGTGGAGATTCAGTTGCGGCAATGAAACTGACGGCGGCGGCGCGCAGCCAGCAAATTCCCTTGTCAGTGGCTGACATCTTCCGCTGGCCTCGTCTTGCAGACATGGCAAAGGCGATGGAGGAGAAGTGCCAGGACGAGAACGGTTTCCTCAACGACACAGACGAAGAATCAGCGCCATATAGTCTGTGGCAGGAGCTTGACCAGGCTGACGACGTCAAGCGCACACAGCTCTTAGCTGACGTTGCCGCGCAGTGCAGTGTCTCTGTCGACCAGATTGAGGACATTTATCCGTGCAGCTCGTTACAGGCTGGACTGATGGCTATCACCGCTCAGCGTCCCGAGGCCTACATCGCCCGTCGCGTTTTCAAACTCCATGCCGACCTCTCCACTCATCAGCTGAAGGCCGCCTGGACAAGGGTTACTGAACTACTCCCCATCCTACGGACACGTATCATCCCCTCGGTAGAGGCTATTGCCCTCCAAGTAGTCGTCCAGGAGCAGCCAGTATGGCACGAATCTTTATCACTCAACGACTACCTCGCCACAGATAGAGCGGTATCGATCGTCTACGGCGGCGCGCTTAGTCGTACAGCGATTGTGGAGGACAACGGTCGTTGGTATTTCGTCTGGACGGCACACCACAGCATCTACGACGGCTGGAGCTTAGTCAAGATTATGGAGATGCTCGCACAGCTATTGAGGGGTGAGAAACCTTCCGCTTCAGTGCCGGTCTCGCGCTTCATCGCCTATTTGGCGCGGCAGGACAAGGAAGAGACGACAGCATTCTGGCAGAAACACTTCGAAGGCGCCAACAACTGGACTCGCTTCCCAGCGCTGCCGTCTGCGCAGTATCAGGTCAAACCACGTGACGTACTCCGGCGCCAGCTGCGTATATCGCTGGCGACAGGTGCCGCGACGACTTCTACTGTGCTTAGAACCGCTTGGGCTCTGTTGGTCGCCGCCTACACTGGCGCCAACGAAGCCGCCATCAACGTGGTGCTGTCCGGCCGTATGGCAGCTGTACATGGCATTACCAACCTGGTGGCTCCGACTGTCACTACAGTTCCATTTTACGTTTCTTTCCCCCAAGATCAATCTGTACGCAGCCTACTTGCTGAGGTACACAACCGTGCGACGGATATGATCCCCCACGAGCACACTGGTCTTCAGAACATTCGACGCATGGTATCCAGCCTTGGGTCAGACTTTGATCCAGGCCATATCTTTGTAGTCCAACCTGCTGCAGAGAGCGAGTCAGCAACTCCGATGTTTAACATGGACCTAGAGCGTGAGGCGGACTCTACAGAGGCGTTTGACGCCTATGCGCTGACAGTAGAATGTTCCGTCAACCAGGGCACAGATGAGGTTGCAGTGGAAGTACGCTTCGATCGCGCAGTACTTCCGGTCGAGAACGCTGAACGCCTGCTCGCCCAGTTCAGCCACATTGCACAGCAGCTAGCGTCTAACGCGGATGCGGAGCTGGCGCTCATGCGGCTCCAACTCCTGCCGTCAGAAGATGGTGCCCAATTTTCAAAGTGGAATGCTACTGTGCCGCCGTGTACTCAGCGCTGCGTCCACGACCTGGTGCTTGACAAGATGGCCTCTCAGCCCACTGCACCGGCCATCAGCGCATGGGACGGTGAGATGACGTACGGCGAGCTGGACGATGCGAGCCGACGCCTAGCCCACCACCTGGTCGAGCGCGGAGTCGGCCCAGAAATCAAGGTCGGCCTGTGCATGGATAAGTCGAAGCGGGGAATAGTGGCCATGTTGGCTATCCTCCGCGCCGGCGGAGCTGTAGTCCCACTGGGAGTGCAGCACCCGCTTGCCCGTATTGAGGGAATTGTCCAGGACATCGCATCGCCGCTTGTACTAGTCGACCGCGTCCATGAGCAACGACTGGCGGCACTGACAGCCAATGCGCAATTGCTTGTCGTTGACTCTTTCTTTGAAGCCTCAACAACGACGCCCAACAATATAACGACCGTCGAGCCTAGTGCGTCCGTACGGCCCGAGCACGTGGCTTGGATCATCTACACTTCTGGCAGCACGGGTACGCCTAAGGGTGTCGTACTCGAGCATGGCGCTATTGCAACAAGCATTCTAGCCCATGGATCTGCATTCGGCATCCAATTTCACGATCGATTGTCGCAGTTTGCAGCATACACCTTTGATGTTGCCATTCAAGAGATCATGACGACTCTGTCGTTTGGAGCGTGCGTCTGCGTTCCTTCAGAAGAAGATCGTGTCAACCATCTATCACGCTTCCTATCGGACTCACAGGTGACTATAGCTACCCTCACGTCAACTGTAGCCTTACTCGTCCGGCCACAGGATGCGCCAACAGTGCGAACCCTGGTTTTGATGGGTGAAGCAGTTCAACCAAAGGTCGTCGATCAATGGCTGGAGCACGCTAATATCATCAACGCCTACGGTCCTTCGGAATGTTGTATACACGCAACAGGTAATATGATCACCCGAGGGGCAGATGCAGCCAACATTGGAAAGCCACTTGCAGGTGCTTTCTGGGTTGTGAATCCTGCAAACGTTGGACAGCTGGTCCCTCTTGGCGCTCCCGGTGAGCTACTTATTGAAGGGCCCCAAGTAGCCCGTGAGTACCTGAACGACCCGACAAAGACGGCTGCGGCCTTTGTGATGGACCCTGCGTTCGTCCAGGAGCTGGGGCTGAGCGCGGGTCGACGCATGTACCGTACCGGCGATCTGGTACGACAGAACCCGGACGGCAACCTTATCTATCTCAGTCGCATTGACGCGCAGATCAAGATCCGCGGTCAGAGAGTGGAGACTGGCGAGATCGAGTACCACATCGGTAAGCAGACGGGCATACACGACGCTGTTGTACTTTACATGCACGAAGGTCCTCTGGCTGGTCGTCTTGTCGCTGCTGTCGTGCTGGGGGAACCTTTGCCATCTGACGCGGTCGACCGCCATCACGCCGCTATCCAACGCATTTCTGCAGAGCAGTATGAAAGCGCTCAGGTGATTTTACGCGCGGCACAGCAAGTCCTTTCCCAGCAGGTCATGCACTACATGGTGCCGAGCGTCTGGATCCCTCTAGCAGCCGTACCGGTCAACCCATCCGGCAAGACAGATCGGCTTGCACTCACTCGCTGGATGCAGTCACTGTCAGAAGAAGAAGCTGCCACACTTACCAAGGCTGAGGAGATTGATGATCAAGCTGAACTGCTAGCAACTCCTGTCGAGCAGCAGCTGCGGCAGATATGGAGCGAGGTGCTCGGCGTGCCACTTCGCAACGTGACGTACACCGCCAACTTCTTCAGTCTTGGTGGCGACTCAATCACAGCGATGCAGGTCGTATCAACCAGCCGAGCGCATGGTATTCTTATCACTGTGCGAAAGGTTCTCGAATGTCAGACAATACCCGAGTTGGCAGCTCAAGCACAGACTGGGATGAACGCAGACTCAGCGTCTCGCGTACCAGACGGCGCCTTCGCGCTGTCGCCCATCCAACAGATGTACTTTGAGGACATCGCCGCAGACGGACTGGAGGTTGCAAGGGAGCACCGATTCAATCAAGGAGTCTCGCTGCAAATTACTCGTCAGGTAGAGCCTACAGAGCTGGCTCAGGCACTGGACACCGTCGTTGCCAAACACGCTATGCTTCGAGCTCGCTTCCAGCATAGCCAGGCGCACGGCAGTTGGCAGCAGTGGATTCAGGGAGAGGTTACTGGGTCGTACCGCTTCGCTACGCACACGGCGGCCGACGCGCAGTCTATGCATCGTACGATTGCTCAGTCTGAGGCGTCCCTTGACCTCGAGTATGGTCCCGTATTCGCGGCCGACTTGATCCAACGTCAGGATAAACAGATTCTCCACTTAGCCGCCCATCACCTTGTCATTGACCTGGTGTCGTGGCGCATCCTGATTCGAGACCTGGAAGAGCTCCTCACCCATCACAAACTGCCAAATTCAACTAGTTTGTCTTTTCCAGCATGGCTAGAGCGACAACGAGAATCGCTTATGGAGACCTCACCAGCAGATACTTTACCCTTTGCAGTGCCGACAGCAAACTGGGAGTACTGGGGCCTCACTCCTCGCCATGACGTGTGGGACGATCTATCCAGCATCAGGGCCAAGTGCGATCCCAATACAACGTCGCTGCTGTTTGGCAGCGCCAACACCGCTCTAAAGACTGAGCCAGTTGAGATCATGCTGGCTGCCTTTTTTGTGTCATTCAGACAGGTCTTTGGGGACCGTAGTACACCTGCTGTCTTCACTGAGGGACATGGCCGTGAGGCTCAAGGCGATGAAACTGACTTATCCGACACAATCGGTTGGTTCACGACTATGACCCCGCTTCATGTGCCGCTAGAATCTGAAGCTGAGAGCGCCGTTCGTGTCCTGCGACAAGTAAAGGACCAGCGCCGGCGCATTCCTGGCCGCGGTGTGCCATACTTTGGGAGCCGTTACCTGACCACTCGCGGAAGAGAGCTGTTTGCAGGTCACGGCCCAGCCGAAGTCATCTTCAACTATTCTGGACGATTCCAGCAAGCTGAGCGAGAAGACGCGCTGTTCCGGTTCAACAATGATGACGACGGCGAGAGCGCGACACCAGAAGTCGGTGGCTTGGTCAAGATCTATGCCGCGCTTGACGTCTCTGTCGCGGTACAAGCAGGCGAGCTGCAGGTCAACGTCCGCTTCAGCCGCCAGGCACAACACCAATCAGCTATACTGCGGTGGGTAGAAGCGTACGGCAACGCTGTGAAGAGCCTTGTAGAAGAGCTGGTCGCAACGGGACCAACAGCGACAGCAACCGACTTCCCACTTATGCGTCTGTCTGACGGCGATATGGCGACGATTGAGAGGCAATACCTCCCTACCATCGGCCTTTCCTCTACCAACCAAGTTGAAGACATTCTGCCTTGCTCACCGCTCCAGCAAGGTATTCTACTCACGCAGCTGCAATCGCCGTCGACATACTGCATCCAACAGACGTGCCGTATCCTATCATCTAATCCACTACAGCAACCGGTCAGTGCAACGCAGCTTATCAGAGCCTGGCGCCAGATTGTCGCGCGGCACTCTGTCCTTAGAACCATTCTACTAGAGCCACTACCAGGACAGGAAAGATTCGTTCAGATCGTTCTAAGGCAGCCAGATGCAAGTATTGTTAGTGTTGATGGTATTGCAGACAGTGCTGTAGCTGAGTGGTTTGCTTCTCAGCCAGTACTTGACCTTTCAGACCTCCGTCGTCCACCGCACCGTCTAACTTTGTTGACAACAACCACGGGCGAGGTATACTGCCGCCTCGATGTAAGCCACACCCTGGTAGACGCTTCTTCAGTGGCCCTTATCCTCCGCGACCTCATTGCCGCCTATGAGGGCGCATTACCAGCAAGCAGTGGCTCTAAATACAGTGACTACGTCGCCTTCCTCGAGGGAAGAAAGCCACAAGATGACCTTTCGTACTGGAAGGCGTTGTTGGGCACCGCTGAGCCGTGTATACTGCTGCCACAAGAACCGCTTCACAGCGTTGACCAGGCAAAGCTCGGGAGAGTCTCTATGCGATTCGACGACCTTTCCATCCTCCATCGCTTCCGGGATACATACGGCGTTTCAATAGCGAGCATCTGTCAACTTGCCTGGGCTCTAGTGCTTGCAAGACGGACAGGAACACACAATGTCAGCTTCGGCAACTTGTCGAGCGGCCGTGACGCGCCTATTCCGGGGGTAGAAGATCTGGTTGGGCCTATGATCAATATGCTTGTGTGCCACCTTCAGCTCGACTGGGGCGCAAGCGTGTCCAACACAGCTCGTGATCTACACAACCAGTCCATCGAAGCGTTCGATCACCAGCAGACATCACTTGCATCTATCCAGCATGAGCTTGGTCTTTCTAGAAACCAGCCGCTGTTTAACAGCACTCTTTCGTACAAAAGAACACCTCCAACTAGTTCCAGACCTACGGCAATTACTATTAAAAGCCTAGCCGCGGAGGACCCAACAGAGTACGACATCAACGTCAACATCGATGTGGCAGCAACCGAACTGAATTTGTCCATACAATACTCAACTGCAACAACGTCAGGCGCGGCGGCTACTAGACTCGCCGATAGCTTGCTTCAAGCCATACGTGCCATCTGCGAGAACGCGGAGCGCCCTCTCGGCCAACTCAATTTACTGTCAGCCGAGGACGGGGCACAGTTCCGCACGTGGAATTCAACCATGCCATCACGCCTCAACTGCTGCGTCCATGACCTCGTCGTAGACCAGATGGCTGCCAACCCGGCAGCGCTGGCAGTCAGCGCTTGGGATGGAGAGATGTCGTACGGCGAGGTAGATGACGCCAGCCGTCGGTTGGCTTATCACCTGGTGGAGCGAGGGGTTGGTCCCGATGTGATGGTTGGTATGTGTATGAACAAGTCGAAATTAGGGGTGGTAGCTATGCTGGCCATCCTCCGCGCAGGCGGTGCTGTAGTTCCTCTTGGAGTGCAACACCCACTGGCCCGTATTGAGGTTATCGTCCAAGACACTGCATCGCCGCTTGTACTAGTCGATCGCGTCCATGAGCAACGGCTGGCGTCACTAGCAGCTAATACGCAACTGCTCGCTGTTGACTCATTCTTTGACGTCCTATCGACCCCAGAGACAACACCAACCGCCGAGCCCAGCACTTCTGTACGTCCAGAGCACGTGGCGTGGGTTATTTATACTTCTGGTAGCACCGGAAAGCCGAAAGGCGTCGTACTCCAACATGGTGCCCTTGCGACAAGCATCCTCTTCCATGGTCGTAGACTCGATATACAGTCTCACGACCGTCTACTGCAGTTTGCAGCGTTTACCTTCGATGCCGCTATTCAAGAGATTATTACAGCCCTGTCATTTGGCGCAAGCACCTGTATTCCATCTGAAGACGATCGCACAGACCGGCTCACAGCCTACCTATCGGAAGCGAAGGTTACTCTAGCTACCTTGACTTCAACTGTAGCCGCACTGGTGCGGCCACAAGACACACCGACAGTGCGAACGCTGATTCTGATGGGCGAAGCTGTCCAAGCGAAGGTGGTCGATCAGTGGATCGATCACGCCACTGTCATCAATGCCTACGGGCCCTCAGAATGCTGTATACACTCGACATGTACAAAGGTTCGGGATGGTTCTGTAGCTCTGAACATAGGAACTGCGATTGCTGGTGGTACCTGGATAGTCAACCCTGCCAGTATCGGACAATTGGTTCCACTTGGTGCGCCGGGCGAGCTCCTTATCGAAGGACCGCTGTTGGCGCGCGAATACCTCAACGACTCTATTAAGACAGCCGCCGCATTCATAAAAGATCCTGCATTCGTGCAGGAGCTAGGCCTCAGCCCGGGACGACGCATGTACCGTACTGGTGACCTGGTACGCCAGAACGCTGACGGCACCATTACCTACCTTGGCCGTATCGACGCGCAGATCAAGATCCGCGGTCAGCGAGTAGAGACTGGCGAGATCGAGTATCACATCGGCAAGCAAGCTGGTGTACACGACGCAGTCGTACTCTACATGCGCCAGGGACCTCTAGCTGGTCGTCTTGTTGTTGCTGTCGTCCTGGGCGAAAATTCGACAGCTGGTTCTGTCGATCGCCAGCGGCACGCCGTCAGACGTATTCCAAGTGAACAGCAGGAGAGCGCTCGACTACAACTACGGGACGCCCAGCAAGCCCTTTCCCAGCAGGTCATGCACTACATGGTGCCGAGCGTCTGGATCCCTCTAGCAGCCGTACCGGTCAACCCATCCGGCAAGACAGATCGGCTTGCACTCACTCGCTGGATGCAGTCACTGTCAGAAGAAGAAGCTGCCACACTTACCAAGGCTGAGGAGATTGATGATCAAGCTGAACTGCTAGCAACTCCTGTCGAGCAGCAGCTGCGGCAGATATGGAGCGAGGTGCTCGGCGTGCCACTTCGCAACGTGACGTACACCGCCAACTTCTTCAGTCTTGGTGGCGACTCAATCACAGCGATGCAGGTCGTATCAACCAGCCGAGCGCATGGTATTCTTATCACTGTGCGAAAGGTTCTCGAATGTCAGACAATACCCGAGTTGGCAGCTCAAGCCCGGACAACTGAGAACACAGACCTAACAGCGCGAGTGCCAGACGGCGCCTTCGCCCTGTCGCCAGTTCAAGAGATGTATTTTGAGGACATCGCCGCAGACGGACTGGATGTTGCAGGGGAGCACCGATTCAATCAAGCAGTCTCACTGCGGATCACCCGCCAGGTAGAGCCCGCACAAGTGGCTCGGGCACTGGACACTGTCGTTGCGAAACACGCTATGCTTCGAGCTCGTTTCCAAAGCCAAGCACACAGCTGGCATCAGTGGATTGAGAAAGAGATCTCTGGATCGTACCGCTTTACTACGCACGAAGCTGCGAACGCGCAGTCTCAGCGGCGTATGATTGCTCAATCTCAGGCGTCTCTTAACCTTGAGCATGGACCGGTCTTCACGGCCGACATAATCCAACGGCAAGACAAACAGGTCCTTCACTTAGCCGCCCACCACCTCGTTGTTGACCTCGTATCGTGGCGTATCCTAATTCGAGATCTGGAAGAGCTCCTTACACATCACAAACTGCCGAATCCGACCAGTCTATCGTTCCCGGTGTGGCTGGAGCGACAACGCGACTCGCTGAGTAAATTTGAGAGCAAAATTTCTTCGCCAGGAGACACCTTGCCCGTCGCAGTACCGGCTGCTAACTGGGAGTACTGGGGTCTTACTCCTCGCCATGACGTGTGGGACGATCTTTCCAGCATCAGGGCCAAGTGCGATCCCAATACAACGTCGCTGCTGTTTGGCAGCGCCAACACCGCTCTAAAGACTGAGCCAGTTGAGCTCATGCTGGCTGCCTTTTTTGTGTCATTCAGACAGGTCTTTGAGGACCGTAGTACACCTGCTGTCTTCACTGAGGGACATGGCCGTGAGGCTCAAGGCGATGAAACTGACCTGTCCGACACAATCGGTTGGTTCACGACTATGACCCCGCTTCATGTGCCGCTAGAAGCTGGGGCTGTTTCGAACAGCGCTGTGCACGTCCTCAAACAAGTCAAGGACCAACGTCGACGCATCCCCGGTCGCGGTGTGCCCTACTTCGGTAGCCGTTACCTGACCACTCGAGGAAGAGAGCTGTTTGCAGGTCACGGTCCGGCCGAAGTCATCTTCAACTATTCTGGACGATTTCAACAAGTTGAGCGCGAGGACGCGCTGTTCCGGTTCGACACTGAAGATGAAGACGACGATGATGCCAGTGCAATGCCCGAAGTCGGCGCCCTTGTCAAGATCTTTGCCGCGCTTGACGTCTCCGTCACAGTAGAAGCAGACGAGCTGCAGATCACCGCCCGATTCAGTCGCCAAGCGCGACACCAGCCAGCTATTCAGCAATGGGTCAAAGCGTACAGCAACGCTGTGAAGAGCCTTGTAGAGGAGCTGGTTGTGACGAAGCCGACAGCGACGGCGACCGACTTTCCACTCATGCGCCTGTCCGACAGTGATATGGCAACCATTGAGAGGCAGTACCTTCCGACAATAGGCCTCTCTTCTACCAGCGAAATCGAAGACATTCTGCCTTGCTCACCAATTCAACAGGGCATTCTACTTACACAGCTGCAGTCGCCATCCACGTACTGCATCCAGCAAACTTGCCGTATCCTATCATCTGACCCTCAGCAGCCGGTCAGCGCAAGCCGGCTTATCAGAGCATGGCATCAGGTCATCTCGCGGCACTCTGTTCTTAGGACTATTCTGCTGGAGCCACTGCCAGGACAAGAGAGATTTATCCAGGTCGTCTTGAGGCAGCCTGAAACAGGTATTGTCAGCGCAGACGGTATTGCAGACAGCACTGTCAGCGACTGGTTTGCTTCTCAGCCTGTACTTGACCTTTCAGACCTCCGGCGTCCACCCCACCGTCTAACCTTGCTAACGACAACTACTGGCAAGGTATACTGCCGCCTCGACGTAAGTCACACGCTGGTGGATGCCTCATCGCTGACTCTGATCACTCGCGATCTTATTGGCGCTTATGGGGGTACATTGCAGGCTGGCGGCTCCCAATATAGTGCGTACGTCGCTGTCCTCGAGGGGAGCGAGCCACAGGACGACCTATCGTACTGGAAGTCGTTGCTAAGCGCAGCTGAGCCGTGCCTTGTACTGCCCCAAGAGCCACCACACGATACCAGACAGGCGCAACTTGCGAAGGTCTTTACGCGATTCGAAGACCTTACCATGCTTCACCGCTTCCGGGACACGTATGGTGTGTCTATGGCCAGTATCTGTCAGCTCGCCTGGGCTCTAGTACTAGCAACACGAACGGCATCCTCAAATGTTAGCTTCGGTAATCTATCAAGCGGCCGGGATGCCCCCATTCCAGGAGTAGAAGAGCTAGTTGGGCCCATGATCAACATGCTCGTGTGCCACTTACAACTGGATTGGGGCGCAAGAGTATCCGACACTGCTCGTAAGCTGCAAAGTCAGTCTGCCGCAGCTTTGGAGCACCAGCGAATATCGCTGGCATCCCTGCAGCACGAACTTGGCTTTTCCAGGAACCAGCCGCTGTTTAATAGTACCCTTTCGTACAAGCGACAATCCTCGAATAGCTCTGAACAAGCAGAAATAACAATCGATGGCCTAGCCTGGGAGGATCCGACTGAGTACGACATGAACGTCAACGTTGATGCCACACCGACCGGGCTCGACATCAATATCCAATACTCGACGGCAGTACTTTCAAACGAAGCAGCTACAAGACTCATCGAGAGCCTGGTACAAGCCGTGCGTGCCGTGTGCGAGAATGAAGAACAGCCGCTACGAGAGCTCAGACTGCTGTCGCCGGAGGACGAGGCGCAGTTGTGTAAGTGGAATGCAATCATGCCACCTCGTGTCAAGCGGTGCCTCCACGATCTGGTGCAAGATCAAATTACCGCTCAGCCGATGGCACCGGCCATCAGTGCGTGGGACGGCGAAATGACGTACGGCGAGCTGGACGATGCCAGCCGTCAGCTGGCTTATCACCTGGTCGGACACGGAGTAGGTCCGGAGGTGATGGTCGGTTTGTGCATGGACAAGTCCAAGTGGACAATAGTGGCCATGCTAGCCATACTCCGCGCTGGCGGAGCCGTGGTGCCCCTCGGCGTAGGGCACCCGCCATCTCGCATCGAGGGCATAGTGCAGGATATTGCGGCGCCGCTTGTGCTGGTCGACCGCGGCCACGAGCAGCGGCTAGCAGCACTAACAGCCCATGTGCCCCTGCTCGCCGTAGACAGCTTCTTCGAATCTGCCCCAACGACCCAAACGTTGGCACTGGATGCATCAGCCGAACTCTGCCCGTATGTGCGGTCTGACAACGTGGCATGGGTCATCTTCACATCCGGCAGCACTGGCAAGCCCAAGGGTGTCGTACTCGAGCATGGCGGTCTTGTAACGAGCGTCCTGGCTCATGCACCGCTCTGGGGAATGTCGTCTTCAACACGCACGCTCCAATTCGCTGCCTTCACGTTCGATGTCAGTATCTCTGATGTCTTTGCGACCCTTGCATTTGGCGGCTGTATTTGTTCGCCCTCTGAAGAGGATCGTCTTTCGAACCTCAATCAGACGACTCGCGACTTCCAGGTGACCTACGCCAATGTAACACCCACTGTCGCTCGCCTTTTAGACCCGAAACAGCTCCCCACACTAAAGACTCTTGTTCTCATCGGAGAGGCTGTTGATGCAGGCGTCGTAGATAGGTGGAACAAGGATGCTGCGGTGATCAACGGTTACGGCCCTGCCGAAGCATCTATCGTGTTCCATTGCAGCCCGCCCATACAGGATCCTGCGGCTGCAGCAAATGTAGGCCAGAAGATCGCAGGAGGCGCCTGGATAGTCGATCCGGATGACATTGGCCGACTGGTTCCCCTTGGCGCACCGGGCGAGCTGCTCATCGAGGGTCCACTCCTTTCACGCGGTTACTTGAACGACCCCGTCAAGACTGCCGCCGCCTTTGTGAAAGACCCTGCTTTCGTACAGGAGCTGGGGCTCGGCACGGGCCGACGCATGTACCGTACCGGAGATATGGTGCAGCAGAACACGGACGGCTCGCTGACCTTCCTGGGTCGTCGCGACACACAAATCAAAATCCGCGGCCAGCGAGTGGAGATCGGCGAGATCGAGAGTGAAATTGTCCGCCTCCTGCCAGACGCGAAGCACGCCTACGTTTCCAAGAAAGGACAATCTTTGGTTGCTGTCATTGAATCCACCACGTCGCGCCGGGATAATTCTGGCGCCCCTGTGCATTCGTTAATCACGCCCGACCGTGAACAACAAAAGAACTTCGATTCTCTCCACGCTTCTCTCCGCGAAAGGCTCCCCAGGTACATGATACCCTCCGCGTTCCTGGCCATCAACGCACTCCCGCTCAATGACAGTGGTAAACTCGACCGCCGGCGGGTTGGCCTTCTGTTGGATTCCGTACCATCAGACAAGTGGCTTGAATACACGGCCAAGTCCCAGGTATACCAGCCGCCTGTTGGCGCCCTGGAAGAACTTCTCTGCGAACTGTGGGCAGCCTGCATTGGACTAAAGGAGACGCCAATCTCGCGTATGGACAATTTCTTCGACCACGGCGGCGACTCCATCACCGCCATGGCCCTCGTTCAACAGCTACGGGGACGCGGACTGCGACTTTCAGTGGCTGAAATTTTCAATTACCCTATTCTCTCTGCTATGGCAGTGTGGGTTACTACGGACGTTGACGAGAGCGCAGACTACCAGCGCTTTTCACTTGTCTCGACCGAAGAACGGTCAGCTGTCCTTGAATGCGTTCTCTCTGATGGCTCGGTTGGAATGGAACCGGATGTGGTTGATATCCTGCCAACAACACACTTCCAAGCCCAAATCGTCAGACAAAACATGGAATCCGAACGCAGACAATTGAACTATTTCGCTTTCGATGCGAACGGTCCTTGCGACATTTCCGGATTGACATCAGCATTCTCCGACCTTGTCATGAGGATTGAGTCCTTCCGCACCGGATTCGCCAGACCCAGCGGCCACAGACTCCTACAGGTTCTCTACGGGGAGTGGCAACCAGAAGTCCGCGTCTTCCAGACCAGCATGAGTCTCGATAACTTCTGCCGGGACTCGCTAGATAACGATATGTTCGCCGTGCCGAGCCTTTCACGACCAATGTTCGACGTAGCCATTGTCGTTGCCGATACGAACCAGCATCGCGTTGTATTCCGCATGTCGCATGCGCTGTATGATGGAGCCTCCTTGAATCAGGTGTGGACCACATTGGAAACAATCCTTGCAGGACAAACCACAAGCACCTTCGTTCCTGTTGGGTCGTATTTCCAGAGTTTACAAACCCGGACAACAAACGAAACCGAAGATTACTGGCGTGAGCTTCTTCGTGGAGCCATCATTCCAAGCATCAGTACACGTGCCGAACCGCAGGTCTCACGATTAGGTGTGGTATTCGGCAAGCCGATCATGTTGTCAAGAAGCGGACAACCAGACTTCACTGTTGCCGTGGCTGTCAAAGCAGCTTGGAGCATGGTACTGAGCCAACACATGGCGACTAGCGATGTTGTCTTCGCCGAAATTTTCTCAGGACGGAGTACAGTGCATCCATCAGTCGCAGGTGCTGTAGCGTGCTGTGCAAGAGCGGTGCCATGCCGCGTTGTCTTTGAACCCGAATGGACACTGCAGAGACTGCTCGAACACATCAAGCAACAACAGATCGACAGTATGAAACATGAAGGTCTTGAGATCCAGGAAATCACCCAACGTTGTATGGGGTGGCCGGAAGCAGAGGCGGAAAATCTACGCGTCAGCATGGTCAATCATCAGAGGGCGCCAAAACAAGACATGTCTTTGAACACGAAAGTCTACAAGCACGCAACTGTAGGCCCGAAGCACCCATACGCATCTGTCGACTTTGCCATCGAGACTGTAGAAGATGACGATGGTTCACTATCAGCAAAGATTGCCTACGCTGCGGATCGGATTCCCGACGAGCTGGCAAGAAGACTTTTTGATCGATTCCGAGACACTTTGGATACTATCCTTGCAAATCCACACTGCAATGTCGGTCAATTGATTGAGGGAATTACGGGCTCGGCGGCAAGGTGTTAGGAGCACGTTTCGAGAGAGGAGCTGGGCTAGAGGGAAGAATCATGTAAGCAGGCGAGAAGGATCACTCCGAAGATGTCTATTCGGATACGAGATCGGCAAGCATACGGTTGAGCAAGGCTTTCTTTACTCACTACATTCATTCACAAAACATTGAGGCTAGCTTGACTAGCATATTAGATAGGAGCATCGCGCTCTATTTCATTTGTACATAATTTCCTTTGTAGTACTTACATTAAATTGCTCGTTCAGTCTCACTGTCATTTGCTAACGCCGTCTTCGTTACCATGTGGGAAAGCTGGGTACTGCTAAACATGGCGTTGTCTCTCCTGCCTTTCCTCTGAAACCGATTGTTTGGTTATCGAAGTGGGGTTATGTTAACTGACTGAAACGTCTCGCAAAGGCCAATACCTATCACTATGGATGAATATTGGGTACGAGTCCGAAGGTCGATACGACGTTGGTTAAGGAGCTTAAACAGAGAGCAATGTGCAGCAAATACCCAATCACACGCAGCTACTTGTTGTCATGGTGAACCGGCGCTCTCTGGTGAGCCTTCCGGCTGTTTACAATCTTTCGCGCCTTCACAACGGAGTCGGCACGAGGTCGTGATAGCCCAAGCCTACCTGTTGCAGTAAATGCAATAAGTGAAGGTGTAACCGCGCAGGACAGTAAGTTAGGGGTAACCGCGCAAAGCAGTAAAAATCTGTATATTGTGTTCTGTTGTTATGTGATTGTCCCTCACCCGGCAGTCATCAGGGTCTGTTTACATGACGTATCTGTCGTGCAGCTAGAAAGTGCTGTTGGAAGAAGCAAGAGCACTGTACCAGCACACGTGGCAGACATGACCTCTTCACTCCATAAACCGTCACACTACCAAGCTTGACGCTATACAAAACTGTAAGCTGTCAAAAACCAGTCAGTCTATCATTTCCTACTTGCAGTCGCGGCAGCCTACCTATACTACGCTCGTTAGCGATAAATGTGATCTGCGCAACCGACAGGTGCATACCGTACGAGCTGCTCGACGATGCATGCCATGACGATCCTACCCAAGATGAGTCACACAGCCGCCGGACAGATAGCCGCAGATGGCACTGTCTACAAACAGACATCAAGCAACGACTGAAGGCGAGGAGGTCGTGCGCATGGACGTGGCGGTTGCAATGCAGCTGGTCGCCGTCCACAAGCAACAGAGGGCGAGGCGAGTGCAAGAGTTTACTGCAAGCACTGTAAATATACATATTTGGGCGGCAACAATGACTACCGGCTCGCATACCCCGAGAAAATCAGAGCTAATTTGCGTGGAAAAAATCTTGACAGGATTCGCAGGCCTCATAGTGAGGCCATAGCAGCAGCCATGACAGACGTCTTACAGCTGCTACCAGACCTCGACTTCTCTACCTTCAAGGCCAACCGTCGCCGATATCAGTGACAAAGTGCACGATCTAGCAGTTCGAGATGAGTATTGGAGCTGTCTCATCATTGACACAGGCGCGACAGACCACCTGTGCAACGACTATACCAAATTCATCAGGTTTGATCCAGGTCAGACACCGTCGCACAGCAGACTTGGCTGCAGACGGCCCCTTGATTGTGGATACCGTCAAAGGCTCCTTCGAGAACTTGGTCTCACCAAGTCGTCAATCAGCCTAATAAAGTCGGCGATCAGACTCACCATTCTGCAGCCGTCGCGCGCAGGGTAAGCCTGGGTCAAAACACAGGCTATGGAATACGGCAGGATAGATAGCCTTTGTCACGGTTCAGGGTGCTCCTGCCTGTCGAACCTCACCTGCCATGAGAGTGACACGTACTGTCCGTAGCTTCACCCAATACAACATCAGTTCAATTCTTCAATAGTTCCGCACATGCGTACTGATCACTCACGATACAACGCAACAGCTTTAGGCAACGGCAGACGTCATAGTACTCATACATCTCACTTCAGACATCCTTAGACTGTGGGTAATCGCCGTAAGACGCCAATTTATTCACTTTGGGGGGGGGGGGGGGTGTTCGCGCAATTTGCGCTCTGATCATTCAGCTCGTATTGCCGTCAACGCTTACAGTCCATTTATATAAATATCAGTCCGCTCGTGGCATTAGAAGAGGCAATTAAGCCCAGACGCTCTATCTCATACGTCCCTATCGTTGACAGCCCCCATTCTATATCCAAGAAGACTCAACATGTCGCAAGAATGTTCGATGTCAAACCTTGCAAACTGGACGTGGTCATCCTTGTCCAGTGTTTTGAGCTGCACTTTGTGCACGGTCGAGCCACTGCCACTCAGAGATGCCACTTGAACGAGCCTCGTCATGCGATTGTGATACATCTGTCACGGTGAAGTCATCTCTGGCTTTTACAGCCAACTCGAAAGGCCCACTGATTGCCATCTACCCTAATATTGCGTTTCAGGGACACGTTGCGGGCGTAAGAGTCGGCAGAATCAGGACTATTGGTGTCTACCATGTTGGCTGTAGTAGTACTATTGATTTCGGCCGGGCCTGTTGATGCGCCTACATTTACGACTCATTTACGATTTGCATCAGTGTACGACTCGACTTCTTGCGAACTTTTTGCAAGAGTGAGGCGTGGTGCAGTTGCAGCGACTTCCTGATTCTGGTCATGTATAAGGAAAGCCTTCCCTGCGTCTCGCGCCTTAACTTTGGAATCCCATTGCCTGTGCGTCAAGGCCTTCGTACATGAGTTCATCTGCCCTGGCAAGTCGAGCTTGGAGAACAGCATAATTACTCGCTCACGTGGGAACATCGTCAAAGCCGACAGAAGCTTGGTGTTGCATGGCAAGATCCGCGTTGTCAAACATCGGTTTGGCAACACACACCACGCTGAATCTCGTCACGGGAACTCAGTACAGGTCATTTTGGCATATTTTAAAGCACGAAAGGAAGCCAAGATGCTAAGAAATACCATTACAGCTAATCCACCCATACTCTGGGATAAGGATGTATGTTGCAGTAAATGCAATAAATGAAGGTGTAACCACGCAAGGCAGTCAGTCAGGGGGTAACCGCGCAAAGCAGTAAAATCTGTATATATTGTTCAGTGTTCGGTGTCTCTCTCACCGGGTCATCAGGGTCTGACAGAGGTAGAAAGTGCTTTTTGGAAAGTGCAAGAGCACTGCACCAACACACATGACCTCTATACTCAATAAACCGTCACGATATACCTTCGCACAGTGTTACGGCCCTTGGCCCATCCACATTTGCAACATCTCTTGCTGAACTTGCTTTCCTTCTTCTTGTAACACTACATGGAGCACGGCGATACCATTGATAGTATTGAGCTGCTGTTTGATGCGATCCTTTATGATACTCCATATCCCTTCCGTGGGTTGAGGTCTGGTAACAAAGCTGCTTCTTAACTTACCCATCGTGTGAACGAACAGGATTATCATCCATCTGAAGCCAACCGTAAGCTGTTAACCTGGAGACATCAATCTTGTTAACGAGATGCAGTGCGGATAGAGACGTAGTCATCCTTACGATTGTATGCGTAGCAGAACCGCGCATGAGTGTTACTATTGAAGTGTGACTCAATAGAATCACAAAGAGCTACGACAAGATTACGGAGACGTACTTGGGATGATAGTTTGGCCGAGAAACAAGTGCAAGCGATGGCAGACATGTGCATGTTGCTCACTTTCACCTGAACAAACTGACTAGCCGAGCAGGTCCCGTGGCTGGGCACAGCCAGGCTGGTCTGCACATGCGACCTGCATCTGCAATCGGCGATCTGAATATTTCAAGCACATGCGGTCTCTGCTTACAGACATATATGTCACCGCTGGTGGGTTTCTTGGGTTTTCACACAGTGGACGCCTTGGCGGATCCGGTCCAGCACATACGCGCCAAAAATGACGGTAAAAGTGTGTTAAACCCATGCGTGGCAACGTCCCCACTGGATCATTCACCTCTACAACGGCATGTTCGCTGCAACTTTTACTTAGACGCCCTTCTGCTGCGCAGTGTCCGTTGCTGCCATGCATAGCTGCCTGTACTCGTTAATTCAGCGTTCAGCTTATCCTCTCTTCCGTCTGCTTGAGAAGAGGTTCTGCCAGAAAATTTAATTACCTCCGTAACACCTGCTTACTGGCTGAGTTTTACGTGATATTGACCTGCGTTGCAATCGTTAAACCGGTTCACTCTAGATTTCATATCCTTGACTCTTCATGCTATTATTACAAATAATCGACCGGGCCAGATGTCTCGGTCAGCAAGGCAATCTATATCGACCAGGCCCTATATCTTACACTGCCGTTTATTCTCGGTAGTTGGCCTGATGTTTCACCATGCTATTAGATCCCAGAGATCATCCCATGTATTTCCTCGCGCAGTTCTCCTTCACTGCTTAGGCAGTCCAAGTTTGTAGTTTTCTTCATATCACAATCGTTTACATTCCCTTTTTCCATCATAGTTACTGCAAGCCTCTCCATGATTCGACAGCTTCAGAAGCGGCCTGTTGGGTCGGGTGCCATCCCTCTTTTTTTATTCCACGATGCAAGCGGCACTATCTCCAGCTACTACACTCTTGGACCCATGGGACGTGATGTATACGCCATTGCGGACAAGCGCATGGAAAGCGATGTCTACGAAAGCCTCCAAGAGAAGAGTCGCCGATACTACGCTGCTATCAAAGCACTCGTTCCAGAGGGCCGGATCCTAGTTGGTGGTAAGAGACATATCGACGCCTATGACTATAAAATGGCTGACCAAAAATTTAGGCTGGTCGCTGGGCGGCATGATCGCACTTCAAGTGGCGTGGATCTTTTCGCGAGACCCTAGAGTGAATGTGGATGGCGTCATTATGGTAGACAGTCCTTACCCCGACTACCGTCATGTCGTCTATCTGGCTCCCGAATCTCCCATCTGTGAAGACGGTCCAGCACCCGCGGTGAACAAATTGAAGAATTCCATTGTGCAATCGGTAAATATGTTGCACAAGTGGCAGCCTCCTGTGTGGCGACGACAGCGGCAGCCGTACACCGTCATGCTGTGCGCTACAGAACGTGTCATCAGTGAAGAGCACCCAGCTTTGTCCTTCATCGACCAGTTCAGAGACAGTCCAACTCTTGGGTGGGAGGAGCGGGCTGGCTCTGTGGTTATTGATAAGCGCTATTCGATTCAAGGTCACCACTTCAACATCTTTGACCCAAGAAACGTACGTCTTGAACAGTCCTCCTAATACAAAATGGCTGCTGACTTAAATTTTCGCCATGCAGGTCGCTTCCGTCACGGATACAATAGCAACGATCGGCTCAGACATCGACATGTTAGCCTATGACGACGAAGAATGAAGGTGGCCAGTTTTTCATTGTGTACCCTTCCCTTTAAGCACACTTAACCTTGCAGCGTAAAGCATTCCAGTAAACACAACCTTCCCTTGTTACTCATTTCAAGCTGTAATACTTACGGTTCAAAACACCAGCTAACCAATCTGTCGAAGGTAGTCCGCAAGGCTTTCGTAGTCGGAGAGAGGCTTTTATCTAATTTTCCATGATTTCAATGATTACACATATTATTGGTTTTCGTATTGTGTACGCGTAACGTGTAATTCCAACGGCTATTACATCAGCCGGTATCTCATGTGTATGTGTAACATGTCAGCCTCGTCCCCTCTCTCCCGAAAAATAGGAAGGAAAAAGTGTGAGAGTGAAGGCTCTATTGATTTCGTCAAGACGAATTGCCGATCTTTGTTCCATGGAGTCGTTACCATGCACACGATCAGACTAGGGGCTTGAGATGAGTAAGCACATGTGTGCATCAGTAGTAACTGTGCATACCTATCCGAAAGCAAGCAACTATCGCTTTCCTCTCGTTTTTTAAAAAGCCTCCGAGAGGACTTTTGAGGCAACAAATACAGTGGTTGAGAACGACTTAGATGTAGCCCCATTGAAGCTATACATCTTCTTGGATGCAGCACAGTCAGACTTCGTTAAATTTTATATTTGCTTTCTCAATCGAGACGTGAACAGAGGGCGCAGATTTAATAATTCCCTCCTTCTTCTTCGGTTCTTGGTCATCAGCCAACTATTTATTTAAGTTAGTCAGTATTTCTAGTCGTACTGCAAGAGTGACAACACTCAGGGCGTATACTACATTGACAAGCCAGGACTTCCCTTCATGCGCAACAACGCTGTCCTCCTCTCTCGCATGCGTGGAAAGTGTGTTGCCTGGCGAAACACATTCTTCGCTTACCCGTTCAAAAAAACAAACACGTGTAAAAGCATGTAGGTTATCACGGCGCAAAGCACTTCTGGGCCGTTGTTTTCTTCTATTCCCCAATGCTGTTGTATTTACTGCTATCAAGGCACTCACGTACGGTATACCCGGACCCCTAACAATCGCAACGAACCCTTGCGTTGGCCAGAAGTCTATGTCCAATAGCTTCACAACAACAAAATGCAACGTCTTGCAAGCTCGAAGCACAGTGTGAAAAGATGAAGATGTTGTTCTCATAAGCATTCGAACAACTCAAGGCAGAGGCTGTATGCGCAGCCATCGCCAGCAAGCACGAGTAATGCATGCGCTGCCATGTAAGTGAGTGATAGTTCGTCATTTTGCCAACGACGCCCGGAGTCACAGCGCAAGGTCCTAATATCTAGGCGGCAGCGTCGATGAATTGTCCCTAAACATCCAACAATTTCTCAAAGTTTCGCGAAGCATTTTGTAATACAAACTACAATGCTCGTAGCTGCCCTGATTGAGAGAACTTTAGCTGTGCGGCAGATACACTCGTACTGATACTGAAATCATCTCTTCGTCAGCGAGCTCGCTCGTATTAAAATGATGTGACGCCGAAGTGATGTCTCCAAGGTTCATTCTCACCCACCCTGCTCTTGATGATGTGAAGTTGCCTGAGCTCATCCTGAGAACAGCATGCGGCAAGTCTAATAAATAATGTACTAGACGGCGTAGTGGAGTGAAAAATGGATGCGGAAGTATCCACCGGATAATTCGTTTGACACTGTACAGACTGCGTATAAGTAGGGCTCCCAGGAGCGAGGTGAATAGTATGCATTTTTGCCTTGATAAGAAGTCGCGAGTATCACAGAACAATATAGATCACCGTGGCGCACCTTCTACCCCAGAGATTTCGGGCTGGATGAGCACCGTTCGGAGAGAAAGCCAACGATCTTGCTTACGTTGACGCGTAAACGGCATGGGTGGGGAGTCGGCTGGTGGCGGTAAAACAGGGCTTACACGAATAACGTTGTTTATTGCGGACCGTGCTTACAAGCAATCTTAACTGTAAATGAATCAGTCAATAACCTGCATGCCTCATTGGCCAGACAACCCTGAGTAACCACGGGCTCCCCATCAAGAAATACTCTGCGCCACGCAACAACGCCCAAACAATTGCCCTACGGATCTCAACCGTCTCCTCCACATCGTCGTCTCTGACATTTCCTCAACCATGGCGATTGATCCGTTTGCCAATTGCAATTTTGGCATTCCCCCCACCGTGCGATGTACCCTCGACACCTGCTGTCTCGCGCAATCGTCGTTCCTCTACCGCCCCAATTGGGGGGGAAACCTTTTCTTCACCATCTACTTTGCCATTCTTTGTGTTCCGCAACTATGGCTCGGCATCCGGTACCGCCAAAAGGGCTTTGCGACTGGCATGCTCATGGGACTCATACTTGAGGTCGTCGGTTATGCTGGGCGGGTGATGCTGCACATGAATCCGTTCAACGGCAATGCCTTCCTGATGTACGTTTACTAGCTCCTGATTGACTCTGACTCTCCACCAAGAACCGCCTCTGATAAATCACAGCTATCTCATCTGCCTGACAATTGGCCCCGTATTCATCACGGCCGGCATCTATCTCTCCATCGCGCGCATCATCAGTTTGTACGGCCAGGATCTCTCCTATTTCAAGCCGCGCACGATCGCAATGGCTTTCATGACGTCCGACTTCATCTCGCTTATCCTCCAAGCCGCAGGAGGCGGCATTGCCAACTCGTTCACAGGCGCGGGCAGGCAAACCGGCACCAACATCATGATTGCGGGTCTGCTGCTGCAGGTCATTTCACTGGCTGTTTTCCTGCTCTATCTCAGCTACTTTGCACTGCAATGCAGGCGCGGGTCACTCGACATGGACCCAGCCAAGGTGTCCTGCCGAGAGCGCGGGCTCTTCAAGGTGTTCCTCGTCAGCCTGCTGCTCGCGACGGTAGCCATCTTGGTGCGGTCTACATACCGTGTTGCGGAGCTGTGGCAAGGATTCAGCGGAGAGTTGTGGAACAATGAGAAAGATTTTATGATTCTCGATGGCGGCATGATGAGCCTTGCCGTGCTGCTGTTGACCGTTTTCCACCCAGGCCCGGCGTTCAAGGAACAGTGGCACGCGGCAAACTGGTCCTTCAAATCCACACCACCACAGAAGGCCTCGCACAGCCGGAGAAGGTCGTCTCACAGCCGACGCAGGTCCTCGCACAACCGACGCAATAATTCGCGCAGGTCACATATTTAAACTGCCTTGCATCAGTGACAAAGGTGAAGCGAGGTCTTCTCGATTGCAGACATCACGTCACACAGCAGCATGGATGGTGATTTCGTATGAGTGGGCAATGTGATGAGGTACTTTAATTCTCCTGTTTGAGCGTTCCACCATTGTCTTGATCGGAAGCAAAAATGTTGCGGTGTATATAACCTTCAGGACCCCAGGGTCAGGAAGGTCGGCCTTTTTGTATCGCTGCGGGACTGCGATCGAAAAGACTAGCCTGGTCTGCGCCCGAGATCTGGTGCCCGGAGTACATGGGGAGTTTTCATCGGTCTAAATCCACCGACAGCTAGAGTAGCTAAGAAAGAAAAGTTGACGTGCCACTGTGACGAAACAGCTTAAGGAAAGATTATTTGACTACAGAAACACTGCAAACAACTCCATTTCCTCGTGTAGACACTCCATAAACGAAGTATATATATCAATGCATGTTACTTTGAGAACCTTCCAACGCGTCCTCGCGTCATAGTAACCCATCCAGGTAGCAGCCCCTCTTCGCCTAGTTCGCGGGAGGAGTCGCTCTGTTTGGTGTGGTCGCGATGGTCAACCGTGTGCTGGTCACGTCGGCGGGCGGCGTTGAGTTACAGCAGTATCTTGCGGCCCAGCTTCCTGGTTGAAGGCCGTCGCCGTGTCCAACTACCAGCAAACCTGGCAGACACACGAGCGTGGTCTGGCCATGCGAGCATACCTCGTCATCGTTGCCCAGACGAGCTAGTTTCTTACAGGTCTAACAGCGCGGGGGAGGCCCAAGGCGACCAGGCAGGCAGGAGGGAGAGAAGGCGAGTCGTGCAGGTGCGTTGTTGTGCCTTAGCTATAAAACTAGAACGCAGAGGCACGCATTCAGCGCGGACGTAGAAGCACATCATGGAGATTATCATTTATCTACCTACAGGGGGCGGCACAGCCCGGATCAGCTCCGCTGGCGCCAACTGCAGGTCCTGCCGTCACCTGTGCACAGCAGGGGTCAGTACCATAGCAGGCGACGGGCCTGACGCCACCAGCCGTTGAACGTCGACCTCTAGAGCGCCACTCCCTGGAGGATTCACGGGCCGTGGTTAGCTGGTTATGGGTATAACCTAAGCTTTGCTATAGTCTCACGCCCAGCTTTCAAACAGCATTCCATTACAAGGGACTTGTTGTCATTCTGGCTCTAGACGGGGGCCTCCACACATGGTGGATGGACGACATGCCGGTGGTGAGAACCTTGTTGAACCCCCAACCCTGAGTGCGGGTGCTTTGTAAGAATGATGGTGCGTCGAGCTCGGCGACTTGGCACCATCCTCGCAGCTCGTAGAAGAAGGTGATCGATGCAGAGGATGACGATATGCACTCTATTCTCGGCCGGCATCACGGCACAGTTCAGCACCTTTCCGGATCTGAACTTCTGGCACCTCGTCAGCTTTGACTGCGGCTGCCTGTTGGTGGCACGATCTCGCTGCATAGCCGATGCGGTGTGAGCAGGGACCTAATTTAGCTAGTAAACAAGTCCGCTCGGTTAAATCCGTGTGAAATCGAGACATCCCTTCAATTTCCATACGCCCTTGCAAAAATGACTTTTTTTCTTGCTGGCATGATTATCCCCCAAGCGAAGCGCTTTTCATAAAGTCGCGCATCCTACTAGCCCATTTCCCACTCCAACTATCGCCACGCACGTACCAGCACCACCACCAATTCGCAGACCCACACCCAACCGTAGCTGCAGCCGGAGGAGAACGCACTTTCCAGGTAGGCTCTAGTTCTGCGATTCCTGCTCTGGCCGCACGCGCAAAAAGAGAATGTGAAGCGCCTGCACGTGCGATGCTTGGACTCGTGATTTGCGCAGCTGTTACCGCCGAATTGACCACCGGTATGGCGTGGTGTGCTGCCAAGTTGGCATGATGGTCGGTTCGCTATGGCCTTCGTTTGTAATTTCGACCTTGCGGGTGCAGTCCCAGTCATAGTGTCGATTTGCGGCGCGATCAGAAGAGCATTTTAGATGCTGAACTGTGCTGGAAGAATCGAGGTTGATGTGCATGGAGACATGTGCATTGCATTCTTCTCGCATCATCTTGGGTGTAGACTTCTCAATAGTCTGGTCGACAGGTGTTCAGTCGCCTGGTCTCCAGTCTGTCGAGATTGCTCTCGAGTGACGATGTGTGGAGATTCTCTTCCATGCAAATGCAGCCTCAAATACCCAAGTCAGTGACACCGTCGAGGAACTTGCTGATCAACTTCGGCACGTCAGTATGCCGGTCTTTTGAAGCTATAGCGTTATATCTTGTAGACAGCGATGTGAGCAAGGTCCACGTATTCGGAAGCTATACTCTTCATTAGTATGGCTGGAATTCTTGTACGATGGATGGTATGACTGCTTCCACTGACCTCGGCCTCGGTATCTATTTCTTCTCTTGCCTTTTGCTTACAGGCTTGGCACGGTTTCTCAGTGCTGCAAGTAGAACTGTAATGATCGTGGCGCCTTGCAAGCAGCTGTTCTTCCAGCTCCGCAATGACAATGTCTTCCGCGCTCTTGATGATTTGCTCTTGGAAACTCCGCCTCTGCCATTGACCCCACCCTTGCGCTGCAAGATGCAGTTCCTTCAGCAGTACAGGCAGCCGTCGGATACGGTTCAATCTCTGCGCCTGCCGAAGCCGTTCGTCGTCCTTGCAAAACTCCGCATAGTACGCTACAACGGCGTCGTCCAGACTGCTAAACCCAGCTGCGGAAACGGCTTTCAAAACATGCGATAGACGTTCTCCTGTCAATGCGGAGCTGTCGAGCTGAGACACTGCCGTGTTGCCGGTATTATGCGCATCGGAGACTCGCCTGTCCGGCACCATCTCACTTCTTTCAGGTATCATTTCAGCCACCGTTGCATCTGGCTCAGTCATGGACATGTCTTCATCGAGCAAAAAAGGCAGTCCCGCAGCCGAGTTCCACGACAGATTCGGAGGCGGTGCTTCTCCCCATGGGTCTGTCATGGCGGGGGTCGGGAAGAATGAGTCTTGTGACATTGCTGATAAGCCAGACGAAAAATACACAGTCAGGAACCTCACCTAAGAAGCCGTCATCCTTCATGCAAAGGTCCTTTGCTGTGGTCCGGTATGCAAGGTTCGGACTCTCGGGCACGGATTGGCCCGTGGGCGCCATGTTGCGCAAGTGTTCCTCTAACGGTTTCGCAATCGTCGAAGGTGGGAGAGAAGACCGATCAAGCGCAAGAAACATCGACTCGGATCGCGAGTGCTCAGGTATGCTGGGCTCTGAATGTGGAGTCGTAATGTGGTTGTTATGACGGCCCGGGTCGATGATCTCATTCAGTGGCGCTTGGAGCGTGAGTTCTCTGCGCGACGTATAGACTGTCTGCGGTGAGAGCAGATATTCTGGAACTGCGTATTGTGGCTGCAAGTTGAATCTCATTAGCTTCTCCTGAAGAGCTTTACAGACTTGTACACCTACGGGTCCGGCGTGCCCTATCCCCGACTTCATCGGATCAGAGCTGGCACCTGTTCTTTTTCTCTTGCCTGTCGCTTTACTATGACGTCCTGGGTCATCGGTTTTGTCCAGCGGCTCTTGTAACGTGTGGTCCCCGTGTGAGGAAGGTCCCGGCTGCGATGACAGCAAAGATTCTGGTACCGCGTATTTTGGCTACACATTGAGTTTGATCAGCCCGCTCTGATTACAGGACATATCTCAAGACTTACCAGCTCCATACGTTGTGACATAATTGGCGAACTCGATCCGATCTTCTATAGTAACAACGACTAAGCTTCGAGGCAGTGTATAAGATCGGCTCCTTAGCTTATTCGTTGGTGCTGGCGAATAATCTGCTGAACATTTCCTTTTGTTGAATTGGGGGTTTTGTTCAGAACTTGCATCGCTATCACAATGTGTGCAACATACCCCTGGGGTAACGTCTAGGGAAGCTTGAGTGGAAACTAGTCAGGTGAGATGTCACGAAAGCTAGAATGCTTTAGAGCAATCGTCCACCATCTGTCGACTTAATTTTCCTGGCAGGATTCCCGAGATTCTCCCGTCTCGTTGCGCGTGGCCCCAATGTGCCTGACAATATTCCCGGTCGTTATATGTCCTGCACTCCCATTATGAGTAAGCCCGGAGGTGCGCATCAGCACTATCGAAATAGCAGTGGATAGGGTTAGTGTGGATCCTGTCCAAGCTGATGTCGTCGCTAGACATCCGTCAGCCCTAAACTAACGTTCATCAGACCTGCGTTCGTCTTAGACCTGCGTCAGTATTGGACCTGCGTCAGCTTCAGCCCTCCACAGCCAAAAGCAGCTCGGGTATTTTCATCCTGGCTTGACAACGGAAGTTTGCAGCCGTTTGACCGATGACTGCGTGGAATGAGCGGGAGAGGCTTGGTTGCCACACCCTCTGGTGGCTGCACCGCGGACTCATCGTTCAAATGTAGCAAATAGTACGACAATGCAGCAGCGCTGGTACGCTAAGCATAGTGCATAATGGGTACGTAGCCAAACGGGTTGCCTCCGCCGGTGTAGTGATAATCACCTCAGCAGCTGCTTTCAATATTGACATCCCGCCCTTACATACAATATGAACGAGCTGCAAACCAAACCATATAACCTTGGAGCAATGTCCCAATCTGACGAATCCCGTAGGCTCGGTGATTAAGATGCTGCACGCCTTATGTAACACAGGTGGAGTTTCAGGCCCAAAAGCTGCGCATCGAGTTTAGCCTGTTGAAGCCCATTGGGGGTCCGGACAGGTCGTAGGATCTTAGCAGCTACATCTACCACGGCGAGGCGTGATGGTGGTAGAAAATGTGTGGTGAGGAAAATAAGCTTCGGGTCAGATTAGCCCACTTACGCGTCAGATTAGCCCGCTTACGCGTCAGATTAGCCGCTCACGGGTGCTTTTCACAATACCGTGTGCGCACGTAAGCGGGAGGAAAACCAGATTAAAGAGACACACATGTAGCCCTCATATGGGTTCAGCGCGATTATGATGCTAGGTTTAGTTTGTTAGCAATTAGTAGTACAGACAGTATCCCACCACATTTTGAAGCTCTGAACAAGCCCTGAAGAAGCTCGGATAGCTCAAATTGCAGTCTTGCAATGATTTCATGGTGTTGTAGTCTCGATGGCTCGCAGTTCGAAGCGGAAAAACGTACCTACGGCGGGCAACAGGAGATCTGAGAAACGTCATCGGAAGACAGGGCGGCTCATTACGACAGCTAGAACACCAAAAATCGATTGCGATAGCAAACAACAAGTAACTGAATAGCTTTAAATAACGCTGTATTGGGTGGTTACTCTCAGTTCTCAAAAGGTGGACTGCCTACGTAAGGAGGCTAAGACCTTAAGATTGTTTGCCCTCATCAAACATGGACAGGCCGCGAGCATGCTCACCCTCCCTAGCACATATCAACAGCCCACTTAAACTCGTGAAAATGGCAGGAGTTGAATCCTTGTATTATGTTCACCTGCTAGCAAGCTTACAGGCATTGAACTTATCTGTGTGCAGTGCTTTTACGTGTACAGGCTTTCCTCTGGTCTATCACGTGTGCACAAGGTATTGTGAAAACTGTTATAGCTGCGTGCTGTGTTGCGTGGATGATAGGAAAAGCCACATTCATCAGTGGAAAAACAGCGGGTCAGCGGTGGACCTCCTTCGTTGGACGCATTGTGGGGGTACGAGATCGTAATTGGCGCCATGCGCCAGGGTGCTGTCTTGGCTAGGGAACGGACCGGGGGGTGCGATACGATACTAGCGCATACCTAGAACACTCGTCTCTCTTTCATAACCTGAACGAGGGCCCACTCCTAGTGCTGTCATCATAACCGTAATCATGTACCGCAGATTAGCATCAGAACATTGTCGATGGGGTCCAATATCTTTGCCTCATCTGGGCTAAACGAATACTCTATTGAGCGATGGAGATATGGGCCAACATGTACCGATTTCCTTAAGCCACCAGAGGTCCGCGATGGATACGACCCTTCTTCGCTTTCATATCACCATATTGTATGGTTCATTCAGGCTCCATGCACTAGTTCCGGCCCTATCTCCCAATGCCTCACACGTACTGGAGCTCTCCGTCATATCAGAAATAAATACGGCCACATCTCGATCCAGCCTTGGGGGAGGTGACGGGGGTATATAATGAGGTTTTCGCACAAAGTAGTCATTTCAGAGAGATTCCATCACGGTCGATCTTTTCCACTCTTTTTCCCACTCCATCCCACGTCCACCATGGGCAAGTCAGCATCTCTCGCATTTGTGACTCTGCTTTTGGGAGCCCAGTCAGTTCTTGGTGATCCCAGCGAGGCTACGAACAAAGCCTGCACAGATCTCAAAAATGCTCTTCCTGGTAAAGTTCTGACTCCTGGCTTCCTCCAGCTAGAATACGAGTATGAGACGCAACAATACTGGGCTACCAACCTCCGTGAAGTCGATCCCGCATGCATTGTTCAGCCAAACTCTGCTCAGGATGTGTCCGACGCTGTCAAGATCCTGAATAAGTACCCGACTGTACAATTCGCTACGCGCAGTGGAGGCCATGACCCGAACAAAGGTCACTCTACTGTCCAAGACGGTGTAGTCATTGCAATGACTGACCTGGTCGGAGCGAGATACGATGCGGAAGAGGATGTTGCCTATGTTAAACCGGGAGGAGAATGGAACGATGTCATCAGCGAGCTCGAGAAGAGCGGTGTTGCCATTGCTGGAGGAAGACTCGGTACGACTTTGTACCAGTGTATCATTGTCTAGACTGACTTAACTTAGGCCTTGTTGGCGTCGGTGGACTGCTCTTGGGAGGAGGTCTCTCTTTCCTCAATGCTCAAGAAGGGCTTGCTTCTGATGTTAGTTCCTGCACGACACCATTGAGAATCAGACTGACTAGTGCTAGAACATCATCGGATGGGAAACCGTCATGGCGAACGGCTCCATTGTCAACGTCGACGCCAAGAAACACCCCGACCTCGCGCAAGCCATGCGTGGATCTGGAGGCCAATTTGGCATCGTTACCCAATTCAAAGCCAAAGTTCACCACCTTGGTAATGTCTGGGGCGGCTCTTGTGTCTACGATGAAAGCAAAGCTGATCAGCTGTATGCTGTTTTGCACGACTTTACTGCCCAAGGTGCCCAGGATCCAAAGGCTGCCATCATCTTTTCTGATCTAGTTTTTGCCGCTGGCGTCAAGCTGAAGCTGGTCTTTTACTTTTACGATAACCCTACTCCACCGACGTCAGGCCCTTTTGCCGACTTCATCAAAGTCTCTTCGGCCTGCAAGCCCACGACACAAAAGTACTCCGAGCTAGTAAGTGCAGAGCCGAGATATGCGATGCTGTTTATGAGCTGACTGCGTCTAGTTGAAAAAGAACGGTGACCCTGTTGGACTGTTAAACGCTCGTTCATTCTTCCGCGTAAGACTTCTTATACCCATGCTCGGTCTATCCACTAACACTCACGAGACCTATACTATCCCGCACATTCCAGCTCGCCCCCAGATGTACAAGGAGATCCGTGACAAGCTCGCCGAACTAACCACCCAATTCCTTAGCATACCGCCGCTCATCCGCGCCATCCAGTTCAGTGTCGACTTCCAGCCTTTTCCCGCCCTCTTTGGCAAGATCTCCGCAACCAAAGGGGGAAACGCCATGGGTCTCACCGCTTCGGATCCCGATCGCATTATTCTCATCTTCCAAGGAGCGTGGAACTTATCGGACGATGACGACCTGGCGCACGGAATCGCTAGGCAGCTTACGTCGTGGCTGGACGAGGTGGTACCCAAGTGGATTGCCGAGGCCGGGATGCCGGAAAATATGTATATGCCATTGTTCCTTAACGATGCCATGTGGGATCAGCCCGTCATGCAGAGCTACAAGGACTATAACAAGTTCAAGACCCTGCAGAAGCAGGTTGATCCTGATGGATTGTGGAGCACTCGGGCTGGTGGCTTTAAGTACTAGGCATCGGGTAGGCCACGTGTTGGGTGAGCGCATTTTTGTTACGTTTCTGCATGTAGATATTGACTGCTTTGTTGTTTGGATTCTCTGGACTAGTTCCTGCTTCACACTTGGCCGTTCGGTCTCCAAGCATACGCTCCCAAATCTTGAACTTGCGTGGCGAGACATGCAATGGCTATATCGCTTTTGGATGCGGCTTGCAACATATCACAATGCCATGTCACTTCTGCAGCTGTCTTTAGTGGCGGTCTGCTGCCCCTTTTTGCTTCAGTTCAGTAAAAGACATACAAGTGTCAAATCAGGCTTACAGACGCATTGAAGCGCCAAAAAACATGCCACGCGCGAAATATGGGCTCGGGTACTCCAGACGGACATGCATTCAAGGAGGTCTCGAGAACAAACACATTGAGAGCTCTAAAAACATTACGCTACGATATGCACTCTTTGTCGCCATGGGCAATGTTTCCGATCCGTTATATGGTCATATTTATACAAGCTCCTGCTTCTGCGACACATATATGGACAAAGATCGATGGAGGTTCAGTCAACTGTTTGAAAGCTTGAACTTTCAAACACGGACCAGGTCTTGTGAGGCTGATGTAGATTCATTTAAGCCTCTGATGCGCGGCTCGGCCCGTTCGGTCTACGGAGACGCTCCAGTATGGCAGCCGCACCACTAAGGAGCCACTAATGACTAAGCGAAGCTAGTAGCTCGGGGACTCTAGGGTCCACATAATTGAGGGGACCTGCGAACCTGACGAACTCGGCCTTGTGCGGTGTATTATCTGAGTTGACACGCAAGTTTGCCAGGATTGCACGTTGAGTCAGACAAGTGAGCCTCCTTACTTCAGTTCCCTCGTCCCTTCGTTATTGACAAAGCGAAACCCAAAATCCACCAATCAGTCAGGCGGGGCCTCGAACACCGCGTTGTCTTGAACGGCCCCACCCTCGAATGATTCTTGCTTTTAATTGCGGATATAGCGCACCCCATCGTTTTAATTTCAGCTTTTGAAGCGCCCCAGAAGGATGTGGTATCCACACCTGGACGAGTCATGACTGCACTAGCACGAGCCCAATTGAGGCTAGGCTGCGCTTGCGACTAAACTCACGAACCTGGAGATAGAATTACACACCCCTGGCATTAGGCGGCAACCCACGGTCTACCCCAGACAAAGGTGTTACGTCTGAGGTAAGCAAGCTCGGCCCGCTCGGCAGAATTGAAATTACTCATCCCTCAATTCCTCTTTGAGTTTTCAACTCCCACTAGCCGTGTATCTGCCCTGTAATCGTCGCGATAATCATTACCCACATCGCTCCGGTGTTGACAAGGAGGCACTGTGTCTCATGAGAGTGTCATGCCCCGGCCGACAGACACGTACACACACAGTCAGGTACTATGCGCAAGCTCATTGCATCATGATGTACAAACGTTAAGGGATCCCGCAGTTTGAGCAAATCGACAGTGTCAATTTAGGAGGGACCGTTCAGTGCATTCATTGCAGGCGCTGGCAAGGAAGCGCCAGAGTTCTAAATCGCAAGAAGGTCAGATCCCTCGATGCACAAGTTCGATCTAAAATCGGCCAAGCTTACCGCTGTCTTCAGGCGCATCTCCAGATCTGCCCGGAATACACAGCGTGGAGGGCCGCAGGGAACGGTCAAGAATTGGCCCCGCCGAATTCATACAACGCGACTGGCAGACGAGCAATCGGCGACTCTTACGATGTGGACAATTCGTCTCCTCCTCCAAGAACAAGTTCTACACCAACAATGCAGCGACCACGATGGACGGTAAATGTGAGCAAGTATTTTGACGAATTCTTCGACGATAGTCTTGGTCATAAGGTAGGCTATACCTAGAACGTAGAGACCCGAAAAGTTCTCTGATGACTTTAGTAGTGCGCACGAGTGCGATGCCACAGCTGTGGCTTCGTACGAGCGAAGAATGCTACCCGACAGGCAGAGCATCTGATTCAATGCAAGGAATTTCTGTCAACCGCTGAAGGTGCAGAGCTGTTGACAAGTGGGACCCTCGCTCCCAACGAACAGCAAAATGAGAAACCACCCGCCTGGAACGGTGCAAAACCAAACCCTGATCTGCTGATCAATCGCCATGGTCCAAATCGTTCTTCTAATGGAATGACACCCAGTGATCCTGGTCCGAGACCGTTCCTACCTCAAACAGCACAGTCTGCAGAGGCGCCTTCATTAGCTCAATACCTCCTAGTTCATAACGAAGCGTTACTGACGAGCGCTACTCATCACACCTTCTTGTCACATGCGGGTTGTGGAATGCTTACTGAGAATGCTCTCAATGAGTGGCTAGCGCAGATTGGGTTTATCTCACGATCACTTGTATCGTTTACCGGAGCACTTATAGGTAAGATCCGAATACCGGAAACCGCCAATCTAGAACGCGATTCAACGTTCCGGTGTCTGGACTTACTGTGCTCTGCGGTGAGTAATATGAAGAAGGAGCTGGATTTTCTTGATGCTACTAAGCGCAAGTATGGATTGGGGGTGAATTTTGACGAACCGAAACCACCTACCAAAGGATTCGTCGATCTTTTCAATAGCGCTTCAAGTCCTTCTGCAACACTGCTTGAGGGCATGGTAGTTCTGTGGGCCATTGAAATTGTAAGTCGTACTATAATGTTGCTGGTTGCTGTCAACTGACTAGCTTCCAGCTATTTTACAATTCCTGCTCCTATGCAGCCACATTCATCACCCGAACCACGCCAACACCACAGCAAAACTCTTATTTCTTTCCTTCTTACTTTCTACCATCAGGCGCACCCGCAACCTCCTACGGCGGACAAGCAACACCAAGGGATGGCCACACCACTGCCCTCCGCGAAGCAGTCATCGAAAACTGGAAATCAGAAAACTTTGGCCGCTTCGTAGATGCATGTAGATCAATCGTCGACGAGCTCGCTATGGTTCAGACAACAGGCAACGGCCGAGCGGAAATGTCAGCTTGCGAACGTGTCTTCAAGCAAGCCATCTGGCTATGGGGTCAAATATTTCCCGAAGTCATAGGCATGGAGCAGTTGGATGACTTGAATAATGGGCAGAACCACAGAGACAATGGAGACAACGGCGCGATAAATAGGAATGGGTCGGCTGATAAACCCGTCGAGGTTGACGATGAAGATGAAGCCCATACTTCTACTGATTCATCGTAATCTTACCGATGATGCTGTCGGATCCGCATCTTCATTATTGCTAACTCAATTTGGGAGTTAAGTGGACTGGATTTGGATCCATCGCTGCGGCGAACCGATCAAGCTGATGCGCAGGGATACATTTGCACGAGGTAACAACAAGGCGTTTCGTCTGGGGTTTAGCGATTTTTGGCCCTTTGTTTAATGATCAGTACATACTAGATACTCAGCCTTGTATATTGTCTTCTGTGGTGCTTAGTCATGTCTTATGATGAAATTCTACGTGATCGGGATCGACCTTGGGTGAATGGGCACATATCGCCGCTCTTCGGCGCCCGCTCACAGTCCATACATTTGCACGACACTCGCACACCTTTACCTTTGTCCAGGCTTTGCATGAAATCGTATAGCCCCAGCTCTTAGCTGTATATATGATTGCATGAGAGTGACTCCCGCATCTTTAATGAAAAACGAAGGGCATGTCAAGTCAAATGTTCCAGGTCCAAAGTCGCGGGCAAAGCAAAACCGGTATAACAAGCCAAGTGTCGGCCAGTTCGGCTTTCACGCAGCATGATAGTGCGTGCTTACACGTAATTTTGACGAACAAGGTCACACGTGCCTGATCGTGACAGATATCATTCATCATGCATCGTCCCACTTGCAACGGTGAGAAGTTTAACCAATCATGGAAGGTTATACTATATGTGTATCATAATTCGTAATAAAGTTGTTCACGCTTTGCTCCTGATACTAGTCCCATGGTTGCCTGATAACAGGGCCACCAGCCGGCCCAGTGCCAAATTGTCTTTTAGAGAAGACGACGAGGCTTACAATCGTCTAGAACCCTCTTAATGGTTCTGATGTCCATAAGATTTTACGCCACTGCTTGACCCTGTACAGTATTTCAGGTCTTCGACGTCCTTACCTGGCGCTTGCTGTTTAGGAACAGTGAAATAGCCAGGAATGTGGTGACCATGAAAAGCAGCCACTCGACCGCACCAAACACTGTCGCCGCCTTGAGTGCACCACAGCCAACATATCCTGTTGCACATGCACGGGTCCCAATATTGACAGCCACGGCAATCCAACCAGCGAACCATGAAATGAGCGCCACCACCTCAACAGCGACACTGATGTATCCGACCAATGGGCGATGCGTAAGCGCATTTCCAGCGACGAGTTGGAAGATGACCACCAGAACTGTCCATGCAGCGCAGAATAGCAAAAAGCCCCATGCGTTCGGGACGCCGTTCCAGGCGGTGAACCCACCCCAATGGGTATCGACGTGGGAGCTGTAGCCACGATACACGTTGATAGCTAGACGATGGAGTTAGACTCAAGAGTGCGTCGAAAGCGTAGGTTACAATGGTTTTCGTACCGTAGCCGTCTGTTCCCATAACAACGATGGCACAGATAACCTGCAGCGCTCGCAGTGCAAGGTTGAGCATTCTGTTTTCCGCCATGGTCACGGCCATGATGTACAGCGACCTGTGTTGGAATTTGAGAGAGTACGACGAGCACGTTGAATGACGGCTGAAGAGGTGAGGAGTATGGCGTGGCGTAAAGAAGAGGGGTTTAAGCTCGAATAAGGTAAGGGAAATGGCTGACTAAGGGTCTGTTTGGTAAAACACCAATATCGACACGAAACTCTGGTGGCGACGGTTTGCCAAAGGTATACAACTGAACGTACAACTGGAGCAAATACATATTTTATAGACATCTAACGACTATGGTAGGGGCTAACTATGCCGTGTAACATGAGTTTTGGCAAGGGTTATATTCTCGCAACTCGCACCAGATCCGGAAATAGTTGCGAAGTACCGTGTCCGTGCACCCAATGCGTGGATTCAGGCTGTAGAGCCACCTACAATAGCTATTCTCACGAACTGATGTAGTGTTGTAGTAATTGATTGATTGCAAAGAAGATGTGCTACTTAATTTTGCTGGAAGCCTAATGCTGCGTGCGCGCGTTGTGAGTTTGTGTGGTGGGGATGGGGGCGGCGCTGAAGAAGGAGCACCACCAACATCACCAGTTTTCACACGTTCGAACGATTGTTTGCCTGGTGAGCTTGTGAAGCCTTTCTTTTGCCCTTTTGGGACAATTGTATGGCTTTTGAAGCGTTGCGCTCCTGCCGAAGGCGAGCTCTCTCTGCTTTCCGTGCATCAATTTGGACGCGCTCCTCAGCCTTCGCCTTCCTCCGCACCTGGGAGTAACAATACTGTCAAAGATCAGGGCCATGATGAGATAGGAAATAAGTATCCATTCTATTGAAGGTCTGTGGTACCTGAGTAGATGAGCAAAGTCGTTCGTGTAATCGTCACGATCAAACTCATCGTCATCTGTAGAGAGAGGGTGGGCGAGGAGGGGCATACTCTCTTGATCATAGTTTTGAATATGTTGCAAGCTCTGTCTGGCACTCATTTGCCGCACAGTTGAATGACCATATTCGTCAGCTTCACAAGCGGTCTCCATCAAGACGATGGTGATGATGCGACGTTCTTTGGGCCGACGTCTGAGGCAAAGTGAATGATAGCGTGGGTGTTGCATTAAATGCAATAAATGAAGCTGTAAACACGCAAGGTAATAAGTCAGGGGGGAACCGCGCAAAGAAGTAAAATTAGTATATGGTGTTGTTCTTGTTCTGTGATTGTGTCACGGTTTAGGGTGCTCCTGCCTGTCATACCTCACCTGCCATGAGAGTGACTGCCACGTCACCCTAGCGTTGTTTACAGCTACTTACCTATACGTACTATTCGTAGCTTCACCCAATGTAACCTCAGTGCAATCCTTTAATTCTTCCGCGCTGATCACTCACGATCCACCCTCACAAATTGTACCTCACTCGACTGTCATCAGGGTCTGTTTACATGACGTATGTCTTGTGCAATCAAGGGCAGAAGGTGCTTGTCGGAAAGGGCAAGAGCACTGCACCAATACACGTGGCACACATGATCTCACTCCATAAACCGTCACAGTGGGAATCCCTATGAACAACGCTTGGTGTACCTGTGGTGTAAGCACGCTCGATGTATCATACCCCAGGTACCTGAACCCTGTGCAAGCATCCTAAGGGCACGTAACGGGCCTGAAAGGGCCTGTAGGAATGTACCGTGAAGGTTGCAGCACCATCTGATAACGTAGCGTTGGGTGGGGTTGTCATGTATCATGCTGGGTTTAATAGAATTGGTGGAATTCACACCCACTATAGTAATTCCGCGTCCTAATGGCATGTAATGGCTTAAGTTCATTTAGCATTCTAACGGTTGGTAATGACAGATGCATCCCTATTGATTCTCGCACCTGTACCCGAATCCTTCTTAGCACATCCTAACGGATTGTAACAATTGTAGTTAGTATATGTATCAACGCTTCATCTGCAACAAAAAGAACTGCTCCTTATGTGAATTGAACCTATAAAAAAGACTTGTACAAGGGGTAGTGTTGCTACCTCAAGACATTCCAATATCCTAACATTCTTTTTTAACATAAATCTTTCTCCATTTTTTTGTGACCATAGCATCACATCACCCCTCCATTGCGATGTTCCTATTTTTCCATTGAATGATGTTTCCATAAAGCTGTAATTATACATACAAGATCTGATTGTGGTGTTGTGGGCGAGCATTTGCTGCCTGATTGCATCAATGCATGCATCAAACCTGGCACACACAAACGGCATCTCACCATCACTACCAACTTCTAATTGGCCTTGCACATTCATGTCCAATATAATAGCCGATACGAATTATTAAGATGCTTAGGTTGTGTTGATTATTAGGTCCTGGTGGTGTTCCGGCAAGCATCCAAGGCCTGTTGTTGCTAGTTTGACTGGGCAACTGCAACACCACCATGTTATTTTTCCAACATGAAACTGCTGAAGCTGTTTAAATAGTCATTGCTCGAAGAACTTTTAGTTAGCTGTATATCTGTGATGTGGTTGTGGAAACTAAGCGTCAATCCAAAACTCATGTTTGTGCCTTGGACCGGCTTTGGCCTCTTTTTACAACACAACAAACAACTTCACAACTTCAGCGCGAGTTTGTCGTGTGAAAGGATCTTTTACAGGGTTAAATGAGTGTGTCTTAGCATTTTGATTGCAAATAAGGCTACTAGTAAGGGAAGCGGTGTCGTAAGAACTTGCCCACTGAGGGCTAGTCCGTCCCCATATTGTCATCTTCAAACAATGCTTCTACATTGCTGCTGCCCCATCCTTGACCACCCCAGCGCCACCACCTGTTGAATTGGGGCCCAGGAAGATGACTGGGAGACCTTCGTGATTGTGGGGGAGCTGGTTGGTTAGCTGAAGAACAAACCCCGCAAGGACTATGTTGCAAACAGTAACTAGGCTCCTTGTAATGGCGGTCAGCTCAACTGGCTCACCATCATTGCTCTCTTTCTTGGTCTCCTCTTCCCTACTGTGAGCCAACTGAGCCTCAATATGTAACAGAAGGTCGTTCAACCGTGCATTTGATAGCCAGTATCACCTGGCCCCAGGCGTACCAATGGCACATAGAACAGGAAAGTGATTTGCAATCCGTCATGGGTGAGCACTGAGGATAGTGACCGGTGGTTATCAAGAACCACGTGGGAGGGGCCGTATGGCCAAAAGATGAGTGAATTGAGTAGGTGGTCGTCCTTGTGTCAGAGTGCTTGCTAACACACATACAGTCTGGACACAGATTGAATCCTCGAGTTTGTTCAAGATGGCGTGATGTACTTGTACACATGCCCATATGGGCCTGGCATGCGGAAACAGGTGGCTCAGAAATAGGAGTCACTTCCTCAGCAGCTTTGGTTCCAGTACAACTGGAGCCCCTTATTGGGCAAGTCCGCTGGCCCGAAAGGAGTAGACAAGAAATAGCATTACACATCAGTATGAGGGAAAGTGGTGGTTTAAATATGCTGAAGCCATCTGCAATGCCAACAAAGCCTGTCATGGTCAGTATAATCATGTGTGGCAATGTACGCCATTGCAGGTGTGAAGACGGAGGGTGACAAGCGATGCACCTACTGCATGGTCAAGGACTTTGAGTTCTGGCAGCTCAACGAAAACACTAAGGGCTCAACTCTCTTGACAGGCAAGAACTGTGCCCATTGCTACCTTGGTCAGGGCCAACCTTGCGTCCTGCATGAGCAGGTCAATCGCTGCGCACGCGGCCTCACTCGAGCCAGTTCATCCATTGGTACACCACCGTTTTGTGCACCTGTTGTAGACACGTTGCTGTCGTCATGATCCGACGGAGTTGGGGATGTAAACATGTCGTTATGCCCTTCCTCTGAATTGTAGTTTATACGGGTTTACCCAGTGCATCGGAGAGATTTCCTATTCCTATATTGGTCTGCCTGGAGCGTTGTGGCGCATCAGGTTCTTGTATGATGCAACTTTGTTGATCATGGCGATATCGTGAATAGCCTTCGTCTACTCCTCGTATCCAGTCTGTTTTGAGTTGGTATAGGCCATATCCAGGGCACTGTCGCATCCGTCTAACACTCGGGACCCGACGTACAGTGCCAGCTTCCTGCACCATCCAGCTCCTCCTCATACCGCCAAAATTGCTCTTCCACCCCTTTGCTCCAAGATGTGCTGTAGTCAAGTCTCCGTTGTATATTTCAATCAAACGCGGATGCCCTGTCACCCTTCTGTTATACCTGGACCGATAGTCCCTCCAGGCATGATGCAGCAAGGCTCTCGCCATCCAATTGCCATCGAAGCGTGAAAGGAACTCTAAGCCGTACCCAGGGGACATCAGCTTGTCGGCAACAGTCATAGCACATCTGTGATCCTGACTGAACGTCTTGCCGTCATAGTGTCTGATGACAATTTGTCACGGTTTGGGGTGCTCCTGCCTGTCGTACCTCACCTGTCATGAGAGTGACTGCCACGTCACACTAGCGTTGTTGTGACGGTTTATGGAGTGAAGCGGTCATGTCTGCCACGTGTGCTGGTGCAGTGCTCTTGCCTGTTCCAATAGCACTTTCTGTCTGAACGACAGATACGTCATGTAAACAGACCCCGCTGGGGGTCGAGTGAGAGACGGAACACTGAACAACAACACAACAGAATATACTGATTTTACTGCTTCGCGCGGTTACCCCTGACTTACTGCCCTGCGCGGTTACACCTTCACTTATTGCATTTACTGCAACAGTTGTTTACAGCTACCTACATATATATACTATTTGTAGCTTCACCCAATACAACCTCCGTATAATCTTCAGCTTCTTCCCTTTGCGTACAGTTGACTGAACTCTAATCCGTATGGTACCGGTGGTATTCGTCGCTGCGCCGTGTTGATATCGTCCAGGATGGAGCCATGAGTCAACCACTGGGGTCTTGCCGCGTCACCGTAGGTTAGACCATCTCCTTCTGTAAATACGTGGCCTAAGTCACATGATATTCTATTGAGGAAGGCACTGCCCGAAGGCAAGTGCACTTACCTCTGAGCCGAGAGCTCCTGTACAAAAACACCATCGGACAACACAGATAGTAATTCAATCATTGACCACAGCCTCCGACCGACACTACTCATGCAGTTACACCTTCTCTATGCCTGTGTCCGTTTTGACTGCTCCAACAGAACTACTTTGTAGGATGTGTCTTTGAGGGAGTACATCGACATATAGATTGCAAGGACATGGTATTCATTATAGGGTTTCTCGTGTTTGAATCTCAAAATTTACCATTAATCCAGCCTCGACAACAGCTGTGTTGCCATCTGTTGGGATGCTATTGGTAGCAGAGATTGATAAAGAGATGAGCAATTGTGGTGTGAGGCGTGGTTGGTGATGTAATAACTGAGTCTCGGCCTACAGACTCTACTCCGCAGCATGTGCTCCGCCAAAAACTAAGCCGATTTTGGGCATGTTAGGACCCGTTAGAATGCAGCTCCTTTGCTCAGGTAGTTGCACCATGGGTTTGCTCCTCGTCCAACTCTTCCACAAGCTCTCCAATATCAGCATTGATGATCTGTCAGAGTTCAGTGAAGAACTGTACGCAAAGGAAGAAGTTGAAGATTGTGCTGAGGTTGTATTGATTGAAGCTACGAACAGTATATATAGGTGAGTAGCTGTAAACAACGCTTGTGTGACGAGGCAGTCACTCTCATGGCAGGTGAGGTATGACAGGCAGGAGCACCCCAAACCGTGACATGATCACACCTCCAGGCTGGTCAGCAGAGGGACTTTCCAAGGGCACCACTAACAAACCTTCAGGATCATAATCTAATTGATGTTGAATCACCTAGTGTCCTTGCCAAATCAACATTCACCCCATGAATGAGACAGATGATCGGGTATACCTTTGTCAATGTACCAATTTCCCTCGTCGTTGACCTGGTACATATCACATATCGACTCGGACATTGCGCAGACACGTGCTCATAGCCATACGTGGCGGGGATACCAGTACTTTCACAGCCGATGAGCTGGCGCTTGCACATGATCCCAAGACCGAGAAGATGCAATTGTCCGCCTACGATGGTGATAGCGAAGGTTCAACAAGCTCTACACCTTCTCTGACACTAGATGCCGCACTGGGAGACCAAGACCATGCCAACGCAGAAGATGGGGATGATCTAACGCTGACGACAATGCTCGCAATGTGCACAACTAGTCAAACAATGCCAGTGGCTCATTTGATGTACACGAGAACCCCCCTGACAGCAACCAAGACAGTTCAGGCAACAATAACAACAGGGATGATGACCTTGACCCTAATGATGTGCGCAACCTACTCTCGTACAGTCAAACGCACCGCTTCTATCGTCGCATTGGGCGGCTGGCGTGGCAAGAGTTCAGGGACATTATGGAAACCTTGTACACCATCCCAATACACGATGGCAAGACATACAGCAGGGCAGTGGGGCGGGCAGCCAATATACCCACAATGAAGATTGATTGCTGCGAAGCAGGTCACTTGGCGTTCAGGGCCAGTATGCTGAACTCAGGGGATGCAAGCATTGTCTTCGACCACGATACAAACTTAGAGCAGATTTTAACGACCCTACAGAGGAGGAGCGGCCCATTGCGCAATATAACCACATCAAGATTGGCCCACGGCTACTGCATCGATACAAGAATCGGGCAAGGGCATACGAACTGCAGCCCTACTACGGTGCATACACAAATGCCATGCCAGGGAGATGACAGAATGGACCGGCAGAAGGATTTTCAGGCGTCTCAAGGTCGACGGTTACCTACTTGAACCGCGGGAAATCGCTTGTCAGATGGCTCTGGATGAGGTCCTCCTTACCAACAAACGACAATGTAAGAGCCCTACACAAGGTCATGGCTGTATTTGTGTATGTTCTAAACCTCCGACCACATGTGCAGTTCACCAAGGCCAATACGATCCTTGCCATGATTGTTCCTGGTGGGTATAGCAACAGCACGCTTGATACGTTTCTGCAACCTCCGGTGGACGAATTCAGTGTCCTGTCTCATCCCACAGGCATCCCTGCGCTTGAAGCAACCAGATCAAAAGATCCAGTGTTCAGACTACGAGTGCACTTGATACTTGTTACAGGGGACAGTTGTTGGGTGGCCAAAGCCATGAGTACGAAAGAGCCTAGCAATGTGAAGTAGCCATGTCGGATGTGCGAGATGGAGGCCTCTAAGCCAGATGGTGTAAGTATTTATGACCTGACTCACACCAGTAACAATATCAACAAACCAGTGTTGCCCAGACGACTGGCAGATGACATTAACAAGAACCCTAACGGCAAGTACAGAGGGATAGCTCGGCGCAGCGTTCTTCGCAACCTTGACACCCTATACTGGCCAGAGAGCTTTCCTACTGATATCATGCATCTCATGGCATACAATATCACCAAAGACATCATCCAGCTCCTCTGGGGATGGAATTTGAGAGACTCAAACCAAGGAGTAAGGGACGGAGGTGCCTACCAAGTAAGCCTGGCAGGCAGGATACGCATTAACAATGCCCTCAGGGATGCGCGATACACAGTGCCAATACACGTAAGCCCTCCAATGCGTGCTGTGGGTGAAAAGACAACAACCACAAATTGGAAGACCGCAGAATTGAAAGCCTGGCTACTTGTCTGTGGGCCAGCACTGCTTTGCGGAGCAATACCATCAGCATACTGGGCAAAATTCAAGCTTCTCAGCAAGCTTTACGCACTCTTGTTCAACCGTACAATCCAGCCACACGATGTTACCACTATCTATAGTCTTGCCAGACAATTTGTACGGGAGTTTGAAGAGCTATACTACACAAATGCTCAGACTAAGCTCAACCACCCAGACACCGTCACGCGAGTCCAAGTGTGTACACTCCAATCCACTCGCTTCTCCTTGAAATCAGAAGCTTACTGTCCATCAAGCATGATACGTAGCCTGATTGATGGCATGCTAGACGGGGATAGGTTCACTGTTGTGATGCTGAAGCCTGACAAGTACAGAGTCACTGAGCCAGTGCGTCGTCTTGCACTGGAGTATCCTAAGTCAACTTCACCTTCCAACAACGAGATGTTCCAAACCTTGAGCTACTACGGTGTGTCTGCGCTCAACTGCGACAGTGCAGCCCTAGGGTTGATGTATTTGAAGTCTTGAGCTCCCCACTGGTGCTCTCCTAACACCAAAGAGCTTCTAACGCAGCAGCAACATCAACCGAGGCAACTGCTATGTCAGCTTCAAGTTCAGCAACAACTCACGGCTGCGATTCGGTACACTAGAGTATCTTGTCCGACTCAACAAGCGTTGGGACTTTGTTGGTTTCAGCCGCTTTCATCCCACGTCTAAATAGATTGTTTCTTTGTGTCTTGCTTGTTCCTTTGTTGCAGGTGTCTATATTAGTAACACCTCAATGCTCGTAGATAGCATCTAAGAACTCAAGTCATCTGAAGTTTACATCATAGGCCAAGAGACTTGGCCTACATATGGGAACAGATCACCAGCAACGAGGAAGACCGGCATAACAAGCTTCACACAAACGCCACCCATTATTGGATACCCATAAGCAACATCCACGGTATTGTTGGGCTTGTAACTATCAAGGTCTGGTCAGCGCGAAGAGGTTCAAAATCGGGGAATGTGTTTATTGTAGGCAAAGACGGCATATACTGTTGCGGTATTGGTTGGTCTGTACAAGGTCTGTCACGGTTCAGGGCGCTCTTGCCTGTCGAACCTCACCTGCCATGAGAGTGACTGCCACGTCACACTAGCGTTGTTTACAGCTACTCACCTATACATACTGTCCGTAGCTTCACCCAATACAACCTCAGTTTAATCCTGCAATTCGTCCCACATGCGTACGGATCACTCACGATCCCCGACAAGGTCTGACTGTATGCCCGACAGACTACCCTAGTCTCGTGTGTGACAGGTCACTGGCTTGAGGTCAGATATATATTCGTCATCTCCTAGCTAAATAGCAATTCAGCGCAGTCTTCCATCGACCCGATAGTCCTACGTTATTGTTTACCGTAGCTATCAGTATACCACAGCGGCCCACGCCGCAACATATGTGACCAACTCAACCGGTGCAGCCGTCCATGACACTGATGGGGGTGGAGAAAGATGGACCCTGCAGTTCAGATACTGTCGGACAGCGTGTAAAGTACGCGTGTGGGAAGATATTGACGGATTAAACTGACTATTCTACATGCTACGGAGTGGAGCTATACATAAGGAAATCTGTCACGGTTTGGGGTATGTCACGGTTAGGGTGCTCCTGCCTGTCCAACCTCACCTGCCATGAGAGTGACTGTGACGGTCTATGGAGTAAGGAGGCCATGTGTTCCATGTGTTTTGGTGCAGTGCCCTTGCCTGTTTCAACAAGTACCTCCTGCTCTTGATTGCACGAGACATACGTCATGTAAACAGGACTGTCGGGTGAGAGGCAACCAAAAAACAATGAACGAGAACAACACAATATACTAATTCAACTGCTTCGCGCAGTTCCCCCTGACTTACTGCAACAGATTCCCATAACAATGTTAATTGACAAGGTTGAACACACTGCCATAAGGGCAGTATTCCTACTAGCTATATACTGTACGATAGGGTACTGCTCGCTGACAAGCAGTCCGGTTTGATCCAATAGAACAGGGGTGTCGCTCGTGAACGAGCACGCACGTGTGTCTTGCTAGTTGATCAGCAGTCACGTGACCATCAGTCTGTTACCAAGCTCCAACAGATCAACCACCAGCGTCGTCTGCTTGCCCTTGAGTCACGAGGTTTTATGTCCATATGGCACAGGCGAAGAGAAGCCTTTCCACTTGCGTCATGCATTTGAATCCGCATGTGGACATCTCATGCCTCTAACCGTGCCTACCTACTCACTCAAAGAACAAGTCGTTGCAATCTATTGAACCCGACGAACCAGATTGGCATTAGGCGCACCTGCAGGATTCAATTATTGACATTGGTTGGTTTCATGTAAAATTAATCATGTAACGTAAAGCACCACCAAGCCGGCCAAACCGGGGAACCAGCCACTTTCTCTTGGCACGACCATCTTCACACTCAACACGATATGCCCCAACACTACGCGCATATCATAGAGAGAAGGCAGGATAATTCTTGCCCTTAAGCCTATCATGCAGGCGAATTATGGCAATCAAAGACTCCAAGCAACACGCATGAATTTGGATCTCAGTCAAAGCTTGTAAGCGACTCCTTTACTCGATCGCCTGTTACTGCCGAGGCTGGCTTCCCTCAGATTATCAAAGGTGGTAAACTGATACTGCACCGAAACGCGCCTCAAGCTGCCTGGATTTCTGAACTTGAAGAGCAATTAGCAGAAATGACCAAGAGAAGAGCGTGTAAACGAAAGCGAATTCAGCAAGGTGGCAAAATAGAGTATGGTGAGGTAGCAGCGCAGGGTGCTGCTGAGGCGTCTGTGGCAGCTCAGCCATCCAAGAAGACTCGGGGTGCAGGTGGTCTACGACTGGGCACAACGCTCGAAATGCTGGCACCTTGTTTGATAGTGACTAAGTCATGATTTTGTAACATGACATGGTCGTGTCAAGAGAAAGTGGTCGGTTCCCTTGTTTGGCCGGCTCGGTGGTGCTTTACGTTAGGGTTTTGAGTTATTTCAGACCATTAACCATATTGAGCTAGTAGGACAGGGGGCAAGGACGCGCGCTTTGACGCGGGTGAATAATAGGATAAAGGAAAACGGTGGCGAAAAGGGAATAATGATGCAGCGGGGAAGAGCACCGTGCCCCCCGCGTTACGTTAGTTGCTCTGCATCACTCTCAGGGGCCTTGCCCGTGTACCGACTAGGCTTAACATTAGCTCTTCTCGGTCGTTATCGTTTGCTCACCCGTTGCGATCTTACATCTGGGGTCTCGTAGTCAGTGTTGTGCACGTAGTCTTGAAACTGTGTATGCCAAATATTCTTGATCCCATCCTTGGTGGGTGAAGCGGTTCGGTGTGGACTGTATGATATAATAGTAGGATGCTGACGGGCCAAAGATCAGTTATTGAGGTTTCCTGTCCCACTTCGCAGACGCCCATTCTGCTCCTGTCGTGATTATTTTGATGCATTAGATTTCTCACCCGCGTTCGAGGTCTGCTCTTCAGCGCCTCGCAATTTTCCCGTGAGTTGTTGAGGTCCGTTTCTTGTGCTTAATCATTTGCGCTTCATCGGTTTTTCCTGCTTTTATGTGCCGTTGTGCTTGTTACCCCTCTTTTATGCCTAGGTGTGTGTGCTCGTTCAGCGCCGTTAACATTGAATACCCAGCTCTTGGATGACTGCGCATTGCAAAGATAGCCAGAAGCAGAAATTCAGACAGGCCAAGACTTTGAGCTTTAGTGTTTTGAGTTCGTTAATTCATAAGAAACCCATAATTGATCATGTCCTTGAAGACTTGCCGTATCGATCTGCACATTCTTGCATACTCAACTTCAAGGTCTTCTGCAAGTCTTCATCGTCCTCATCCTCTAACGATGATCCACATCCCTTGCCCTTGTTCTGATGGTGTACTTCTAAAAGGCTCTGCTTCTTGATGTACACCATCACGATCTCTTCTTCTATCTTCTCTTCTGCAGTCTTCGCCCCCTGCTGTCCCTTTTGTTCTGCTTCGAACTCACTTCGCAAGGTGCCCGCGAGATGCCCTGGATCATACGCAGGAGGTTGCTGACGGTCGATCATCCTACCAGTTATAGCTGCCGCCCTCTCCGATATCGCTTCAAATTCTCTTCTTTCCCGCTTCAGTTCCTCATCGAATTCCTCATCGTCTTCATGGTAAAGATCCAGATTTGAGTCCCTTCCACGGATGCTTGCGCGTTGATGAGCTTCGGCTGCGCTGGTCGCCTGCATCGCCAGTGATTCCTGAATCGCTAGTTTCATATCGGCATCCTCTTGTTCGTCTTCGCGAGACGTGACCTCAACCGCTGTTGATGACATTCCAGGTGCCGCGTTGGCAGTACGCAGAGGAGATAGTGAATCACCATTGGCGAGCGCGGCATTGCGGAGATCTTGAACCTCAGCATCTGCACTGTTGACAGATTGAGCGGATCTCACAGTATATTCACCGTTTTGTCGGTCTTTTGTAACTTTTAAATCCGCCTTTTGCTGCCTTTCCCGGGCTTCTCGCTCCATCTTATCAGGCTTGCCCTTTTTCTTTAGATCTTTCTGGATCTGCTTCCACCGGACAATGACATCTTGCTTTTCTGCATCAGAGCTCTGCAGCCAATCCTCGTACCCTTGAGCTGCCCTAGACGCAATGACGTAATTCTGCACATCACTGCCAAACAACTTCTGCATTTCCTTGTTGACTCCTTGCATCGTATGACTCAAAATACCAAGACAGGCCGCGCCCGGCTTGACTAGGAACCCTCCGACCCCTTTGCCGACTCCTTTGATGAAGCCGCTGGCGCCCTTTTCCCGGGCGCCTTTCCAAGGCTGAGTGACCAAGCCAGTTATGCCATCGTAGAAGCCAAAGCCAAACTCTCTTCCCACTGCCTTGACGCCTGACCTGAAATCGGTCACCCTTTCCTGAGGACGCATGGTGTCATCTCCCCAAAGCTTAGGGATATTGTGCATCCCTCTTGTGAGGTTCACAGAGATATCCACAGGTCCTTGAACGATTGCCTTTACAAAACGCCCAGCCCCTTTGCTCATGTGTACGCCAGTGGGGCGCAGCATATCGGGGTCTTTGCTGGGACTGAATTCATGACGACTGCGGGAACGACTTAGGCTATCGTCGTCTTGTTTGGGACTCATATAGCCTTGCGATGGACCAGATACAGAGGTTCGACCGACCATCGAAGTGGGGGTGGACCGACCAGAGAGGTTTGGGGGACTCTGAACATGAGCAAGAGAGTTCTCTGTGTTCAAGGTCGTTTCACTCTGTCCAAGCGAAGTCAGTGAAGCTGAGTTTTTCCCTATGTATGAGGCCTTGCTTTTACTCGCGACTTTTGACAACGAAGCTTGGGACTGCTGTCGGCTGCGCCCAACCGGAATCTGCACAGCTCTCCAGGTCTCAGAGGGAACATCGGCCAGCCCCATCATCATGCCGCCGACCGCCCCCAAAAATGCGGTAAACCCACCAGATATTGGATCCCAGGGACCTTCGTCGATATAATGCTCTTGCGGTCTAAAGAGCTTCAAGTCCTGGAAATCCAATAGATTTGCATTCGCTAAAGTACAGGCAGCAAAAGCGCTTAACCTGACCTTTGTGCGTTTGATACGCCACACACTAGCTCGAGATGGTGCAAGGGTGCAACGGAGTCGGTCAGGCTCGAGAAACTGATGGACCGACTGAGCACCCATGTCGCAGCCTTGCTCCGCCGCGATTTTGCTGGCCAATTCTTTGGCACGTTCCAGACTTTCGGGTCTTAGACAAAAGTTGATAGCATCGACTAATTTGTCTGCTGTAAGTCGTTTGTGCGGGATCGGATCGGGGCCTGCGCCTGCTCGCGCGACCATAGCGCCCCAGAAAAGCTGGTCCCCAAAGAAAGGAACGACGACAGTCGGCCGGCCTGCGGTGAGGCCTGCTGCCGTGGTTCCTGCACCACCATGGTGGACGACGCACGAGACTTGCTTGAAGAGCCAGTCATGTGGTACGTTGCCTAGCATAAAAACGCCATTGGGAATACGTAGCTCATCTGCACCCATGCCACCCCAGCCTTTAGAGAGGAGTACACGCTGACCAGTCTTCCTCGCGGCCTCGAAAACAAGTTCTGTCATCGCATTTGGATTGTCTAGAACAATGCTCCCAAACCCTATGTAGACAGGAGGTGGACCGCTTTTGAGAAATGCCAGTAAGTCCGGAACAGGGGAGTAGTTAGACGCCAAGTTGAGAAAGTAGAATCCGGAGATGGATATATGTGAGCCCCAGTCTGTCGGTTTAGGTATCAGGGCCGGTGACCAGCAGTAGGTGTGAGGAATCTTGAGACGCTGGAGCATCCCTGGGCCCCAGATCCTACTTACGGGGTCTAGATTTAAACACTTTGCGCGAAACCGATTAATAATATCACCTAGGACCTGCCACGAGAGAATTTCGATCATGGCGTAGCTGATGTAATTAGTGAGTTGAGGATCGGCATTCGAGGATTGAATGTTAGCCAGGGGATGGGGGAAGGCCTGCGTAGGAGAATACGGCATAGTGAACATGATATGAAGCGGAATGCCTAGCTTTTCTGCGCAATGAATATGAGCGAAACTTGGAGGATTGGCGATTATGCAGTCGGCAACGAAGTGTTTTGCCGTAGGCTTGGTACCCCTGTTATTCCTGATGGGCTCATGAGGGTTATCATCGGTTCTGTCATCGGCTTGGTAACATGATCGCCAGCAGCCTTGAATGTACTCAGCAACATCTTTTCTTCGCTGGCCGACGTCTCCACTTGCTACACTGCGAAATCCCGGCCTGAGGCCGGGATTCTTGACCATGAAGGCCATGAGCCGGGTTGGGTCGCCGCCAATGCTAAAGAACTCTAGGCCATTCTCCTGGGCAAAGTCTTTGAATGTGGGGTGAGTTGCGAGACGTACGCGATGACCGTAGGTATCTTTCAAGACCTTCCCTAAGGCAACGAAGGGTTGGACATCTCCGCGAGAGCCCACGACCTGGATGACGATGTTCAGGCGCGGAGGTGGGGAAACTCCCCCCGAGCTTCCTAGAGATGGAGGAATAAATGCGGGAGCAGGTGGGCGACTATCTTGGGCATCCTGGATGTGTTGATCTAAAGCAGGAGTAAAGATCTGGGATAAACGGCAGTTGAAGTGGTTAATGCGGATGTTGACACGACCATCGTCGTTGACACTGGCACTGGTGTCCGTGCCGTTCTTCTCGTCGCGGATCTCGCCATATATCTCACCGTAGGCAGGAAGAGGCACATCGTCCTCGGCCAGCTCTTGATCGGTGAGGTCAATCTCGTGGAGGAAGGGATTGGGTGTCGTGGGATTGGTGGGATCGGTGTTGGCAGCAGTGGTAGCTTGTGCTTGTTGCGCTACGATCTCAGGGACAGGTAGGCCCATTCTAGAAAGAGGTCGGAGGAGAGAGGCAGGCTGAGTTCTGTTTGGGTTAGTAAGCTGAGAGTCAAGGCTGGTGCCTAGCGATACTAAGACAACTTCGGTTCAGCAATCAATTTATCAAACTTACATCTTGAATTTCAATCTCTGATTGTAACAGGTTCAACAGGTTCAGATTGCTCAGTCACCGCATCAGTATTATTTGAGGCGAATGGTTGAGTGAGATGACGCGACTGCAGCTCGACTCGAAGCATGCCTGAATTAACCAGTAGGCTATGAGCAAGACCGATGTCTGATAAGAGGAGCCAAGAGCTCGGATTAGGACTGGAAGGGAAGGGAGCAACAACAATAATAATAATGACTTGGGTTGAATAAAGTCAGGTCAGAAACAGCTTGTGGCGCAGGGGCTAGTCTTATCCGGTCCTGGTATTGTGCTTTGAGCGCTAAACTTGTTGCGTTTCCACCAATCAGATATTGCTTATGTAAATTCGAAGCCCCCGCACTAAAAGTCGCTAGTGACCAGACCCATTTATTAGTGGTGAGAGTTACCCTTTACAATTACCTCGGGTTTTCCATCGTCTATATCACATCCTGCCCAGAATTGAATCTGCTGTCATTGTCGTTGCAGGATGGATAAATGAGCTCCAGCATCCCTTTACCAACACCAGCCACCACCAATCTTTTAGGCGTCGGTATAACTAGTGAACCGCCAGCAACCCTCAGGGAAGGCCTTTAGCTAACTCGGCAGCTACAGCCACGTCGTCTTCGGCTGTTGTGTTCAGCTCAGCCTCAAGAGCCAAGCCTGACGTGTTCAAAGAGCGCTCGAGTTGAGAACAAAAAAAAGCACAATTCGGAGATACTGGGCAGTTCGTGAGATGAAGGAGTCGGACATCCATTAATGTACTAGGCGATTTCATTATCCTTAGTACCCAAGCGACAATCACCGAGCACGATTAGATTTGAAGTGAAGGTTGGAAGATATGAATAGACGGCAGGGAACTACTCAGACGATCACAACGACCGACGACGATTCAATTGACCAAGTTAGCATCCTCTGATTGAGTTAGAAGCCATCCTTGCAACAAATCTGCTGGTGGTAGTGCTATGGATATCGATTCTAGACCCTGATCTCCATACTGAAAGAAGCGCGAAATGACAATCGAGCTGATTCGCTTCTTTGTAAACGCGTCTTGAACACCAAAATAGATGTCAAGAATGAGTCAAGATATGATTCGTGTTTCTCATCATGCATTGAAATAGCAACCTCATCAACCACAGTCCAGGTAAAACTGATTTAGTAGTTCTGATTCGTCTGTGTCTTAGTCTTTTGTAGCATACTTTAGTGGAGGTACGACGCTGACGGAGGCTGAAGACCCCGAGGGGTGAGACTCCTAATGCACATTGGTTCGTGTATTGGCGGTTATTGATATTATTGACAACCCTCAAAACCGCCTGTCCGCACGCTTAGACATCCAGGTAAACGCGCCAGATCAGGAATAATGTAAGATATTCTTTTCAGCACGTGCTATTCGAGCTGCCATCCTAGACAGCTATTTCGTAATAACGAGATGTTACTTTACGAACTAGGGCGCCTAGTGAGTGAGTGTCGAGAGCTGTCCGTTTTGAGCAATATCAACGGTTTTTGGCAAACTATCATTGTTTTCTTTTAGACTCTTAGATCTGACCTGTAGTGCCCCTGTGAAGCGCTCTCCTCCTCAATCATTCCTTCCTGTCTCGACACTCTGCCTTTGTATTGACACAGTCTTAAACCAACACGTAACCACAAGAGAAGCACGATTGAGTTATCGCCAAAGCGTTTGCACCACATCGAAGTTGTCTTCATTACTCAACCGTCATACTGTTATTGTTCACGAATTGGTCTTGATCATGATCTTCACGGCACCAGATTTCCTTCCTACCCTACCGGCTCCTCTCCCGCTCCAAGAAACTATTGGAGACTTTTGTTTGACAGCAAATCTTGCTAAGACGGCCGGGTCTGACTCTGTAGACAAACGGCCTCCCTTTGTTGAGGCAGCGATCGATCGAGCATGGACTGCGGATGAGATTGGTGTTCGCGTTGCTCAGGTTGCAGCAGCCTTGTTTGCTTCATGGAGGCTTGTTCCTGGACAAGAGTGGAACAAAGTAGTCGCCATCTTAGCTTCTAACAGCGTAAGTATCCTCGACGCTTTAGCTCGTGAAAGCAATCTGAGTAATTTCTAGGTTGACACCCTGATTCTTTCATGGGCCATCCACCGTATTGGCGGTGGCTGCCTCATGTTGCAACCAACGAGTTCGGCTGATGAGATCGCCGAGCATCTTGATCGTATACCTCCATTCGCCATGTTCGTGTCACAGGATCTGCTTCCTCTGGGTGAAGAAGCGGTTCGACGAAGCTCCAATTCCTCAAAACTTCCAGTCTACAGGCTTTCTGTGCCTGACCGTTCTCCGCCAGCAGCGGCGGTCGAATCAGACCTGGGCCTTGCCAAAATCCCTACGCTTGATGACTTGCTCGCAGCTGCCAAGGAATTGCTCCCAATGCACAAGACTCCTTTGGCTGCCGACGAGGCGACTCGACGCGTCGCGTATTACTGTACCACGAGCGGCACTTCTGGTTTCCAGGTAACACCACATAAACGTCCACGTATTGTATTAGGCTAACCAGTTTTTTCTTGTGATTATGTAGCGGATTGTGGCAATCACACACAAGAATATGATTGCTAGCATCTTGCAGGCTACATCATTCTACAAAGCTACTAGAGAGAGAGGCTCGGAGGTAACTCTGGGTTTCTTACCGTTCAACCACATCTACGGTCTATTGATCACTCATTCTCTGATGTACTACGGCGACAGCCTCATCGTCCATCGGGGCTTTAACCTCATGGAGATCCTGACCTCCATCGTCAAATATCGCATCAACACTCTTTATCTGGTGAGTTTGTCAGATGAGAGCGTTTGAAAATCCCTGCTCTGCCTAATGCAAGCTTATGAATCTAGGTGCCGCCTATAATCAATGCACTATCGCGGAATGCATCTATCTTGGATCGATTTGACCTAAGCTCGGTCAACTCCATCGTATCCGGTGGTGGACCCCTTAATAAAGAGGCTTTTACAAAAATGCAGGCCGCACGACCCAACTGGCGAATTCTTAGCGGCTGGGGTATGCCTTTCGCAAGCTTAGTTGGAGCAACGATCTAACACTCAATTAGGTCAAACTGAAAGTTGTGGTATCGGATCTCTGTCACATCCCAGCGACATCTTCCCGGGTTCGAGTGGTGTCCTCCTTCCGGATGTTCGAATTCGACTGAGGGACGACTCTGGCCGTGAGGTTGAGAAGCTTGAGGAAATGGGCGAGATCGAAATTGCCTCTCCTAGCGTCCTGCGTGGGTACATTGACCATGCTAACGATGCACTTCTCCCGTCCGCAGGTGATGAAGAACTCTGGTGGCCAACAGGAGACGTTGGTCTCTTCCGCGTGAGCCCTAGTGGTGAGACGCATCTATTTGTCGTAGACCGCATCCGCGACATGATAAAGGTCAAGGTAAGTGAGAGCACGAAGAAAAAGCGTGAATCCATGCATCCAGGTTCATGCTTTCTGACAACTTACCGTGTAGGGCAACCAAGTCGCTCCAGGCCAGATTGAGGCACACTTGAGCAAACATGCTGCCGTCGCCGAGACAGCAGTCGTCGGCGTCCCTGACGAGGTAGCCGGTGAGCGAGCTTTAGCCTTCATAGTCCGGGAGCCATCGTATGCATCTAGCACAAATGAGTCTGATCTTAGAAAGACAATTCGGGATTACAACGACCTCGCGTTGCCCGAGGTATGCCGTCTGCAGGACCGCATCATCTTCATCGATCAGATCCCCAAGAGTGCCAGCGGTAAAGTACTCAAAGGAGAACTGAGGAAGAAATTAACTGCATCGGCCCCCTGAAGGCACAGCTTGACAGAAGAATTACTAAAGTTTATGCATGGTCAATGTTCGCAAACAGTCTAAGTTCTTGAGCCGTGAAACATAAAGTCTGAACCATTCTACAGTTCTCTTCCCAAAGCATGAGAAATATGTGAAATAGGAACTTTGTAGGCGAAGCAGGTCTCGTGGTCCACACGAGTGCACCAAGGCCCGACAACGCGTGGAAGCCTCGTAGCATACATTGAACGTAAATGATTCCAGGTGATCCTACGAACGAATTACCAAGCCTCAACTAAGCGGCGGACAGCAGAAGGGCGCTGGCTGACTCCGTCGCATGCACTACAAGGTGCGATGCTTTTATGCGCACTGGCCTTGTAATTTGAAGGGATGATTATTGCTATGGGGGGTTCTTTGCATCTCGCTGCTCGCCTGCGTCGACAGGATCAAGCAGCTCACCAAGGAAACTTATTTGCAAGTCCAGAGGTCGTTATGTCAACTTTTCGTGCTGCAAAAATTGCTTTCACTTGTAACGACTGCATCAGCTCGCAGCGTCGTCGTGTGCAGCCGCCTTAAGGCGACCAGGGATCAAAGATACGAGAAGATACAAAAACATAAAAACAGAGTCTTATCCACTGAAATTGGGTACACGTGTACTGAGTACCCGAACATGCGGGGTGACAACAACAGCAGCGCACTGAGCTTCTTCTCCCGCGTTTTCCATCCGTCGACCGCGTGCCTGCGCAAGGCAGGTCCACCGTAAGCTGCCTAGGCCGAATTCATGCACAGACCAGGCGAGCCTGTTAATTACCAATGAGATCACCCACGCTGCAGGCCATTGGTTGTTTTCCGGCTTACTCAATTTGAGCTCACTGCATATAACCAATAACGTATTACAATAATTTTACTTTCATAAACCCTAGCTGAAGCCGCGCTAAGCCACAGGTAACAGATGATCAGCATTGCCAAAATATTTGCAATGATGCGCGCGATCTGTTAGTGTTCACGGTCTTGTTACATATTTTTTGCTCTTCAAGACTTCAAGTGGAGGTGATTCCGATCGAGGAGTCAGGGTCGCAACACCTTACCCACGCCTTTCCCAACGTCCACGAAGATGCGCGGGCAGTGTGCACGCGTGGTTGAAGATGTCTTTGGGCCCGTAGTTCAGGGCTGCCTGGACGACTTCGACTTTACATTGCTCTTTGAAGAAACGTTTCTCTTCGTAGTCCCCGCCTCATGTCTGCTTCTGCTGGCACTTGCATGGCGGATGCCTGAGCTCATTCGCGCCAATGGCATCGTGCGTGCATCTCTGCTCGGGTTTTTCAAGACGGTACGTTTTTTCGCATCAAGATGCAAATCATATCAGCCCCTGTCACTTTAGATTCTCAAACCTTACGACTCGGTGATAGATCATTTACCCTCTTATCTTCATTTCGCAAGTGGCCTTCCTTGCCTTCGTTTGCATGAACAATGCAGCCAACACGCGGGCGACGATTCCCGTCACTGCAATCGGGCTGGTCGCCATCATCGTCATGGGTGCCCTATCTTACTTGGAACATCGCAGATCCCCTCGCCCCTCGTCACTCCTCACGCTATATCTCCTCGCCGCTGCACCAATGAACGTCGCTCGCTGCCGCACTCTTTGGCACATGCCAAGCTCGAATAGTGTCGTTCTAACATTTACCGCTACTGTCTGCCTTATGGGTATCGCTCTCGGACTCGAATTGGCACCAAAGGATGCATTCGTTATGGAAGAAATGGGAAAGACATCGCCCGAAGAGAGGCGTGGCATCGTGGAACGTGCGCTGCTCACTTGGATTGTGCCAGTTTTTGCATATGGCTACCGGAATACATTCACATCCAAAACCTTGCCGGCGGTAGACAAGAAGTTGACTACGTGCAGACTGAACGAAAGAGACATACACAGTACGAATCTCCGCATTTATATAGAAGAGTGTGGAAGCAAGCTAAATAGTTTGCGCAGATCTTGACCAATCGCTGTTCTACAGTCTTCTCAAACTTCACTGGAGAAAGCTGCTCAGCCCTGTAATACCGCGCGCTTGTTTTCTGGGGTTGACTCTAGCACAGCCATTCCTTGTGAGGACATCCACGGCGTGGATCTCAGAGTCTACGGAGTCTCAGTCCTCTCAGATAGGAGGATCGCTGATCGGTGCCTATGTCTTGGTCTACCTTGGCCTGGCAGTCAGTCGTTCCCTGGCCCCTTGATTAGACGGTTCGTCCTTTCTAACTCTGGTTTGGCAGGTTACCAACACGCTCTATCGCCAGAAGGCCGTCCGAGCGGCCACCTCGATACGAGCCACCCTTACAGACTACATATTCCAACGCCTTTCACATTTGGACTCGGCAATGGAGCTTGCAGGCTCAGCTACAACTTTGGTGAGCGCGGATATTGAGCGCATTCAATTTGGCATTCGCGAAGTCCACGAAATATGGGCAAACACAATATCGGCAGCAATATCATTATTCCTGATTGAAGATGCCATTGGTGTTTCAATGGTACCTGCGCTTGGTGTTTCGATTGGTAAGATACTAGCCCTCTGGTTTGGAAAACGACATGCTGATCTGATGATGCAACAGTAAGCATGGCTGCTGTGTTGCTTGTAGCGCTTCGTGGCAGCCAAGCCCAGAAACAATGGTTTGAAGCTACTGAAATTCGTGTCGCCCAAGTCGTCAAGATCCTCGCCGATTTCAAGAGTATCAAAATGATGGGCTACACAGCGGGCCTTCTTGACAGTCTCGGCGCAGCGAGGCTTCTCGAAGTGCAACGTTCCCAGAAGTTTCGCGCGTTCGTGATTGTGGTAGCCACGTTAGCACAAGCTGCCACTGCGCTGGTCCCAGCTTTTGGATTCGTCACATACATACTGTTGCGCAGATTCGGTGATGACGAGATCTTGGACGCCAGTCGTGCCTTTGGGACATTGACGCTCTTCACTATTTTGAGTTCGAGTATAGGGCGGTTGGTCGATGGAGTGTTCGGAACAGTAACTGCTGTCGGTTGCATTTCGCGCATACAAGAGGTGTGCTCTAAACACTACAGGCTAGACCCGCGTCGAAATAACGATTTAGCGAAGGCTTCGCGATCAAGTGTTGCCATGAATAACGCCAGCGCGAGGTACGACAAGGAAGGCAGTGACATCATCGAGGAAATCAGCTTTGCTATCAAGCCTGGCTCAATCGTTCATATCAAGGGTCCGATGGCATCAGGAAAGTCCACGCTTTTGAAAATGATACTTGGAGAAGTGCGCTACTGTACCGGGGAGATAGTTGTCGGAGATAACATCATCGGCTATTGTGATCAGAAACCTTGGTTGGATCATTCCAGCATCCGGGATAATATAACTGGACCTGCGCCGTTTGATCCAGAGTGGTACGCAGAGACGATTCGCATATGTGCGCTGGAACTTGACTTGAAGAACATTCCGCGAGGAGACGCCTGTCTCTGTTTTGGAAACGGGACAACTTTGAGCGGGGGCCAAAAGGCTCGAATTGTTGGTAACATCTCGGCTATTTGATCGAGCAGCCTGCTAACGATGATGCAGTGTTTGGCTCGTGCCATCTATGCACGACCGCGAATCCTTGTCCTCGACGATTGTCTGAGCGGATTAGACGCTAATACGGAGCATGCCATCCTCGAGAATCTCGTCGGCGCGCACGGCTTTCTTCGAGAGCATTCTATCACTACTTTTTTGGTCTCGGCTTCACGTACGTCCAGCCGCTTTGCTCGCCAGAGTACTATCGCCACTGACATAACAATAGGAAAGCCTTTGCCCAGTAACATTGCAACACTTTCGCTGGGACCCGAAGGACCCCTGCTGTCTGAGAGCGCGTCAAACCAACCGCACGTCGCAGTCCCATTGCCCAATGAATCGGAAAGTATGCTCATAACAAGCTCCCTGGCACTCAGTGAAAACGACGAAGAGAAAGAAGCGCAATTGTTGATTGAAGCGCACGGTGACGGCGAGGGAGCGTTTCAAAGGGGAGGAGAATTTGCTCTTTATGCTATGTTCTTGCGGATTGCCGGACGACGGGGATTGATGGTTTTTGTCTTCCTGCTTTGCATATTCGTGGTAGGAATTGCTTACCCACGTAAGTCTCCATTTATTACGATATTGTGAACCGCTCAGGAAGCTTACTGACATCGATATGGTAGATATTTACATCCAATCTTGGGTCATGCAAAGTCCGGCAGAGCAGCATAACACCGTTGGTGCTATCACGGGCATTTACTTGGGTTTGAGCTTTTTGGCGTTATGCGCGTTCTCTGCAGCCTGCACTCATTTCACATTGGGAGTCGCGCCACGCATTTCTATTCAATTTCATGCATCGCTGGCCAAGGCACTGCTCTGGTATGTTCCCCTTGACTCTTCTCATCGTCCGGATCGTGCTGACAGCCTCTCTTCTTGTTCTAGTGCCCCTCTTTCCTTTCTCGCCACAACGGACAGAGGCTCCATAACCAACAGGTATATCACCACATATGTATCAAGCCGTGAATTTATTATCACTGACGTTTTTTTTTACCAGATTTGCACAAGATCTTGCCATTATAGATCAAGAGGTTCCTATGGCCCTTATCGGCACAGTGCTCACCGTTTTGCTGCTGCTTTCCCAATGCGTCACTCTGATCATTGGATCGCACTTTGCTGGAATCGCTATCCCGATTCTGTTGATACTGGTGTATTGGATTCAGTCCCTGTACCTGCCGACGTCTTATCAGTTGCGCTTGCTGGACCTGGAGGCCAAAGCCCCTATAGTATCACTGTTTGTTCGATCTATCGAAGGTCTCGCAACTATACGGACTTTCGGGTGGATGAAAAAAACACAGATGCAGTCAAGGAAACACATCATTGCATCTCAAGGACCATTCTATCTTCTGGCAACCGCACAGATCATGCTCGCTCTCGTCCTCGACCTCGTTACTGCAGCACTGGCAATTATCATCATATCGATCTCAGTCCAAACACGTGACCCGAGCAGTGGACTGGCGCTGTTCAGCATAGTGGGGCTAGGTACCTCTACCAAGATCTTGATCGCGCAGTGGACAGAGCTGGAAACTTCTCTTAGTGCTATGAGGCGCATCAACGACTTCGCGCATAATACTCCTCGCGATATTGCGTCCTATAGGAGCTTAATGCCACCCAAGGACTGGCCGAGCAAAGGCGAGATCAACTTTTGCGATGTTTCGCTTGCATATAGGTTAGTCTTCTGATACTGCTTGCAGTGTGAGGCAGAGTATGAGCTAATGTATTCCGACTGGATAGTGAATTTTTGCCTCCTGTCATATCTAATCTGACACTCAAGATCGAGCCAGGGTGGAAGGTTGGAATCTGCGGGCGCACTGGCAGGTATGTGATTGATCCCCGCTGCTGCTGTTTCCTTTCGTTCTAGTTACTGACGATTGCGATCTAGTGGAAAAAGCACACTCATCGCTTCTATCCTCGGTCTCGTCCATATGAAGCAAGGTTCCATCATCATAGACGATATAGATATCTCTCTCCTGGAATCAGACTCAATGCGTTCGAGCATGACAGTGGTCCCACAAAATGGCGTAATACTGCGCGCCAACGTACGGACGAATCTTGCTTTAGGTGCCGCAAAAGCTCCTACCGACGAAAGGATGGTCGAGGTCCTGAAGGAGTATGGACTCTACGATAGGTTTCACGAGCGAGAAGGTCTCGATACGCTTGTCGTTGATGATCTTTTTTCCTACGCAGAGCAGCAGATTTTCTACATCGTGCGAGCACTGCTTCAAAAAAGCCATTTAATTTTGCTTGACGAACCTACAAGCAGGTAAGCCCAGATCTACTGAAGACGCGTTATTCCGCATCTTAGCAAGAAAGCTAACCTTCCACTTTTCTTCAGGGCCGACAGTAGCACTCAGGAAATTATAGATTCTGCTGTCTTGAACGGGTTCGAGGGTTCAACGGTTCTCTATATTGCGCATCGTCTCGAGATTCTCTCACAGTTTGACCGGGTCATGGTCATGGATCAAGGCCGGATCGCTGAGTTTGGCGACCCGCGCACATTGCTCCAGAATCCTGACTCGCTTTTTGCTAGTACCTTCAGCAAAGCAAATTCGCAGATCAGCAGCCTCAACGCAACGTAGACGCTGCATCGTATATCAGACCGACCCAGGCTCGACGCGGTTCAAAGGCTTGAAGGGACGGACTTCGCTTTAAGCATGTGAGAACTAAACAAAACGTTTGCTCGCTCAGGGCGTTATTGTACATAGACTTCGGGCGTTGTGCCTCTCGTCCACTACATAGACTAAGACTGCTAGACTGCGACGTCCTTGAATCTGCTCTTAACACTTTGGTGGGATCTATGCACTACTTGAGACACAATTCTTACGACCTCAGGTATCATGTACCGTTGCTGTTCTGTTATTTTAAGGCACGCCCGCCGAAATGTAAGGAACAGTTCAAGTCTCTGGCGGCAGGGCTCCGCACCAGCCAGTCATAGTCAGCACTTACGTGATCACCACGCATTCGGAACACTGTTTGTTGTTTCCACTGGGCTGATCGATTGTCTGTTACATTCATTGTCACTTTGCACTGTGAGGCTCTCTTGCTCTCATGAGGGTTGCAGGGTAGTCCGATGGTAACACAGGATTAATCAAATGGAGTCCGTTTTGCTCTAGTTTCAAACATTTATATTGTGACGCGCCATTTGTAATATTCCAACCTGCTGAAATGGCGAGTGGACAAAGACTTATTGCAATAATACAACATTACATCCTTATCTTCTTGCATGTATGTATGTTCAAAGTGTACCCTGTCGAATGGGTCTGCATAACGTATGTATCAAGGTACAGTAATGTGGGGTTGAGTTACATTTGCCGCTCATCTTTTATGAAAAAAGATCAAAGACTGCATACGTTATGGCTTCATTTTAGACAAATAGTCGTTATGTAGATTCGTGAAACTTCGGCGGCCATCGGAACATGTCACTGTTAGGGTGCTCCTGCCTGTCGAACCTCACCTGCCAGGAGAGTGACTGCCACGTCACACTAGCGTTGTTTACAGCTACTCACCTATACGCACTGTTCGTAGCTTCACCCAGTAAAACCTCAGTTCAATCCTTCAATATTTCCGCACATGCGTACTGACTACTCACGGTTCACCCTGATAGAACATTTATGGTCGTCGTAATTTGAGACGGGTTGTAAAACACAAAACGGTCACATCCTTTTTGAAAGAGTAGCGCTTGAGCAAAACAGATAAATGAAGCCCATGAACATTATAATGTCTAGAGATTATGCTGGATGAAAGATTTGATTCAGGTAAAGAGTGTTGCGGCGACAGAAAGCGTCTACAAGTATACGTTATACGTCCCGTGCTTTGCAATGTATATCAACTTATCCCATATCACTCGTGTAACTTGTTTACGTTGAGGATTTATTACATATCGGCTGGTGATCTTCTAGAGATATAGTATTGTTAGTAATATAAGACTTACGTATCCCAAAAACCCAAGGTTTGCCGATCGCTCCAATATGATGAACTCTAGGATTGTCGTGAGTTTAAGGGCTACCTTGACTTGATAGAGGGAAAGTGGCCGGGATGGCACATGCATAAGCCTCTTCAATTTCTAAGCCATTTTTTGTTCATCCACTTCAACGATGCTGCCATTATCGTAGTTGTAATAAGACCCATGCTGCAAGAAGTGACCTGTCCTTCCCATCCAAGCTGTATGTTATCATAGCAGTCAGGCGCACCCGTTAGTAAATTGATCTAACCATATCGGTAACATGACATCGATAGAGGGTAGTGGCAGGGCCGGATCTCATATTGCGGTTGACGAGAGATCGCAGACTGCGGTTGCAGGCCGGCATAATCGAAAACAGTCAAGATCTATGTGGACATAGTCTAGCAGTTCTACAAGAAGGATCCAGTGCGTTTATGAAAAGACGCAGCTAAGTTGCAACACAAGACATTTGCGCCGTCGAAGTAGAAGTATCCGATGAGATCCGGACTAGTAATAATTTGCTTGCAGGCAACGCGGAGGGAGGTAGTGTCGCTACCACCACAACCTTAAACGTCAAATTGGACCTGCCTTCCGTCTTCTGCATGTCTGGCTCGTCAAAATCTTGGAAAGCTATGTTGCCCGTCTTCCAACACAGAACAAAGTCTTCGGAGATCTTCTTTGCAAGCCACTTGCCATTCTTCAGTTCAGACCAAGCAAGCTCGGTGGTACCATCGCTGCGCTTTTGGCCATGTGTCCAAAGGCCTCAAGAATAGAAGTAGGTGAGCTATCGTCGGGGAGCGTGGATAGTACGCATGGCAGAGATATTGAAAGATTGAACTGAGGTTGGACTGGGTGAAGCTACAAGCAGTATGTATAGATGAGTAGCTGTAAACAACGCTGGTGTGACGTGGCAGTCACCCTCATGGCAGGTGAGGTACGACAGGCAGGAGTCACCCTAAACCGTGACACACACCCCAGCTAGCGTATACTCAAAGGCAGAGAGTCGATGACAGCTGATCAGTATCGGCTCAATGCATGTAGATAGCGTCGAGGTTGTCGCCATCAGCCTGACGCAGGCCATTCAGGCGCTCAGTGATATCGACGAGGCCGAGTTGACGGACGAATTCTATGAACTTCTGCTTCCGTAGTATCTTTGTGAGTCCATCAGCAGTCATACGATCGGTAGGAACCCATTGAACATCGATACGTGAGGTAGTGACCTCCTGTCGTATCCATAGTTGGTGGATATCAACGTGTTTGACCTTTGTGTGAAGCTTGTAATGCTGCTTAATGGCAGTACCGACGGTCAGTTGATTATCACACCAGATGGTAGGCGTGTGAGCAAGCGTGAGATTGATGCTAGTGAAGAATCGCATCCACTCCTCCATCTGTGAGGCAGCGAAGGAGAGGAAAGCAGCTCAGATTCCGTAGTAGATTTTGTGACTGTACGTTGGACTGTTGACTTCCAGTCAATCATGAGTCCACCAAATTTGAACGCGTACCCCTGAGAGCTTCGGCGAGTCTCAGGCTCGTCAGAGTACAAGGCGCCAGAGGATCCAAAGAAGAGAGGGTCGCAGTATGTTGGATCATCAGAGAGATATTCAGCCATATCCTGCGTGCTGGCAGAGGCTCACGGGCTACCTGTTTATATTCCCTACGAACCTTGAGGCTCAGCCATCAAGGATTCGTCTAATGTCGTCTCATTTGGCCTCAGACTGCGCCAATTTATCCTGTGTTCGATTGCCTGCCTACAGTGACCTCACAGAGGCCCTGTTATATGGAGTGTTTCAGCTACAGAAGAAAATAAGGAAAACGAGACTTACCAGGATCTGGTGTCGAAAATAGTGCATGCCTGAACCTTTGCGCTTTGGCGGCAATGGCGGGGAAGACATAGAACAGAAGACACAACATTGAACCGGCTCCCTTTAGTCCACCAGTCTTATTCTACATCAAGTCACTGCAACGGAAACCGTCTGCCGCCACCGCCTAATGAGCGAATACGTCTTTGCGAGATGCATGCCTCAATTGACACGGCGGATGCGGCCGTTCAATCCTAAAATCTTCTCACAGAAGATCCAAACTGGAAAATGTACACACCACAGGCACAACACGGCTATCCTCTGTAGAGGAGGTTGCATGTCGAGAGATCTCGTGCAACTCTGAGAAATCCGCACCGATGGCCCAGTTGTACTCCCTCTCCTGTTCAACAGTAAGCCACGCCAAGGTAACTTGTAAAGAAGAACCATGCAGATACCTTTTCCACTCGACGGATCAGGTCACGAATGCTCCACACAGAGCGATCGTAAAGAGCGATGATCGGATTCATCCAGGGCATGTGCGAAGCAAACGGATCATTGGAATCGAGTGATCCTTGCTCGCTCTCCATAGCATGTTTGAATTGCTCCTGGAAACCGTCTGGTGTATCCACTCAGAGCATCATACAGTGACCAGGCTTCCAGCGGCTGAAGACGGTCATCTCAGACCAAGTATAACCCGCGCCAGCCAGTGGAGTGCTGTGTGCGATCTTGACAAGGCATCGAAACCATGTCACTGAGGACATCCTTAGCGCACGGCACGATCATCACTATATGTGAACGCACAGTAGCCTGTCGTCTGATCTGCTTCATTGTAGCTCTATCTGCTCCCAAAGTATCTGTGACGGTTAATGGAGCAAAGAGGCCATGTGTGCCACGTGTGTTGGTACAGCGCTCTTGCCCATTTCAACAAGCACCTCCTGCTCTTGACTGCACGAGATATACGTCATATAAACAGACTCTGATGACTGCCGAGTGAGAGGCAATCACAGAACAACAAAACAACACAATATACTGATTTTACTGCTTCGCGCGGTTCCACCCCTGACTCACTACCTTGCGCTGTTCCACCTTCATTTATTGCATATACTGCAACAGTATCCGTTGCATCGATCAGCCATATCCGTGCAAACCATTCGAGGGACGTTGAGACATCGCAGCAGCTTCTTACGATCTGCTTCATGTTGTGGGTAGGCGCTTCTAGGGAGGAATCTGAGGGGCTAAATACTTAGCTTGCTCGTACAGTGGATGTAGAGGTTTACTTGTAACAGGAGAGCTGTTGCGCTTTGCCCTAGTAACGTCCAGACGCTAACCAACCACAAGAATTGAACGTAGGGTGTACCATCTGATATCCTAGCTTCAATTGCTCAGACGATCACTGTCCTGTAGACGCTGTCTGCTTTTAGGATTTGTTTTTACTGCAGGCCGCAATCAGAACAGACGGCTGTCGTACTTACACGACAATTTCAGCACACGAGCAAGAACCATTGCAGTTGCAAGCAAGGGTCAGTTGTTCGGAAGGTAGACACTACCACAATAGGTGGTTGCTCCTGACCGTTCTGTTGGTGTGCACTACCGTATTTGTACTTAGCGCTGTTTACTTAGTCTGGCTCAGCCAACTGACACGTCGATAACCCTTACACTCAACATCAGTCACTCTAGCTGCTGTTTGTGATCCGCCAGTCAAACTAGACCGTGTGCACGACTTTAAGGAGAGCGTGAAAGCTTGAGTGAATACGGACACTGTGGTAGTCAAAGCAAACAGAGGATAACTGCAACGTGCTTCTCGAAGCCTTTTATGACCAATGCACCGTTCACTGGGGGTCTGCTGAGCGCCACAACAGACGGGCAGCCATCATTCGTTCAGCGCGGCCTCCTGCCTGCAACTGCACCAGCCTGCAGCTGTTTTGGCCCCCAATCACCCAACCCAGCGATAGGCGCGCGCTGGCAAGGCTGTGTGGGAATGGAAGACAAGCCTTACCGGCTGCGCTGCGCCCACAGCTCAACCGCCTGCTCCTACCATCCCTCACGCTCACAGACACTCGCGCCTCATGCGATCACGCCCTGCTGCTCCTAGACCTCCATGTGCTCAGGCGCGACGAACGCTGCCTCCTCCGTCCGGTTCAGCCAAGCGCGCACGCTTGTTCGTCTAGCGCGCCCGTTGACCTGTCTACCACGGCCATTGCCCGCGCGCCAACGCGCTACCCATGGCTCAGCGCCGGCTCGACGCTGCAGCGTACACGGTGGGATGGATATGCGCGCTGCCCGTCGAGCTGGCGGCGGCGCAGGTGATGCTCGACGAGGAGCATCTGCCTCACGTCGGCGTCAGCTCAACCCAGTACACGCTGGGCCGCATAGGTAGTCACAACGTCGTCCTGGCATGCCTGCCGGCCGGCCAGATGGGCATCGGCGCTGCTGCGTTCAGCGCAGGGCAAGCCATGTCCAACTTCCCGTCAATCCGCTTCGGGCTTATGGTGGGCGTCGGCGGCGGAGCCCCGAGCGCGGAGGCAGATGTGCGACTGGGAGATGTCGCGGTCAGCCAGCCGGTCCGACAGCACGGCGGAGTGGTGCAGTACGACTTTGGCAAAACGGGACCGGGCGGACGCATGACGCATACCGGATCGCTGAACGCGCCGCCCAAGGTTCTGCTCCACGCTGTCACTCAGCTAAGGGCATACCGCTACCAGGACAGCCAGGACAGAGGTTCTCTTGTAATGCATCTGTCGGCCTTTGATCAACACCCATACTTCAGCCGCGAGAAAGCTGGGCCTGACGTTCTGTTCAAGGCGACCTACCATCACAACGGCGGAGCGACATGTGAGCGGTGCAGCAAGGACAGTGTAGTACATCGGACGGCTCGAAGAGCTGACGAGGCAGTGAGCATCCACTATGGCACGATAGCCTCTGGCAACCAGGTGATTAAGGACGGAGCCACGCGAGACCGGCTAAGCGAAGAACTGGGCGGGGTGCTGTGCTTCGAGATGGAAGCGGCAGGCCTGATGAACGACTTCCCATGCCTGGTAGTGCGAGGCATATGCGACTACGCCGACTCGCACAAGAACAAAGCGTGGCAGCCGTATGCGGCAGCAACGGCAGCAGCGTGTGCGAAAGCGATCTTATCACTCGTTTCCGCGGCAGAGGTGGTGAAGACTGTAGCAGTGGGCAAAGCTTACGAGTACCGCGTCCCCTTCAACCTCAAGGACGTGCCTGCGGGGAAGTTTGCAGAGCGGCCGAGAGACACGGAAGCGCTAGAGCGAGCGCTTCTGCCGCAAGAGAAGGTGAAGAAAAGGCGGTTGCTGGCAGCCTACGGACTGGGCGGCGTGGGCAAGACACAGCTGGCGGCCAACTTTGCGCGGCGACACCAGAACAGCTTCTCGTCGGTGTTGTGGCTAGATGGGAGCAGCGGGAGCAGCCTCAAGCAGAGCTTTGCGGCGTTTGCGAGCCGCATCCCAGCTGGACAGATCCCCGAGGCCAGTAGGCTGTATGCCGCTAATCGGGGAGGCGACATCGATGCGGTGTTGAGGGACGTGCTAGGCTGGCTGAGCATAGCGGACAACAGCGGCTGGCTGCTGGTGGTCGACAACGTCGACCGAGACGACCGACGGTGCGAAGAAGACGCGGAGGCATACAACGTAGAAGAGTACCTGCCGGAAGCTGACCATGGATCGGTGCTGATCACGACCCGTCTTCGGCATTTGGGCCAGCTTGGAGAGCAGTGGGAGGTGAAAAAGGTGGACAAGAAGCAGGCGCAGGCTATCTTCAAGACGTGGTACGGGAAAGGCGTGGGTGAGCATCTTGGAGTGTAGCTACAAGCGGTAAAGCAACGCTAACGCCATAACAGATCAGGAGGGCGACGAACTGCTGGGACTGCTTGATGGGCTGCCGTTGGCCTTGGCGCAGGCTGCTGCGTACATGAATGAGACAGGCACAGGCTTTGACACCTATACTCGACTGTACAGAGAGCAATGGCGAGAGCTGATGGAGCCATACGACGGCAGACAGATACCGCTGCGGAGCTACGCGAACGGCAGCGTCGCGACAACCTGGACGATATCGTACACGGCTGTCCGGAGAAAGAATGAGGCGGCAGCGAACCTGCTGCTTCTGTGGGCGCATCTGGACAACAGTAGCTTGTGGCATGGACTGCTCGCCGCTGCGTCGCACAAGTCGGCTGTGGTTGCAGAGCAAACAGCGGCATGGCTTGGAGAGATGGCGCGCAGCGAGGTGGAATTCACTAAGGCCATTGGCACGCTCCGGAGCTACTCTCTGGTGGAGGAGGCGGGGGACCAGACAGGCCATTCTACGCACCCGGTGGTGCACCAGTGGGCGCTGCACGTGCAAGACGACAAGCAACGGACCGTGCTGTCGCGGCTGGCAGTTGTGCTTGTTGGGCTCGCGGTGCCAATGAATGACGAGAAAAAGTACTGGGAGACGCAAGCGCGACTTCTTCTGCATGCAGAGCGGTGCGAGAAGAACGTAGTGAGAAAGGACATAACGGACCAGGGAGCCGAGGATGGAGCTAGCGAACAGAAAGAGGGTGAGCACATATTGCTGTGGGCAGTCTGCAACCTAGGTGATCTTTACATCGACCAGGGAAAGCTGGACAAGGCAGAGAACATGTACACGCAGGCGCTAGAAGGAAGGTGGAAGGCTCTGGGAGCAGAGCACACGTCGACGCTTGACTCTGTTCACTGCCTTGCTATTCTCTACAGGGA